GCTGCATTGTGGATGATATACATTTTTTTGGATTTTTGGATCGGAAATCGAAGAGGCAGAAAAACTATTTAGAATCCTTGAAGGGCGGGTGTCACCGGTTTACACTTTTCAATCATTTTGATCTACGCTCAAATCTGATTACCGTCTTAATTTACTGATTTAAAAATATGTTCTATCGATTGCACTTCAGAGCAAATCAGTGTGTTATCGATGTCTGAAGCTTTATGGTTTGGAAACTGGTATTTATTTTTGAGCTGATTTTAGCTTTTTTTTTCTACATCTCAAGAAGCATAGAAACAACCAGAAAATGGTTTTGCATTAGTAAAGGGTATCTAGACTTCGACGTACCGAGGATAGCTTTTCTTCTTGTTTTTCTGCTCATGTTGGTTGACGTATGTACATACATTACACACGGACACATACGTACGTACATATGCGCAAAGCTTTCGCTCACGAGCAACTGCTGCTGCTCTCTCTCACTTTTGATTGTCTTACGTAGATGAGAGCGTCACACGACAGCCAATTGTTGTGTGGGGAGTTGATTTATGTATTTGTGAGTGAGTATATGTATATGTACATTTACATATGTATGTATATTTGTAGTTGACTTTTTGATGATTGGGGTGAGTGCCAAAGATAGAGATAGTGAGGAGAGAAGACTTGTCGTCAGTCAGCTGTTTTGGTTTTCAATTAACCGCAACAGCCGGAAATTATCTACACACACACATTTATATATATATATATATATATATATGTATGTATAAATATATATATATATTTTTTTAACATAATGTCGGTATGTGTATGAAATTAACAGCAGTCTGTTGTCAGCTATTGTATTTCGTTTGCCTTATGTTTGATTGAATGTACTAATTTTACAGTTGCGGTCAAAATAATAGTAGTGCCCTTATATAATGTCTTATCTCAATTTATTAATAATTCCTTCTCCATTTATCTTTGAATTCCTGGATAATTGTACTGTTATTTTTATTTTATTTTAGCTATAGCTTTTTGTTGTTGTCTATTGTTAAAAATATCTGTTGGCCTAAGTTTTATAATGCGAAAGGCAAATCATTCTTACATTCTACTGTTATCTGTGGCACTTTCATCGAGTGTTCAAACTGCTGAGATAATTAACCAGTCGCTAGAGAAAAAAATCGATAAGAAAATGACAAAAGGAAAGTTAAAGTTCGCTAAAGAAACATTGGAATATAGGCCATTGAAAAAATAGAGGAACATTTTGGGTTGTTTCAAAATATTCAATGTTTGCTTAAGCTAACATTTTTTTGTTTTTTGTAATACAGTAGAGTGTAAATGAAGATCATTCTTACGTTAGGTATATAAGTTATAACAATTCTAAAATTAGACTTTTATCTGCATGGACGGTAACAAGTATAGCTGAGAGTACAACTATACATTCTTACAGCTGAGATAACCAAATCGATCTTTTATGTTATTTTGCCTGTTTCGAGTTTGTCTTGCTACTTTTAACACCTTGTGCGTGTGTGTGCGTGAGTGTTTGAAAGGTGTAAAGTTACTATCGTCGTGAGTTGGGAAAGTGATATGAATATGCACATATATACCTATACATATCGATAAAGGGAGGAAACACATACAATTGATTATTTGACTCCGGATCTCACTTGGTCGTAGTTTTAAATATATTAGTTTTATAACAATTTCGGACATCGCCGCGTCCGTGAGGTGGGGCTCTTATTAGTAGTAACAAAATGATTAATAAAACTTGTTTAATTTGCTGTCTATGTATTGGGCGACATATATTGCTCTCTCTCTTTCTCTCTCGCTCTCACTCTCGAATATGGAGCTGTATAGTGGATGAAACTGGTTTTTGAGCTTGGTTTACTTCTCTGCTTCTCTGTTGTTTTGTGGTATGGACTTACGTGTGAGTATTGTGTGCGACTGACTGTATTTGTGTGTTAGTTTGTGTGTATGTTGACAGCCTTGAAGAGAAACCAAAAATAAAAACCAGACGCAATTTTGTACGTTGTTTATGGTACAAAATACAATTGCAACTTTAATGCTCTCTGTTTTTGCGCCATCAAAAAATTTGTATGGAACTTTGTTGCATCTTTCAAAAATATAATTTTATTTAAGGCATGTTGTGAAGGCGCTAAGCGGTAACAAATACCGTTGTCTCTGGCCAAACTGGTCCCTTTCTCATACTCTCTGATATCATCAAAGATGGAAGACACTAAGCCACCACACCTTTCCCTCCCCTCCCGTCCCTCTCCTCCCAGGAACCGCTAAAGTCCATTTTCAACTTGCTTGCACATGGTAGGACAGAGACAGGGCTGAGAGATAGAGCTTTTGCCAAGCAAAGAAAGCTTTCGGTTTACAGGGAAAATTGAGCTTTGCCCAATTCATTAACAACTTTTCTCTTCTGCTGATGCTGATTGATGCACATATACGATTTATATTTATTCTTATTCTAAGTATTTTGAATAGTACATTTAAGTATTTTTATGAATTAATTTTTGACAATTTGTTTTGCATTTGCTTATTTTACAGTTTTGCGATTAAGTGAAAATACTTTCTTTGGCTCCGCTTATCACAATTGCGAAGCAAATAATTAAAAGCTAATTGTTTGGACGGGAAGCAAGAGTTTAGTGAACATAGTAATACTGATTATATGCATATATAATAACAGCAAACAAAATCAACAATAACGCAAACGCAAAGTAAACGAGTCAAAGTTGCTGACGCCGCCGCAGCAGCTGTGCAAAACAGCAGGAAATACCCGCCACATATTTCGCTGGACGACAGAGTTAACAACAGAAATCAAAGAGAAGAGTAGAGTAGAGTAGACGACCATCGTCAAATCAACTTTTAAATTCAGACTCACACACACACACACAGTCGCAAAGTTGGTTAACTAGCCATCATGGAACGCGAGTCGAATCCAATGCAACCTATGTGCCGCTCTGGATGCGGCTTCTATGGTAATCCAGCCACAGATGGTCTGTGTTCAGTTTGCTACAAGGTGAGTATAATAATACAAATTGGTCATGTTTGATGATAATTCCATTTAACACTTTGTTATCTCTCCCTCTGTCTCTCTCTTTCCGTGCAGGACTCGCTTAGAAAAAAGCAACAGCCACCTGTGAATAGCACACCTGTCTCAGTTCCAAGCCCACAACCTAGCCCCACATTCAGTCCGGCCATTGCAACAACCAATACCGCACAGCCCACAGTACAAAGCTTACAACAATCACACAATGATGTTAAAGAGGTGAGTTTGATTTAGACTCTTAGAGGAGTCTGAGCTTTTGCCGGATGTCTTAATATATATTGTAAAAAACCCGTTGATGTGGGCTTTCTTGTTCCAACTGCTTTCATTAGTAGGCCAAGCTGTTTAGGATTTTTTGTTGTGGTGTATTTTGATCAGTAAGCTATGAACATTTTTTTTTGGTTATTTTCGGATATAAATTTAGTCTCTTGTAAGTGTTAAGTGTTTTAAAAAGTAATTGTTCCAGTATATCGAGAATGTTAGCTGTGCGGATCACGAGTCGCTGAGTACTACGGTGGAGTTGACAAGGTAATCCCCAACCACAGATCCATTATTAAGTGCGACTTAAGTACAGCTAAATAATCCATCATCAAAATGTGCAGTGTCTATCTGTGAGAGACATGAAGTTTTCGATTTTTAGCCGAACGTTGAGGCGGGTAGTCCCAATTGGGATCTCCCAATCGAGAAATGGCAAAATGATCAACATTGGGTATCCCTATGACACATGGATAGAGTGTTGCTTCAATCTTCGCACACACTCAATGGTCTGCGCGATCGCACACATGTATAACGTTTTAGGTCCTACCTAGTATAAGTCCGTATCTGCTCTACTACTATTAAACAAAAAAGAACGTTGCAATCGGGCGTAATCGACTGCGAAATACTCTGTTACCAATAAGTCATACCTTCTGATAACAGGTGTCGCAGAACAGGGTGGGTGTAGCCAAGAAAGACCGATCTTTGAAGAAGGCAACCTGTAAGTTACCTTCCTAGATGAGTGATTTTATCTTTAAAATTGTGGGAGATATGCTGATTTATCAATTTACAACTTCCGAAGTATCGAGGAAGGTATGAGAGCGAGATCATACAATATTTTTTATCAGTTCTTTAAGCGGATACCAGTAATATACTTACGAAATTTGACGGCTATAACTCAAAAACTGGGGAAGATATATAGCCATTTAAAATTTTGAGGGGCGGCGTAAGTGGGCGTGGTGCATGTGTCGATCTTTGAAGGAAATCGCCAACAACCTACCAACCAAATTTTGTGACTGTAGCCTTAAAATTGTCTGTGATATATGTTTATATGCTTTATCGATTTGGAATTATTGATTTTATCGATTTCCTATCCTCCTAGTGGACCACTCCATTTTTTACACTTTTACTGACGCGGGCGCAGACCAGTATATATTCCAAGTTTCAACAGTCCAAAAAGGTGCGGTCATACTGACTGACATTGCACAAGATCAATTTACTATTATAACTTCGGTATTAGAGTATAAAATTGTTCGCCGCGTTACCTTCGGGTACATTGTCTTAGCCCACGGACGAGAGGAGTGCCCAAAAAAACTATTTTTCATGTAGTCACTTTTTAGTCGATGCGACGCTTTCATGAATTGTTTGCTGGATTGTGAGATCTAGCATCACATCTTTTTGGAATAATAATCGAAGCTCAGAAAGCGTTTCCGAGATTATTATCGGCGATTTATGAAGCGTTGTTTTTGTGTGACGAAAGTTGAAGAGAGAATTACTGAAATTATTAAATAAATATATGGCAGATCAAAACTGCGATTTTGTAGTATTTTTCTTCTATATAGCCTGTTCGTAGTTAAAAGTAGGCAATGGAATTGTTTCCCCACAATAAATACTATTTTTGTTATCGATATCGATTGAATATCAATGTAGACGTCGATTTAACGTGAAGTCTCCGTTGTATGTCTGTCAACCTACATTGACACTAGGGGGAATTGTGTCCCCTAAAATAGAAATAGAATCGATACAATCGATATTTGGATGTCTTTCAAAATTTCTCGAACAAAATTTAAAATTCATTGAAATGCCTAATTTAAGTGGTTCCCTCAAGCCGTCGAGGCGTAGTGAGGCAACTACTTCAGCATCTGCTGCTCCTCCTGCTGCTGCTACCAGTAAATTGCTGCCAACAGCAGCAATATATCACCTCAGACGCACGAACGCATCGGCTGGAGGAACTGCTGATCCTGTCTCGGCCGGCGCATTATTTGGTGGCCTCAGTTCACCTTCGCTAATGAAGCCGCCACCATGCAGCCGTAATAATTTATCAAAGGGTAGACTGTTTTTAAATTGCTTGGCTGGCAGTCTAATCTAATCTCTCGTTTTTACCGCCTGCGCTCCCTCAGCAGGCGTGGCATCAACAGCAGCAGCAACACGCAAGCTAAGAGTCACCATCGTCAACGCCTCTAGCTCTCGATCCTGCTCTGGTGTCAAGTCGTCCAAGTCGGTGCGTCTCCCGCCGTCATCATCAAGCATAGCACAAGCTCAAATCAAAAAGAGTTCGCTGGCGCGCAAAAGCGCAGCAAGCAGTCGAATAGCAGCAGCTGACGTTGTTAGTGGTGGTTCGCGTAAGGTTAAATTCTCGACTAATGTGCACACGTTTCCGTCCAGCACCAGCGACCGGAAGGATCTGCGCATTGGCGAGCTGCAGCTGAAAAAGCAGATCAAGAAACTTAGGCATAACAACAACAACAAGGCCCAACAGCGATCGCCGTCGTCCGGCGGCCAGAATTGTGCTGCATCTCTTGCCAACAAACTCGCTCTGTCCTTTTCCACACATCCACCCTCAGTCTCAGTTCTCGGCCGGGACATTCAGCAGCACGGCGCCATCGTAGACGTGGAACCCGTCAAAGCGCCAAAACGCAGCGGCCGCAAGGCGCTGCCAATTTGCGGAGCACCAAAAAGAAAAGCGCCAATTGCTGCAGTAGCTGCTGCTACTGGCACTCGTGGCAACGTGCGCCAGTCCAACAAGCGGCCTAAGAAATCCCGTATTCAAGCTGGTGGCGCTGCGGCGGTGGGAACTGCAAGCTGCAGCAGACCTGCACCGCGACTGGCCTACTCCGTACAGCAGCAGAAAGTAGTAAAAGGCGGCAAGACGACGACGTTCCCGTTCACCATTAGCAGCAGCTGCAGCCGAGCCGAGAAAACCAATAAGCTGCGTCAGAGCCGCACAGCCACAATGGACCAACATCAGCCCAACGGCGATGAATCTGATCAGTCGAGGCGGAAGCCGACCGATTCCCAGCACAGCAAACGCAAGGATGAAAGTACAACGACCAACAGCGGCGGTGAGCTGGTCCAGCAGAATAAATCGAAATCTTTGGAGCCGTCAACAAAACTCAGTAATAATGATGATGCCACCATCCTTGCCAAGAAGCGGGTAAAAACGCCGAATCAGTCACAAAACACAACACTTAAATATGTTAAACGGCTTGCTTGCTTAGCTTAAGAGTGCTTAAAGGGGGGCTGAAAGAGAGAGAGAGAGAGAGAGAGAGAGAGAGAGAGAGAGAGAGAAAGAGAAAAGAAGAGTGGGGATCACTTGAATCGGAATCGATAGATTTCACTTAGCTCAAAATAAAACGTAGAAATGTGTTTTCTATTTAAAAAAAAAAAAAACAGTTGGAGCAGAGATTTTAGATTGTTTGTTGTTTTTTTTGTTTTTTTCTTCTTTTTTTTGTGCACTGATTGGCATTTTTGACTCATGTTTTTCCATATATTTTTTTCCCACATTTCCCATTCACCCGTGCTTTATGTAGAAAATCACTGAGGAAGCCGCCACCGTCTCAGCCAAAACCAATAGCGAAGCCATAATATCGGCGTCCGGTCCAAATACTTCCAATACACAAGCAGCTGCTTCTGCTGCCAGCGAGCAGGATGACAAGGACAAGGAGGATGATAAGGACGCCAAAAAGAAGAAGAATCGATGTGGTGAATGCCGCAAGAAAGTTGGCCTCACTGGTAAGTTTTTGTTATTGTTATTCTGGTGTTGTTTTGGTTTGGTGTGCGCACAAATTCGATTAATCGAGAGTAATCATTTTTATCGGTTTTTTGTTATAGGCTTTCAGTGTCGCTGCGGCGGTTTGTACTGTGCCGTGCATCGTTATTCCGATAAACATAACTGCACATTCGACTACAGAGAGCATGGCGCACAGGAGATTCGGCGCAATAATCCGGTTGTGGTTGGTGAAAAAATTCAAAAGATTTGAATTTGCCCGCGAGATTGTGCCAGTAACAGTAGCCGTAGGAATAATAACAACTACACATTATAATATAGTATATAATAAACACAACACACACACCAAACACACACATAACACACACACACACATACACGCTACGCACCAACAAATCAATATATAACAAAAAGCTCTAAAACAGAAAGAAACAACAAGAATACACACACCACTCACACAGAACACAAACACACAGATGCATATATAAGTATATATATATATATATCGACGCATATAAATTCATATATGTGTGTATATATAAATATATGTATATTATATATAAATACTATAAATAATTGTAATTGTAATTTAACAATAATGTAAACAATAACAAGCAACAATAGTACAGAAACGTTAACCAAATACCACGCAACGCAAACAACAAACAACAATAATAACAACAACTGCAACAGCAACAGGAACTGTGCAAAACCAGCTCTCGGAATAATAACAACAACAATACTACAATCAACAACAACAAGCACGACGACGAAGTAGCGCAAGCAACAACAACAGCAGCAGCAGCAACTACAACACACAACATATAACACACAAAATCAAAATCAACATCATCATTGTCATCGTCATCATGTCAAACTTGAACCAGACGCGTATCAGCGCGTTAGCAAGTAACATTAATAACTACAAATCTTCCTCTTCTCGCTGCTGTGAAGAAAAAAAAAAAAACAAAAAAAGATCTTCGACTTTATCTAGTTGTTATTCCAAAATGCAAGTTGCATACTTGTTTGTATTCGAGAACCTTCGTACACAAACCCAATTGTAAGAACAACTCCTAAAAAAAATGAATAAAAAAACACACTAGAGAACATTGTTATCAAAAGTACACGAAAGAAGATAAGTTTTATGTAGAACAACAAGTGTAATTTGTGTTTGTTTGTTTGTCTGTAATGTGTTGCATATAGAAAAAATAGGAAAACAAACTAATAAGGGAAAAATTCAAATGCAAGCGCAGATTCAAAAAAGAAAAAAACATAAAACTAAAATTTAACTCAACAACAACAACAGTAAACCGCATAGGCAACAACTATTTCATAATTTTTAATTATTGATTAATTAATTATGTATGTATATGTATTAAAAACAAAAACAAAAACAAAAACAAAACAAACCAAAATGTAAAAAAAAAAAAACAAAAAAAAAACGTAAAAAGGCAAAACATAAAAAAAAAACAATGTAAAATTCCTTTTGGGCAAATAATGAAAAAAAAAACTGAAAAAAAGATATATAGTTAGAGCACACGGGAGTGATGAAAGAAAGCGTGTTAAAACACTAAGTATATAAAATTAAATATAATTAACTAGTTAAACAAAGCAGGCTAATGCAGTGCAAGTTGCGCGTTTTTCAATTAATATTTTTACTTGGTCCCAAATCTAAATAACAAAATATTTTACACTCACGTTTAATTGATTTTGATTTTTAATGAACACATATACACAAAAACACACATAAAAAATATAAAAAGAGATGAAAATAACGGCATATGCATACATACATTAAATACGCAGAGAGAAGTATGTGCACTTTATCAACATTGATTGTACGTTACTTTAGAAGAAAATATGGTAACTACGTTGCAAATATATTAAAACCTGAAAACTGTGTAAATATATATGGTTTGTCTTTCTAGGTTCATATTGCTTTAAGCGTTATTTAGTTTTTTCTTTGTTTATATTAAAAAAATAATAACGGGCATACATAAAAGATCTTTTCATTTTGCTTTCTTTCTTTTAGTAATTACAATTTTATTACAGTTACAATAATACATATGTAGATATAAATTTTGTTGTTAGCATTAGAAATTAAAGAAAGAAAAAAGAAATTAGAATTCAGTAAATTTGGACTCCAGATGCTAGAAACCCCCACAATTTGCGCAGGAACATTTTAGCAAATCTATTTGAGACAGTGATCATATTAACCATAATCAAACATATAAGCTTTAAAGAAGGCACCAAACACGAAACACGTATGTGCAATATTAGCAAACACTTTAAAAGACAAAGGGTAGACAAGCGACGGAAGCAAGTGTGAATCCTATATATATATATACATCGGTTTATTCTTCTTCTATGGCTTGTCAACGACTCCTCACCTCTGCTATGCTGTTGAAACACTTCGGCGCCTTCTTTAAATGTTGTTTCTTGTGGACGGGTAAAGCAAAAAAAAAAAAACGACAAATTAAAGCAATAGCAAAGCAAAACCATATACAATAAACAAAGATTTCAATAAAACTGTACAAAACCAGCTACTTCAACATAATTTTGTAAAGCAGTCGTATAAAAAATGTACAAACATTATAAATTTTAATGAGAAAAAATAGGAACTGCTCTCAAAAAAAAGAAAAAAAATACAAAGCAAAATACAACTGAAGAACGACAACAAACCAGAACAGCAAAATTGTCATTTTAGTTTTAATACAAGGTAATTTAGTCGTTAACATTTAACAATTTCTAAAAATTTAAAAAAAAAAAAATCAATATTCAAGCTATACACATATGTTTATCATAATTCAGTAAACACTTTAAAATTAATTAGTAAAATTGTATGCATTAAAGTAAACTTATTAAAATATACACACACACACAAAATGAAAAATAAATCTATAAATTACAGGATACTGCTTGGATCCCTTATCCACAGTCTCCGATTGACATTTGTCATTTGATAAAGGGAGCATTAGATCGATCAGTTAAAGGGTCCAAGTTTCGGGGTCAGTTTATCTACAAGTGGGTATCAAAAGAAACTAATATAAATTTTACAACAAATTTCAAGAATATCTTTTGTTTGTTTTGATTTAGAATTAGTTTATTATAATATTATAGTTTGAAATGCTCTAGTGCGTTTTAGTTGAAATTCTGTTTTTGTTTAATAATGAAAGTGAAAAGGCAAATAATTACCAATTAATTAACCATGCACGTATGTACATATATACATACATGCGTACTTTATCGTACTTTTATCGTATTGTAAGCACCATTAGTTGTAACATTAACGGTTTTGTATTCTGTTTGCTGTTCTAGTATTTTTTTGAATTGAGGATTTGTCATTTTTGGGATTTCACACTATCAAGTCGTCACTCTGGTATGTGCTGAGGACACATTTTCAAAAATACAACTTAAAACTTGCGAATACATTAAATAATCGAACGTTTGTATTTTCACATTTGATTTTTTTAATACTATGCATTGCTACCGAATTTAACTTTCGATTTTGGGCTTAAAGCTTTTGTTGTCAGATTCAAGAAAATATGTATTTTGTAAAAACGTATAAAAGAGTATATTGATGATAATAGCGCGAAGAAATCTTATAAATGATATACACAAAAATATATGTATATATACACATACATGAAGTATAATTGTAATTAAAAGCGTAAACTTTCTGCAACAATGAAAAAAAAACAGTGAAGATATATTTAATGAAAAAATGGTAAAGCTAGTTTGAATCTAAATAGATATACATAGTACATATGGAACAAGAGATATGGAAACAAATATAAGAGCAACAACTATTTTAATTAACTTTAATAAAGCATAACAAATACAATAACAATATACCTTTAATATTTGCCGAAAGAAGAAATAACGAAAAGAAAAATTTAAAATTATACACAAACCTAAATAGTTAAAAAAAAGTTAAATAAAAGGCGTTTCTATCATTTTGAAAAACAATTGTTTGTTCTGTTTTTATTATTTTTGAATATTATTATTTCCAATCAGTTTACTTACCCAATCAATGTAGTCCCCGCCCAGGTGCTAAATAAACTAGACTAGATTGCAGGGAATTATTTCAGTCAGATTGACAATTGACATTGGGGTAAGCTTTGTTCCACTTTTAACAAGAAACATTAACCTAATAAAGTCACAACAAGTGTTCAATAAGTCAGCTGCTTAGCAATGTATAAAGCTTCCTCTTGTTATTTTGAGATATTTAAGTTTAGTAACAATATATTTGGCAAGCAATAACACGAACAAAATCAAGAAATTTTCGTATTTTAATATTATTTTCTTAAATATATTTAAAGATGAAAGTTTTTAGCTTTACCATCAGAAAATTATAAGTATATGGAAGGTCAAAATTGGCACGGGAATTATCAAAAATATAACTGAGGGAAAAAGTATATAAAAATGCTAAGCTTTAAGGTAAATATAAAAAGAAATATCTATACAACATAGTATATAAAAAGATATAAATATGAATAATAAACACAAAAAACAAAACGGAATGGCAGCAGCAATGATATGAAAATAAGATACATATAACTTAAGTGTATATATAAATATATATATATATATATACATATATATATATGAATATATATATATATATATATATATATATATATATATACATACATATATACATATATATATAAATAAATATATATATATATTTATGAATATCTGATAATTGCAAGAAACTGATAAAATTATACATAAGTTATATAAAGCAAGAAAACAAAACAAAAGAATGAAATGGAACTAATAAAGAGAATTATTCTGAGAAATATATATGACCGGAGTACATTTTTAATATTTTTAAAGAGGTATGTAATTTTTCTTGAAGATTTAGATAATTATATATATCTAATAAAGATCCTAATCTAAAATTATGCGAGCTCTGCAGGGATATGTTTGCGGTCAATAGTTATTTGGACTTTTCAATTATATTGCAAATTTTTAATAATCTTCCATTTAATTAGATTAACTTGGATTTTAACGAATTCATTCATGTTACTTAGCACAAATAAAATTATTTTTTCGCATAAATCACAAACGTTACAAAATTGCGAAATGTTAAAATTATTAATTAAGATTAAAATATTTTTTTTTAACTGAATTATGTATGACTTTCTAATGCAATTGCAAGAGCAACAAATTTTTTGATAAAATTAAGAAAGTCGGTGTTTTACAAATAAATGCTTTTTGCAGTTTGTCTCAGTTTATATTATTATTTTTATTGTTTTTTTCCTTACTATTTTTTATTTATATGTTTAAATTATCTAGTTATAAATACGATGTTGGATGGTAACAATGAAAACTCATTTTTTATGCTGACTTCATCCGATTTCTTGTTTAAATATTATTGCGATTTGAAATCGCGTATGGAAGATTGAAGTTGAAGCTCTAATAAAATGAAAAATTAGTGGTTGGTATCCACCCGTTATTTGTGACAGCTGAAGTATTAGCATCGAAGAATTAGAAAAACTTGCCCATGAAGTTAGGTCCAGATCGCAAGCAAGGAGAAATTGCCGCTCGACGTAATTGTTTACTGTTGGGCCTGTTAATTTACCCTAAGAAGCTTTCTTTCTTTCTCGCTCTCGCATTGATTCCGATGACAAGACCTTTTAAAGCTAATTTCTGGATTTAAATATGAAATATGTCCTGCCAATTGCAGACTTTGAAATAATATCTAATACATATATTAATATGCTTAGAATCTAAAATAGTTAATTATGTTCTTTGCCAATTAAACAAGAAATATTCCCATAAGAAATCCATTGCTGTAAATAACTTTTCACTGCTTCAGGAAAATTGTGCGATTTTTCTTCCATTAAAGCAGCATACCTTCCAATCAAATAAATCAAAAGTTCGTAATTTGTTCAAAATTTGCTCTAAATCGTAGGGGCGCTACCATTTTCCCGTATGGCAGGCGTGGATCGTCCAGTAACATCGGTTTGGCTATCTACAAAGGGAATCCGAATAGGAAACTCTTATAGATACTCATGTTGATCTCTGGTTGGAACTTCTATTTAAATTAATTTCTTACAACAGAACATTGTTGTACAAGCCAGCTTAACATTATGTGAATAATCGTTGGGTTTTCGGTTTCGGACAGAGTGATGAACCACACCCCTGGCTAGTTCCCTACCATCATCTGCCAGACATTCCAGTGACTTCTTCAATTTAAATACTGTTCACCAGTCATTCCGTAGTATTATACTTAATTTAAAGTAATCGCTTCAAATTTTTGTGAAAGATGTAGGCGTTTCAGAATTTTTAGAGGCGTTGTGGCTGTAGCCGAAGGATGTGGACCATGTGACCACGAAATGCATGAGCCAATCTTTAAAGGTGATTACTAGAAACTGCATTTTCAAATTTAGTGACTATTTTTCAGCACTTATTAATAGTGTCAGAGACATTAGTAATTCTCTCTCAAGAAATAAGGCGACAGACATTAAATGGTGCACATTGTAATTACATTCTAGACGGTCCGAAAGTTTTTTCAAGAAAAATCATTGAGCTAATTGCTAATTGCTGGTAAGACAATGGATGCTGAATATTATGTTATGCTTGATTCCTACAGAAAGTACTTTAAGCATCAATCATTAGTTTTTATGATACTGCGTTCCGAAGATTCAGCATAATTTCTACGTCAGGGATTTTCCTTAATCATTTGGCAATCACAGTGCAAAGAATTGAAAATACAATTTGTACAATGGCCGACAATCAAATTTAGTAAAAAAAAAATATTATTTGAAAGATTATTATATTTAATTAAATGTATTTTAAAATATCAGTAATAACAAGAAATCGGAGATTGATTGATCCCGATTGATCCCGATTTCGAAATACATGTGAAGCAATTTTAACTAGCGAAGAAATTGTTCGGTGAGCGAAGCATACATTTTATGTTCTCATTCATGACATCCTTTGCCTGTAGCTGCTTATCATCCGTGTTAGTCAGAACATATATATCACGACCAGTTCCACGATTTAAATTTTAATGTGTATATTTAGATGAAATCCATACATATTAATTTACATATTTTTTTTCGCTAATAAATTGAATCTAAAAAAAATTGAGGCACACATGACATTTATGACATTTTTGTACATTTATACATTTATGTGGTTTTGTTATGCAATGACTTGAAAACTGCCACTAATTCTAATTAACGAGTTATATGATCTCTATCAACATAAATACTAAACTTTCCAGCTTATTAATAATAATACTTTAACATATCGCAGGCTTTGTCGGCTTATCTCCGGTTCTGAGGTTCTCGAAGCTTTAGATAACTTTTCTACTCACATTTAATGTTAAAAATAATAATGTAAAATTATCTTAAGAGTAAGATCACTCAGCGTCAAATTTTATACGGAAACATTTACTAGAGTGAATGGGAGCAACAAAACGTCTGCTCTTACAATCGCGAACACGATTTTTTTTAATTTACAGCAGCCAAGAGAACAGCTTCAAATTTAGTTTAATAAAATTGATAAATAATTTTGAAAAAGATCGCCGTTAAATGTAAACAGATATATCGTAAAAACCGGCCTGCATACAGAAAAAATTATATCTATTAAATCGATACATCAACAATGTAGCTGTCATCCCGAATAAATAAACTCAGTAAAGCAGTGTTGGAAAACACGGTAAAAATATCGATATATCGATGTTGCACCGATGATTCGCCCAGCGCTGCAATCAAGCCTTGCAAGATATTAAAATTTCAGGAAAGATAACTAATACAACTATGGCAGATAGGCTGACACAGCTTCAGGACACTGTTAATCAAGTATGGGAGTATTGAATCAAGTTTTATAATAGCTTTGTAAGCAAAATGTTTTATTGTTTCTGTTTTAGCAAGCCGAGCACTTCTGCAATGCTATTGGTGTAATTCAACAAACGTCCTACCCCAGCAAGTTTGCAAATTTTGACAGGACGGGCTCGCAGACACCCATACAAAACCCGCCGCAGGAGGATTATGCACAGCTTTTCGCACAACTAATAGCTCGATGTGCTAAGGATATCGATACTTTGATTGAGTCATTGCCCAATGAAGACAGTTCTATTGAACTACAAAATTCCAGCCTTAAGCGGCTAGAGATTGAAAACCAGGAAACTGCAGAGCAACTTGAACATGTCGTTCAAAAAGGAGAACTGCTGCTAGAAAAAATCCAACTTGCACTGGGAGACATAGCCCAAGCACAATTGGACATGCAAATAACGTTAAAAACTAGTTTGCAATAAATCGCTAACATTTCATCTTAAACAATTGTGTGTTTGTGAACTCATTCTCTTGCTAGAAATTATTTAAGTAGTATATTTAAGCTTTTCTTTATGTAAACAAAGCTCAAATAGTTAATTTTCTTTAAGACATCAATGTCCGAATCTTGAGCAAAATAAACTTTATTAGAATAATAATTACCCAAAATAATCATCGTTAAATGTTAAAGAAAAACTAATGATATGACAAGCATTGAAACATTTCGAATCTAATTAAGTAAATCCACGTTGCCTGTTTCTATTATTTTTTAATATACAGTGCTATTTCACTTCAAAAGTTGACAATTGTCAGTTGGCAGGTACTTCAGACATAAATCTAATTAATATTTATTTACCATTGGATATTGTTATTTTGCGATAAATTGTGAAAGGTATTGAGGAGACTCATACCCAAATAAGTATATATATTCCTGATCAGCACCAAAAGTGGAGTCGATATAGCTAGGCCATACCTTATGGGGTCGGTATAAGAAGTTAAATGCTTGTCAGTTGAGGCCGATTAGTTTCATGATATATTAAAACATCTATTTGTCTGTTTTCGATAACTTGTCCGCAAAATATTAGGACCATAATAACACTCGTAGCTGGTAAGGTTGATTGAGATATTTTGGCAAGTAAAAAGATTGTTTTTCATACAAAAACTCATCCGTCGGCCAATAATTCCTATGTCACTTAACCCAAACCCGCCGATTCCGATATCTGATGCTGACCGCATAAGAATTATGGATATTTTAAAACTTTTATTAAAAAGCCTTTTCGCTAAGGGACTAGCAGACGTACATGATTATATCAACTGGGCCATTAATGGTTTCCAATAGTAGTTACACCATTTGGGTTGGAGAGATCTCGCTGCAAACTTCCGTTATAATAATGCCAACTGATCATTACCAGTATGCTCCTATTTTGAAATGGTAATGTAATATTTAGTTAAGGAATACAATTATTTTTGTTACTGTTTTTAGAAGTCCTCAAATTTGTCAGCTTCAATACTATTTCTGTAATATTTTATTTCTTGCGAATGGCATTTGCCCATAACGAAATCATTCTCATATTTCCATCGCAATTATTTCAGAATGTGTGTATAGCTGAGTAGCTGTTCAATTTCAGCTTTGTATGCTTAGTACTAGAATGGTTTTCCGGGTTATTAAATGATGTTAAGCAAATACTTGAGCCAGATTAAAATTACAATGTTAAAATAACAATTATTTTCGTATAGTTTTAAATAATGTATTTAATACAAATAGGAAAAATTTACACTTGCTTTTGTGTTATTTAACTTTATACAGATTATTCATATTCTACTTTAATACACTCTATGCATTCATTAATAAATTTATTATTGTATTTACAAGCTACAACTGTTGCTATTAAAATGAATGCATTAAAATCAGATAACCTAAATATTTGAATATTTGAATGCCGTATCTGGTATGAGAAAATCGATTCGTAGTTTTCTGTTACTATATTCGCACTGCGATCAAAATAATTTATTTTATTTTACAGTGTAAACATAAATCGCTTGTGTGGCATGTCACATATAAATATATATATGTACTTATCATGTTAAATTTTACCTTTATTAACCAAAACGTTACGTACGATAATCTTATAAAATGAAAATCTATTTTTTGATTTAAAATTAACGGACAAGCCAATGCTTTTAAGTTACTTAAGATAAAAATCAATTTCTATTTAAATGTAACTGCATTTATAAAATAATATTGTGAACTTCTTATATTTGTAATTATTTCTTATGACTCAAACCAATAATTAACATTTATGTTCAGTAATTTTGTAGCATATTCTAAAGCCGAAGTTTATCTGCTTTAGTTTAGAGTACCCCTACACCCTTGAGCTCCACAAAGACATGGGATTTTTTCCTCTTCCAAAGGAAATTTGTAGTCATAAGTTATTTCTTCATTAATTCCAATGGGTTGCTTTGAATATATAACAATTTTTTTTTCTGATTCTATGGTAATGACTTTGGCATAACAGTTTGGCTGCAATAAAAAAACATGAAATTAACAATTGAATCAATTTTTAACGTACGTAATACTTACATTACAGCTGTGATTTATAAATCTTGCCAAATTGCCACATTTTGTCGCGTCGATTATAGTTTCCATATCAATTCGAAATAAATATGAGCTACCTATGCCAATTGCCTCATATTTTGTCTCTCTTAAATCAGCGACAACTGGTCGAATCATTTGTCCAACATATTCAATAACCATTTCATCCGCCGCTATTGGTTCCATGGCAAATAATCCCCAATCATGGATTGCTGACTTGGCAAATTTAAGCTGCTTTTTACGGAATTTGAGCTGATTGAATTTTAAAAGCTCAGACTCGCCCATTGAACCGAATGCCGTCAAAAGACGTCGCTGATTCGAGCGAGCTTCGCGAGAAATGCCTTGCATTTTTGATATTAGCTTGTTGTGGTGATGATTCGTTAGTGCCGTCGGCTCATCGCATCTGTCTTCATTTTGAGCATCATGCGTGTTGGCCTTAGCATGGTGATATTTGTGTTTAGCCTTTTCACGTACGTCCAGCTTGTAGAAGCCCTCAGTACGTGCACATCCCGTTTTATGACGCATCAGTTCGTCGTCCTTGCGCCGCTTCTTGGGAGGAGATGGCCAAAATGCTCTGTCTGTGGTGCAATGATTAACCCAATGAGTATTGTTTAAAAACATACTGAAATAGAAAACGAAAATAATTACTAAATATTTGTCGAAATTCGGATAGGCTTCGTAGCTTACGCATATGGCTCCTTTTGTAAATGCTCGATATAGCTGGTCTTAATGTACTTGATATCCTCCAAGTCGATGCCTTTTGTAAGGAAAGTGTATAAAATGACCATTTCCTCGTTTTGATCACGGGTGTTAAACATTTCGCATGGAATAAAGTTGGAAGTTTGTCGAACTAACTCAGAACGTGTGTCCTTCAGCGACTCAATTTTCATTTTCTTATTGGTCTGTCGGCCAGTCAATTCCTTCTTTTTCTTTTGAGCACGAACAGAATCTTTGCGAGGTCTTCCTGGGCCTGGCCTTGCAACTTGCGTCCCATCCGACTCTTTTTTGTTATTCGAATCAAACCGATCCGCTGCAGCACCGGCGGAAAAGTCACCTTGTGCGTGCGGTGGCAAGGAATAGCAGTGTTCTAAAGCCACTTGACTAGCTTGGGATGCTTGACTCGATCCACTGTCTGAGGAGGCAGGTGATTGTTTCCCGTTACAAATTTGTGTTTCATAAGCACCAGTTTTTACAACCGAATTATCTTTACTATTGAACTGAACATTCTTGTTATCCTCACATTTTACATTAATATCAGGCTTTACTGCGCACACAAAATGTTTGCTTTCCTCATTGGCATCGGAAACATCTTTCTTGCACAATGTTAAGTCCTCAAATACTAATTTTGCGCCTGGTGTCGGAGGCACTTTTGTTATATCAGGTGTTTCAGGCATTTCAAAGCTTGATACTTTATTAATCTCTAGTTTTAGATCCATCTTTAATGTACCATCTGTCTGATGTGAATTCTTCTTTTGCTCTTCTAAAAATTCTCGCTCGATTTGAGCCATATACTCTGTGTTTCTACGCCGTTTCTCCTGATACTCGCGCTCTTCGTCAGAATCACTATAAATACGATCATATTCAAAATGCGGTTTTGCTGTACTCGGACCGTCGGACTTCTGAACCGGTTCCTCGTTGTAATCCGGTGGCGGGACAGGTGTAGGCGATCGGCGGGATTCCGTTTCCGTTTCCTTTTTGGCATCAGTCTTTATTTCGGATACAAACTTAGAAGCAATGCCAGTTTCTTCGATACCGAAACAACTATCTTTACTAATATCTTCAAGGTCGGATGGAATGGATGACATAACATTAGTTTTCGATGCAGTAAATAGTTTTGATCTATCCTTTCTGTCAGTATCAATATCGTCATCATCATCATCATCATCATCAGTATCAGAGTATATGTCCATTTTTTTCGTACGACCTCGCTTAGTTGCTGATATTCGGTTTATCGAATGATTATCTTCCTCAGAGTCTGAATATACGTTATGTATTTGGCCCCCCTTTGCAGCTTTCAAGGCACGTCGATGCCTTTTTGATAACTTGTCCCTTTCATTTGCATTGCTTGACGGGATGTCTTCATCAAAAGTTTCGTCGTCGCTACTCCTTTCGTTTTCAGCTCGATTGCCCATTTCTTCAGCATCATTTTCACCATCACTATTGGATGTCGATGATGTTGATGACGAAAAGAAACTTGAAGCACTTCCCTCTCTTTTTCTACGCAAATTGCTTGACGTCAGCCGCAATTTGCCAACATCCCTTTGCAATGAGCGTCGCTTTATGTTAATATTTTGAGCATCGGAACTGTCCATATTTGAATCATCTTTGTCTGAATCGGAACGCTGTACCATTTCTTCTTGATCGCTAAGATCCCTCTCCGACTTATCTGGAATGGGACTAGGATGCTTTGGTACACGTCGAAATGATGGCAATTTTGGCATTGCTGCTCGTATACCGATACTGGTAAATGATTGGAAATCTGACATCTCTCTTTGCGTGTTGATCAAATGGTTAATGTCGGGAGGCTTCTCTTGGCTTGAATGTTTATCTAATGAGTGGTTACTCACAGTAGCCGAATCGCCAACTGATAATAAGGGTTTTGAGCGCGATTTCGCCGTTTGTTCGTCCCACCAAACCTCAAAATTTTTAAAAGCTGTCATTTCAATCATGCGCTTATTAACATCCCTTTTGAGGATTTGTTTCAGCTCTTCAACTATAAAGTTCATAACCTTTTTCACATTTTGTTTCATTTCGTCATTTTGATCTGTGTGCGTATGCTGGTAGCCATATGCCTGCACATACGGATCTAAATTGAATCCATCAGTAGACACCACTCCAGGTAGATATGAAGATTGCATATATGCAGGATTCGAAAAATACTTCCCAGTAAATTCGGAGCTCGCGCCTATGGCAGAAGGGTAGTGTCCATAGCTATAGGCTGAATGATGATAATAATAATTGCTTTGTTGAGAAACATGAGGATCTGTGTATGCAGAAAACATCATTTTCGTAGCTTGGCTTGAGACTTTTGTCGTCTCTTCATGTGAGGATAAACTGGACAAGGACATGTTGTCATCATTGTTGTCAATTGATTCAAACTTCTCAAGAGGTTGCTTAACCGTTTCCTTTTTAATTAAAATGTCGTCGTCACTTGATATATCACTGGCGCCGTGCTGCTGCAAGGCTACTACATTTTTCTCTGTTGATTTTTTGTTGTGGGAACTATTCGAATCACAATGCAGTTCAACCGTATCATTATTTCCGTCGCCTTTGGCCTTATCTGTCTCAGAATCACTACTATCCATTTGCAGAAATGGTGGGGCATTTCCAAACGTCTTTCCTTTGAATATCAAAGCAATACGTGTGTCTAAATCAACATTCTCTGTGCTAACTTCCGATTCGGCAACAGTCTCCAGAAGATTATTCGATTTATTTGACTTTGATCGCTTCGGTGATAGTAGCTTTATGCAAGCAAGCAAATCAGCTGCAGGCGAATTATCGTTTGGATGCGAATTCAATGGCGGAGGTTGTGGGTCGTCCCAATTTTCTTCTTCTTCCATGGGTGGAGGCGGTGGCGGAGCAGGCTGTGAATCTGGTTGTGGTGCCGCCGGCCATCTCCTATAGGAGCTAGACCATGAATGAATACTTTCGCCCATAGTGTAGCCATAATGACCATATCCATAATTATCAGACGGTATTAAATTAGAGACAGGAATGCCAGAATAATATTGTTGGTTTTTAAACGCTGACGAGGCCCCATTTTCATCTTTGGGGCATTCATTACTTGAATACCGTTTATCGTGTTTAACACTAATTCGATCATTGCGATCACTTTCAATAGATCGATCTCGATCCCGATCTCGTTCTCGGTAATCCCGTTCTTTAGATGAACTAATGCGACAATCTCTTCTCTCCCTTACCCGATCCCGAGAATGATCTCTTGATCTATTGCGCTCTCCATATTTATCTCTTCCTTTTGCACGCGAATAGTCATATGACCTTACGTCTCGGTCTCGTTCTCGATCTCGGTCTCTGTCTCGTGCATTATATAAGCGATCCCTGCTTGATTCCGGACTCTTTTCTCTTGATCCTCGAGAATAATAATGACGACTATGACGTGAGCTGGTATATTTATTACGTGTTCCACGCTCCCTGTCATAACCTCGCTCTACGGAGTGTCGTACACGATCTTTAATAAATCGATCTCGATCTCGCTCCCGTTCTCTGTGACGATCACCATCTAGTTCTCCAAACACTGTGGTCTTATGAAACGAATTATGACCACTACTTGATACCAAATTTGGGTCGTCCTTTTCAGAGCAATCATTAAAATATTCCTTTGCCGCAATTAGAGTAGTCGAATGTTGTATGGTGCCAATCACAGGTCTTGGTACAGTGGGATTTGTCAGATTGTCTATAGTTTTTTTTAAAACGGCACCAAAAGGATCACAGAATACGTTTAAAATCTGTTGAATAAAAAATTGTTAATAAGTTCTAGTTTAAAGGCTTTGCACAACTTTGCACAACAACTTAGATTAGAAAAACAATTAAAAGTCGACATTGTCGCATTGCTTGTAGCACCAACACCAAACTTACCTTTCCCATTACCGATTTCTGGTTATACTTCTCAATAAACTGGCGTGCTCCTCTAGTGCTCTCAAAGACGATTCGCGCAATTCCTAGATGTTTGTTTGTCGTTGGGTGATGATATATGTTTATCTCATCAGTGGGCCCGCATTTATCCAAAAGGCTAGAAAGAAATTGCCGGTCGATGTTGTCGTTAAGATTAACTACCGTTACTTCAATAGCCGGCGGCTGCCCAACGTAATCTGAATCGATGACAAACCTGTGCACAAAGCAAATGTATACTTTACTTCTTTAAAATAATGCCACTATTGAAATTGCGTCTTACCGTGGAATTACCAGCATTAACGGTTCAACAGGTTTGGCTCGAATTCGAATGAGTGGATTTCGTGGGTCGCGAGGTGTAACTGTGGGGTAAGTGGGGTCGCCAGGCACAACACCATCATATCGATACAGCTTGGTGCCACATTTTAATAGCTGCGGATCCGCTAACAATTTAAAGTTTCTATGCATCCTCGTTTGACTTGACAAAGAACTAAAGGCACCTCCATCACGATAGCCCTGCATCGTAGTATGTGCCTGTTCCGCTGATGATTCTCCGCCATTAATTGAGTGGTAGTTATTGCTTGTATCCATAGGAGAGCAATTGGCCACGTTTAAGAAATCTTAAATAAGAAAAAGACTTAGGATTGTGATGTGTTTATATTTACATTTTCAATTACAAAAATGAAATGGAAAAGAGAATAAGAACTTTTGTTCTTACATTTATTGTATTTAACGACTACCGCCGCTACGTCGGCGGGCCCACACTATCCGGGTGTGTATTAGCAGGGGAACGAAAATGTAGCAGGTATCTTTCCCTCGACGGGATGTGACTTCCCCGGTTTTTATGACGCTAAAGTCAATGCTATTAAGGTAGCATTGCAGTTATGCCATTCGCGACGTACAAATTTTGCGATATATAACAACATATGAAGTATTAAAACACAGTCGAACAAAAAATACACAGAAAAAACGAGGCCTCGAAGGGATGTAAAATCAATGTTATCGATATGTAAATATATCGATTATTTTTTAATCAGTATTTTTTGGCGAATGAGTATTTGATTTTAAAAAGTCTTGTTTTCTTTTAACCAAATATCTGGAATATTACTTGAAATTGAAAATCAAATTAAATAATAGGTGCTGTTAAAGATATACTAATCAACGCCGTTAGAAAAATATTAGTATTAAACATATGAATACAATTTTTAACGATCTGGCAGCACCATAAATAAAATATCCATATTGATTGCATCACAATTGATGCACAAAAAGGTTTTAACTTGTTTCGAGCTGTGTTAACATCTTATAAAACGTCAGGGTTCGTATAATTTGTTAATATTGTTAATCGATAAGATATTTCTTATGGCTCTTAAATGTATTTCCAGTTTTCATACATGTGAAACAGTCAAATAACAATCTATATATTCACGTTTTTTTTTGCCTCCACAATTATATATTAATAAGGAAAGATATTATTATCCATAATAGCTTATTTATATGCATGAATAAATTTCAATTGTAATTCTTAGCCCTTTTGCAGGATTTAAAATGGCCTTTTGGAAATTTTTCGGACTTCCCGTGGTTAGGGCTGATGAGGAAGAAGAAGATCTTGTTGATCCCCAAACAGCTCTTAGGGTAAGAACCTTGTTCGCCTCTGCGGAATGTGTTTCTATTGTATAATAAATTTATTTGTATTTTTTATTATATATAGGATAAGTGTCAGACTAAAGGAAATATTGAATCCTTGTACAACAAATATCAAGAATGCAACGACCGTGTTAATGGACGTTCGAAAACAACCGAGAACTGCATGGAGGAACTGTTCGACTATGTCGCTGAGTTGGACCACTGCGTAGCTCATAGCCTTTTTTCGAAGCTCAAGTAGTTGACAATATAATGTAGAAAATATTTATTATTGTTCCGAACCCTTGAGTAAAACTGTTGAAGTTTTTAAGTAATTCATTTAACATTGTTTTTGCAGTTGGCATACAACTAAACAAACCATTTTCAGCTCATCAATTTGTGGCTCAATTTTTCGAGTGCTGGTGGTGTCGCCCCTAGCTGAGAGAAACTCTGCCAGCTTATTGCCGGAAAATCCTCTAAAATGTATTGTGCTGTATTTTTGATCTCAACGGGAAGTCTTCACGAAGCATCCTTCTTTTTTTTTAAATTTTGTAGCTACTTTTGTACTTTGCACTGTTCCTTCAAAATTATTATTAGTAGAAGGAATGAATTTAAAAAAATAACAATTTCATCAATATAGCTGTTTTTACCGAGCGACTATACTGAATATATAGATGGCGAGTGAAAATTTGATGACAAATATTCCTGCGGACTTTGGAGATATAAAGCATTTTCGCAGAAATTCCCATTGGAACACTTGGCCGACAATGGCAAGATTGAGTGAATTTTAGGTGTACATAAATGTTTTTTTTTTTGTTGCTTTTTTGTTCTTTTATTTACATATGCTTACAAATTTGCGCTATAAAATGTTCAATTCGTTATATACTGATAATACAAACAAAAGTTATTACACAAAATCAAAATGTCTTTTAAATTGTTTTCGAATATATATAGTATTGTTTTCGAATATACATAGTATTGTTTTCGAATATATATAGTATGTATGTATATATAAATATGCATGTAATGGCCATATGGGTTTTAGAGTCCGGTATTGTTAGTTATTCCCAAATCTGAAAAAAATTTAAATTAGTTTTAAGATCAAAAATAATCGTATAGTAAATATGGAATTAAAATATATGTAAATAAGTAACGCTTATTTTCATATATATCATATATATCTGACAGCATGATGAAACATTCTGTGCGATATACATACATATGGTAAGCTACCAATTTATATGCTGCCTGTCACATGCTTAAATTGCTATTAATTATTACCATTTTTAAGAGCCAACCTTTTATTGTAATTTTTTATCATTTTTAGATTCAAAATTTGAAAAAAAAAAGTCTTTATATATGTGCATTTTCTTTTCTTGCATAGAGCATAACATATATGATTTTATAAAATTGATTTACCACTTCCACATAATAATTCCAAAAGCAAGCATTTTAATGTTAGTCGTTTCAGCTTCCTCCATGAAGAACATCAAAGCATACGTTACAAACTCTTACAGGCTTATTTATGCCAAACTTCAGAATGGGCACATCGTTATTGGAACATTTAGAGCACAGAACTCGCCCACAATGTCGACTGCAATGAAACAAATACATATATTTAAAAAACTGCACATTTGAAAATGTTTGTAGAAAGTTAATTTATTTGGTTAATATTCAAATGCGGTTGACGCACTCAAAATGTTATAAATCGAATAAGAATAATTGTAAAAGAAAGTTAAGAATAAATGTTGGTTTTAGTTTGAAAATAAAATAAAATATACAAACTATTAAACAGTGTTGCACTATCGGGCTTATTATAGCTTTAAATTCAATACATAAAATTAAAGTGATTTTGCAAAACGCTATTGAGTCTCAGTATTAAATGTTTAAAAAAAATTTTGATGACGAGATCGAAATATGAAACTAAGATTTATAAAAAAAAAATATTTTAAAGAATAACTAACAGACAATAAACGAAAATAAATCTTAGATTCGGCGAGGGAAGATTGTATCATCAGTCCAGCAAACCTTGTTCAGAAATTTCTCCGAAACCTAAGAGATTTAATTGAGGAGAGAGATCTCGTGACCACACTTAGAAAATGCTGATAAGGCTTTTACAAAGGACACGAAATTAATTTTGAATTTTTGATCTTCATTTGAGGGAGTCATAAGAGTAAGACAAATCCGGACAACCAAAAAAAGTGCGATCTATTTCTAAGATAACCCTACATTTCATTATCGACGAAAGAGTAATATGTAGGAGGCCAACGAAGATTTCGATTAAAATTAAAGCCACTTTCTGCAAACAGCAATAAATGGCAAGCAGACACTTGGGGATATGACTTTGACTCCTGAACATATATATTGAATAGCAGAGTTCTAAATGATTGACAGACACTGAACTTGCAAGGAGTTGGTATATGGGCCAGGATGTCAGCCAACAGTCAGTGTGAAGCGTAGGCTTCAAATCATCACGGCGTGTCGTCAGCGGTCACATTTCAGAGTTTTTCTTGTAATGGGTCTGCCACAGTTTCGTTTCTCAGGCAATCTGGAATCTGAAATGTGAACCCACCGCGATGAGCATCCAGCAAATCCGTAGACGAAACGGGCGCTTTCCCAGGTCCAAGCAGCAAGCAAAACAAATCACCAATACAAATTTTCAGTGGAGGTAATGTCATCAAAAACGAAGGTTGCCATATCACTCAAGCAGAAGCCTGAAAATAAGTCCGTCAAAGCAGCGCCATGGCTGTAGAAAATGGATGGGATCAGAGGCAATAGGATATCTGCGCAAAAAGGCAGCGGTCTGATAAAGCGGCGAAATATTGGAAGCAAAAACCTTGTCCTCCAAATTGACCTGATTTCCGAGTGACCGATCTTCAAAGTATTGATCCTAGTAATGTAGAAGCAGATGGTAATGAATAACTGAATAGCGCTCATTAAACAACATGGAATGGGCCTCTGAATCTGGATTAAGTAGCAACTCCAAGAGCAATGCGCTTGATCCGGGGAATAGACTGATATTGGGAGAAAATTTTTTGCTTTCAGTGACTATAGCATATCGGTATATCATTCCTAAGAGGAGCAATCCCTGTCGGATGTTTTAAGGGTATCATCCTTGGTTGCTATCGAATGAACACCATAAAGAGAGGACAACCCCAATAAAAGGATATAAGCAATAAAAATTTTGGGATTTATGAAAGTCATTTAAAATCTTGGAATCGTCTAGGTTTTATTGACTTGACTAGACATATCAAAAACATGACTTTCCGTGCTCCGATTTAAAAAACAATATATATATAATATCGGTTCCGGTATCGAAATTTGATGTGCATTCAAATTGGAACATTTTGGTTAACGGATTCAGTTTCTGAATTAATTATTTTCTAAATAAAACATATTTTGCATTTTTCTTACCAGTGGTGCCTCCTTATAGTAAGTGAAAACTTTAAGCCACACTCTTGGCACAATTCTGATTCCGCCCACGGCGACTCCTGTGGTAATTGGTCCAATAGTTTGCTAAGCAATTGATCTGTAGCAAGTTTGTAATTGAAAATACTAATGCCATCACGGTTTTGAGCGCCAAGACAAGCACCGACTTTTACGAGCACCTTGCAAAGTGGAGCTTGACCTCGCATGTATGAAAGTAGCAATGGTGTGTTTCCGTCCATGTCAGGCACATTAATTGGATACTTTGGCATACACTCAAGAAATAGCTCGCAAATGGCTGCTCCCGAGTTGTCTTCCCCAATCCTACATAACTCATGCAACGGATTTCGACCTTTGGCATTGGTCGCCTCAGCGTTTACCCGCGATTCGGTTAGTAGCTCTCGTACAATTGCAAGCTGGCCACTGTGCACTGCAAGATGTAATGCGTTGTTTCCATCGGCATCAATTGCGTCATAATCGGCATTATTTTGGATCAACGCTGAAACTGCCGATAGGTTTCCACGTTCAATTGCTATATGCAGTGGCATTTTCTGGACAGAGTCTCGTTCGTTGACCCGGGCGCCTGCTAAAATCAAGTTTCGAATGATCATTTCATTTTTCGATGCAGCTGCCAGGTGGAGTGAAGTCGATTGATATGCGTCATGTACCCGCGAATTAACATCAACTTGTATAGACAATAAAAACAGAACACTTTCGAGGTCGTCTTTTAGGATGGCCACATGAAGAAAGTTACGACCACGCTGATCCATTATCTCAGCTGCATTTGGAAGTCTCTCGAGTATGCGCTGTGCAGCTTTGTGATTGCGTATGGCCAAAGCAGTTGCAAAGGGTGTCAGGCCTGATTTGTCTCGCAACTTTAGGTCTATTCCAGGGTGGCAAAGAAGAATGTTGATTATATCTTCATGTTGGTTCTCAATAGCGATGTGTGCTGCTGTTTTGTTATCAAAATCTACAGCGTTAACATTGGCACCATGATCAATAAGTGCTTGAACAACCTTTGTTAGATTCCATTGGCAACAGAGATGTAAGGGCGAGGCTTTGTCACGTGCTTCTTCTCCTCCCGATCCATTCGGGCCGGGTTGACGCGGAGAGTCTAAATCGCATTGGTTTCGAACAAGAAACATTGCTATGGACTCATTATTTTCATCAATTGCACGGTGCAACAACGTTTGTTGGCAGCCATCAGGACCATCGTTCCAGCAATCGGTGTCAACCCCGTGTCGTACAAGAATCTGCGCCACATCCTCAAATCCCAATTCTAGGGCTGTCCATAATGGCGAATCTGTGGTATTATCTAAGGTACTCAGATCCACTCCCTTTATGCATAGGGCATCTACTACTTTTGGTAAATGATAGCTTATAGCCAGCTGCAATGCAGACTTTTGCTCACCTAAAAGTTAAATAAAATATGCATTAAACGTATTTGCGTGGAATATATCTATCCCATATATCAAAACATGGACATGACATGACAGTTAAAACGCTCATGGTTCGAAAATTACGGAAAACTGTTATACGATTATTTTATTTTGGGGTTTTAGCAATCAACTTAATTTTTTTTTTTAAAGATTTATATGCAAACTCAGCCAATTGGATTCAAATAGGGATGCCTAATTTTCGTGTGATTAACTTTAATCTTTTCTTTTATATATAAATATAAATATATACATATATTACCTGTTAGTGCGTTAATCTCAGCACCTTGGTCCAACAAAAACACTGATTTTTCGCTGTCCCCGTTTATGATAGATTGATGTAGCAAAGTCAAGTCTTGACTATTTCTCGCATTAACATCTGCACCACCGGCAATTAGTATTGGAGCCAATTCAATTCGATCCAAGGCTAAGCAAAGACTGAGTGGTGAGTCTCCATTTACGTCCTTGCAATTGAAATCTATCTTCTCGGAGTCATCTTTGCGAAAATTAGCGAAGGTTTCAATAATTTCCCGGGCATTTACTTCGACTGCTACGTGCAGTGGCGATTTCATTTTGGCTGCACTCGTCTGTATATTAGGCGAAGCGCCTGCGTTGAGCAGTTTAGCCACAAGTTTTGGCATATTCTGTTGGACAGCAATGTGAACGGCGGACATTCCACAGTTATTCAGGTGATTAAGATTTGCAAAATCAGCCAAAAATATTGCTGCATTTTCGAAATCTTGTCCGGCTAGGGTGAGTACTTGCAATAGGCTATTCTTTGTGTCTGATTTTAAGGGATTTACATTTGCTCCCATCTTAAGAAGCCTTTCAGCAAGATTGAAGCTTTCCTTATTAAATGCGGTTAAGCTCAATTCAAGAGGGCACTTTTCGTCATTTGTGCGCAAATTAATGTCTATATCAGGCACATCAAGCAATAGGTTCACCATAACCATGTTATTAAATGTGATCGCAAGGTGCAGCGCCGTCTGACCGTGCATGTTTTTAATATTTACGTTGGGCTTGCAATCTATAATTTGTTTTCCAATATCAGTCATTTGAGTAAAATCATTGGAGTTGGCCTGGGTCTCCCCATAGCTACATACGATATGCAGAGCAGTATCGGCTGATGGCCTTGAATAATCAAGCAGGTATTAATTTCACATTATTCAGTGACACAATTAGTTAAAGTACCTGGACAAAAGATCAACAAGGCACTTCTGGCTTAAGAGGAAATTTGCAGCAAAATGATCAGCTCTCCTTACAGCATCTATAAGAAGTGTCGATCCCTGGACGAAAATGTTTGTTGAAAGAGTATAAAATCCAGGTTAATTACATTACTTACTTTGGCATCATAGGCATTAACGTCAGCAGATCCATTATTTACAAGAGTTTTGGCAATCTGAATATTTTTAGCTGATAGGGCCATTTGTAATGGGAGCTGCCCATGCTCGGACAAACTATTCACCAATTCTGGTAACTGCAAATATCAAAATATATCAAGGTTCATATTTTAATCGTTTTAATGATATTGATTAGCATATATTAAGTAATTATAAAATAAATAAATAATCTTCAAATAAATCCAAAATCTTAGTTAAGAATTTCTGAAATTTAATTTTTTTCTATTACGGAGGAAATGATATTCTAATTTCCATCGATTTTGCATTTTTGCTCTATACACATTAAGTTTATTAGTAATAAATCATTATAACACTTCCATCGGAAATCTATATCTATATAGCAAAAACATTTGTGTGGTTCTAAATCCAAATATATAAATCACATGCCTTCCAAACTGTCATTGTCGTAAGTTAAATCTTCGCGAAACTGTTTCAATGATTTGGTATTCCCATCAGATCCGTATTTAATTGAAAACAAATATAATACGAATTATGTTTACTATTTTTGGAACCCCAAAAAAAAGAATCTGAAGAATGTTTTGTTGAAACCGAAAATGGAAATGTTTTACTCAAATGGAAGCACGCCAAATTACTTTGAATACTCTAATACCGAAATTATAAGAGTATATTCGTTGGTGGAATTTCCGCCATACTGCTTAAACGCAATTTTCTTTGACACCCTTAATTCACTACATACTTTAAAGTTAAAACATACAGTGTCTCAGACCTTATTTCGAATAGTCTCTAGCAAAAAAGTGCTATCAATTTTAAACAAAAAAACAAACGCCAAATGTTTAAATGCTAATATGTTTAATGTTATATCACGTTTGAAAAAGAAACTTCAATTTTTATTAAAATATTAAGTAATTAATTATAATTAGTCAAAAACTGAAAACGTAACCAAAATACATGTGCAAGCTGATTTGGGACAGTCTTAAAAAAGCAACATTTTTGGGTATAAAAACTTAAATAAAGATGTTAATACTTAGTAAGATATCCTTTAGCCTTAACAACTTCCCTTAACCTATTATTCATGGAAGATACCAGCTTCCGTGTAGTTTCTGGGTTGATTTTGCTCCTCTCATCCAGCAGAGATCTTGTTTCCTGGATATGCTGTGATTCCAGATGTTATTTTCCAGCAGAAACCACAAATTTTTAATAACATTTAAATCTGGAGACTTGGCCGGTGGAATTATCATGTGGGGGAAATTCCAAATAAGTCAGGACTGTACTAATTCAGACTTATTCTTTGGGTCGTTGTCCTGGTAGAACCGGAAGTAAATTTTTCTGTAATATACTGAGGTACACATCCCTGTCTATTCTTATTTCAATAAACACCAAATTTTTGACGCCGGCTACCGAGATACATGCCCATCCCATGACACTTCCTCCGCCGTGCTTGACTGTTGCCTTTAAGTTTTTGGGATTCGGCTCAGTATTAGACTGTCGCCACCCATAATTCCGTCCGTCCCAGCCAAAGTGTTGAATTTGGACTCATCTGCAAATATGAATTCCAAAATTCCAAATTCTTGTCCAAGTGAGTTTTGGCGAACGTCATCATGGTCCCTTTATTTTTTTGCGCTTATAAAGGGCTTATTCCGTGGTACTCGGGCATTGAAGTCATGGTTGCGCAGAACCTGTCGCACAGTTTCCACACTTTACTTTTCCCCATTTCATCCTGCACCTGTTGAGTCAGTTTTGGAACTGACAGCTTAGGATTTTCCCTTATTTTCCTGATGATCCTCCGCTCTTTCTGTTCGGTTAAAATCTTGTTTGACGTCATTCTGCCCTTGTCCTCTGTCCGACGAATGATGTAGTATACAGTTGACTTGCTTAGATTGACCATTTCAGCTATTTTGCGATATCCGTTTGCTCATAGTCCTTGTTGGCTGGTTGCATCCGAGATGCAGGATATATCTAAACTGACTACGAAGGATTGGTCTATTTATACCGAAAATAATCAATTTTTGAATAATAATGTATAATTAGTTTATGGCAGACAATTAAAATTGTTGCTAGACGCTGGTCGAAATAAAGTCTGAGACATTGCGTGTATACTTTTCTGTGGCCGTGTGTTTCTGCTAGGTTCATTGGAGATCTACAAAATTGATATAATCGATAATTGCAAATCGATAAGAGGCACATGACTGTACAACTTTAAATCTGAAGTCGCATAATCTTGTTGAAGTCGACCTTCAAAGATTGCCACCAGTCACACCCATCCCCTCCGTTTCATAAATCGACAATGTCTCTATTCTCTTCAGTTTTTGAGCTAGAATCACTAAATTTGTAAGATAAATTAACCACTATTTAATATCGATATAATATTGAGTTAGTCGCCAAATTACCGGTATCTCAAGATCGATTGAAAAATGTAATGTTTGTAGTTTAAATTATAATTTCGATTATTTCAGACCTTTTCAATTAAAAGTCATTCAGAGATTATCTATAGTAACTGTTTTTTCCAAAAGAGATAACATTCTTTACATTCAACATTCGTAAAGCATTTGCGAATTTTAGAAATTCGCCCGTGAATTTCGTTTCTTGAGCGATGATTTTTCGCATTTCATTTAGCTGTTCTGAGAAGCTGAAAATATTTTTTAAAGAAAAGTGTCAAATATTTTAACTAATTAGTTTATTATTTCGCAGACATAAAAATAACCCGATCTACTTCCTTATTTATGCAGCATAAAATTGGCGTATTTAAAAAAAGCATCACCGCAAAATCTTTCCGTATGATTTTCTGGATTGTCGTGCGTCGGGAGTGGTGCTACAATTCGCAAAAGCGCAATACTGAGAACGGACGCTGTTGATCTGCCAGGCAATTGCAAAAGTAAATAGCAATTTTCTTATGAAAAATCAACATTGATGCATTTTGAATTATTTTTAATCTGTTCTGAAAACAAGCTAGCAAATTTATTTTACATAAACATTGTGCGAGCAAACCTCAAATTATGTTAGTGTAAAATATGTCAGAGAAACAGCAATTTCCCGTTTTGTTCGTGCAATACATCGTTTACCTCAGTACGATAACCAGGGCTGCCTGCGTACCTCCGAAAGAAGGATAATAATGTGATGAACGATAATTATATTGTTTGGGACTCTTGTGCAATTTAATAATTAAATTTAAGACGAAAAATATATTTCAGTTTATTTTTATAAATTTAAACAATAAATAATACAGATCTTATATGCCGTGTAGCTCACTCAAAAAAGCGATTGAAACTCACAGCGAGAACAAAATGTTGTGCTTTGTGCCCCCAAAAACTGAAGATTTTTACCTGACATAAATAAATTACATTTAAAATGTTTTGTTGGAGTTGTTATGTAATGGAAGTTAGAAATATCCAATAAATCGACTATATATTTGTTGTGCAAATTACAGAAAAATGTATTCCTTACTTGGAGTAAAAATAAATCTTTTGATGTCTCTGAAAATATTGTTGAATGTATCCCAAGAGTTTTTACTTTTATATTAGAGCAGTAACTATTAAGTTCTGTGCTGTGCTTATCAAGGATATTTTGACTATGCACTTGGCCATTTGTATAGTGTGACGTAAATGAGCAACTCTGTTGAATCACGGCCTGCGCAATCTTATTTCTCACATTTGCAGTGCTGCGTTATAAATGTGAAACTGTGACGTCACTGCAGATATGAGCATCTTAAATCCAGCCTTTCTTTAGACATAAGCAACAACCTTGTATGCTTTTTTATTTGTTTCATTGTTGCTGTGTGCGAACATTTATGTTATTGATAATTGTGCGTGGTACTTGTAGACTTAATGCTGTTCTAAAGCAAATAATTTACAAAAGTAAATACATGTGTATATTATGTATCTACTCCATTTTAAATTATGATGAACGGAAATTAAATAATAATAATAGTGGAAAAAATATTCAACTTTCCTTTCAAAGCACATACATATGTACATCATATGTATGTATGCATATATATATATATGTATATATATATATGTATATATGTATGTAAATAGAATTCGGCAGCACTTTCTCCATTGCCGGTGACTTGTTTTGTGAATCGACACTAATACTTATGTACCAGAGTTTGTACATACATAAATTGTGCCATATTTTATACACACATACAGAAATCTGCATGTCTTTATCGCACGACAGAAAAATAATCTACAAATGCTGTATGAATTTATTTATGTATGCATGTATGTATGTACACATGTATTACTGTCTGAACGGAAGAAGGCATATGCATATGTACATACATGCGTAAACATATTGTTTTTTATATCCAGATATTAGCATAATTACACGCACATACTTATGTGAGAATATACCAAATGATTAAAAGTATGAGTTGGACTGCACACTGCAATAGTTTTGGTTACTTGTGCCAAACCGTTATTGTGTTCGCTGTTACTATTGGTTTAGGTTGGTATTTTAATATTATATCGTAATATATTAATAGATGTTTTATTCTAAATTTACATACCCCCAATTGTTTACATATATACACTTTATATATATCTTTACATATAATTCTAAATCGAACTTCAAAGAAAGCAAATATTGAGCAATATATATAAGATATAAGTTAGTCGATTCTGATTGCGTCCGTCTCCAAACTCTAGACTAATTTATAATCTCTGCTGAAAATTAGCATTCTAAATTCGGGTTCAATGCACCTATCATTAGAACTAAGAAGCCATAACAGCTACAAAAAACAATTGGTAATTGGAATGGCACCTTTTTTTGGCAAAATAAACATTGGAAAGTGAAAAAGTTGCATCGGGCGTAGCCGGCTGCAAAATAGTCTGATACCAATGTAATAACAGGTGACAAATGACAGGTGGGGGCGCGAGAGGTCGTGGTCCGCCTTTCGAAGGGTTGTTACTAGCAATATCCGTTTCAAACTGACTGAGACTAGCTAAAAAATTATAGAAGATACCGGTATTTTAGATTTTTAGAACAAAGTGAGCGTGGTCAATTGAAGAACGTCGAGGGCTGAACAATTACTACAAATATCGATATCGATCTATCTATTTAAAAAGTAATGACCAGTTTATTAGGGATACATCAATTTAAGTGACTATAAGAACTAAAGATTCTGAATTGCAATAGAAGTTCTTGGATAAATACTTTAAGCCATTTCCAAATTATTCATTAATTTTTACCATTGAAATATCGACAATACAACTTGTACATTTTGTGACTAATTCTAAGATTCAAATTCATTTCTATGATCTATATAAAATTTCATTGTAATCTGTGTGGAAATTCAATTTTCATGCGCCTAGCTTTAAACTAAAGTCGAAGTTCTACATAAACATGAATTAATTTGAATTACATTTTCTGAAAAGTTAGAGGAAAGCTTTTGTTTTTTATTCGATTGATTTCAAAATCAATTTGAAAATTCCCTGACGAATGCATTTACATTTTCCGTAAATATTAAACCATTGTGAGTTTTAAATAAGTAAATAACAAAGATATACAAATATATATTTCAAGATACAAGTCTGTAGACAGACAGCATGAAACCAATAATCTCTTCTACTTAAAAATGTCAAATAATGCTTATAAGTCTATAATGCGAGAATGTGGTCAATATTAATACATCAACTCTACTTTCAGGCAAGTGCACAGCAAAAGATATATTACAATGTTACAAATGTTCCGTCACTGTGGAAAAATATTTTGTTGACAATGCAACTATTATTACACCATTGTGTTCAAAATTTGAAGAGTCGTCTCCTTACATGGTTCAATGCCCATATTCTACGATGTGTTTAAAAACTATTTCCATTTTACACATTCAAAATGGACAGCGGCAGGAAACCATTACAAGAGGCTGTGCACAGCAAAAGAACACTACTCAGGTTCGCATTTTGTTTGCCATCGAAAAAAAAGTATGCCCATTTATATTAAAATACATTTACTTTGATTCTTTGCAGATATTTCGTAATAGGCAATGGGAGCAGGAGCACTTAGTGGAGGAGGTATACGAGGAAGGATGCAAAGAAATTCAAGGTAACAATTTGGCGGGATCAAAAAACGTACATTGTTATTGCCGTGGAGAACTGTGCAACTCTTCAAATTCCTTCATTCTTAATGGAAAATTGTTAAGCGTGTTTATTTTGTTGAACGCCATTTCGATATTTGGTGCCACATTTTCCTAATTGAATGTTTTCTTTTTAAAATATAAACGTTTGCAATTTATAATAATGAATTCTGTGCTGTTGTGATAATCTATATAATTAACAAAATATCTTGTATGCCGTTTTGTGATAATAGCAATCCAATTTCTTGACGCATACTTGAAATCTTGAAGATAAATAAAAATGATGTGTGGCTGAGTGTTTTTTAAATGGATTTGTTTTTGTTGTTGCCTTTGCTAAATTTGTCTAGTTTATTAAATAAATAAATAATTACTTATTGAATATTTAAAAAAAATGGGTTCAGTTATTTGCCTTTTTTTTCTTCCAAGAATGTGCCAACAGTAGACATGTTTAAAATGCTTAGACTATATTTATTAGATTCTAATTCCCTCCTTGTTCTGACATAAACATGCAGAGATTGTCAAAACACCCCTTGTTGAGGTTAGCACTTTCTACTCGCCGAAATTGAGCCACAAACTTTTCCCTTGACGTATATCGCTCAAATTCACAATTAAATTATAATTTTTGCATTACATTTTAACAATAAACCAACTATTCAATAACTATGTATTGATTACAATCAATTTAATTTTGACTGGAGGAAAGATCCATTTTAAGCACTTTTAGCACCCAAATTTGAAATCCAAATTAAAATTGTATTCCTTGTAAATAAGAAACACAAAGAAATAACAACAACAAAAGACAGCATGTGTCGGCTGAGGCAGCATCGTAAGAATTTATGCAGCTGTGTTGCGCAAGTTCAATACGCTTCTGCTTTTTGCGTCAGCAGTGCTCCGACAGATCTAAAATACTTGAAAGATGAAAAGCCGAGTAAACAAAACTTGCAAATGTATACTACAATAGAATAAATAATGTGAAAATTGGTAAACAGCTACGTAAAACTTTCAATGAACATATAAGAAAACAAGAAGCTATGCCGAAGATAACACACCCTTTAAAAGGTAGTCAAGCTGTCGACCTCTAAATTTTGACTTCTGCTGAAGTTACTGCGACGAATAAGAGGAGTCGATTCTATCACTGCCCGGCGTTCAGAAGTAGAAAGTTCAGATTTTAGGGATATCCCTTTGTAAATATAGCGTAACTTCCTGATATTTCAGCTTTTTAAACAGATTTTTAAAAAGCCACGGACGAAAATACGGTGCCACAAGTAAAGCAGATGGGGTGTAGGCCGAGCGGTATTACAGAGAGTCACGGAAGTGCTTCAGTTCAGGTGACAAGCGCCATAACCTAAACTAATCTACGTTTAAGACAAATGTTAATTATTAAATTTATGTGTCTCGATTGGCTTTCAAACAGGATTTTATGTAATTCTATGGATTTTTCGATATCATAAATTTGTAATTAATTTTCCTTATATGAGCTAAATCTTCTGAGATTGGTGTGGATATATTTGGAAATCAATTATATATTCATACTACCGATTGTTTCTATGGGAGCCAAATAATACAGTGGAGCTTTCAGGTCGGCTCCAAACTTCCTTCAAAAATACGAATAAATTCACATTTTCAACCAGAGAACTTCAAAACTCAGCTCAGTTTAACAATAATGACAAAAGGGCAAAACCGTATCTCTTTCAATTTAACCCTCTAAAGGAAATAAAAACTATTAAAGTAGTACCCAGATGCGAAAAAATAGTACCGCTACGTCGTTTTGTATTTTTAATATATTGCTTTTTATTCCACCTATACGTTAAAGGTAATACTGCTTCGGTTTCTTGTTTATATACTTTTTTCTTTAATTTAAGAGGTAAAGTGGCAAAAGTAACGAAAAAATAAGAGCACTCCTTACACACTCTTTAAAGTAATCGTTATGTCTCGCAGATTTGTGTACTATTTATTATTTCGATCATTAAATTTAAAACAAATTCAAAATTAATCCATTACGAAATCATAAAATAAAATATATTGGATGGATAATTCCATAAAGGAGTCGGTGGATTTCTTGGGTGTTCGAATAATATAATTTCGACAGTGCAATCAGTTCGATTAAGTCTCGGAGAACTCATGCCTCGCTCTCTATACATCAAGAGCCCTTAAAATGCACAATACTGAATTTTGGATTAAAATTCACAATAAGTGACTAAACATGAAGGGTGATGCATAATGGTAAGGGCTTGAATGGACTAGATTCTAAATATTGAAATAATGCCATTATAAACCGATACATTTACGTTCATATTTTTGATTCTTTGATGAATATGAGAAGCCACTAATATGGATCCTATAACAAGACAATAACCCAAAACACACCAGCAAGAAAGCAATGGAATAGCCTGCGCAGACACGTGACCTCAGCCCTTTTGAAAATCTGTGGGCTGACGTCAAAGTAATTTTCAACGTATAACTTTGGAGTGTAGTTTGGAAAACTATGCCAGTTCTTGGTTGATTCAATGACAAGATGTTGCGAAGCCATTAATGACAGTATGCGGAACGGATATACATAATATATTTATAAAATAATCTCAACTTTAATAAATAATTGGCTGTAAGTAATGAAGTTGTTATTTATTTATAATTTTAATAATTAAAAGTGCACATTTGAACAGTGGTTCAATTATTGTTGTATTCGAATGCATACTCAAAATTAAAAGTTGGAAAAACTTGGGTACATATATACGGAAAGACGAGCGGATATTGCACAAAATCAAAGTATTCTTCTACCTTCTGAATCAGGGTACACAATTAATTAAAAAGACCTACAAATGAGTTATTTACACCATTTACTTGAAGCCACGCCGATCTCAGAGCGAGAATGTAAATTAAGTTATTTTATTAACGGTGGAGCTGTTGATGATCAAAATAAAATACGACTTCATGTCTAACATTTTCGATGTTCTTAATAGAGCTGTTCTTATTTAGTAAAATGAATAGATTTACTTATAAGGCTGGGACACCAAGACAACAAATTATAATTACCAATTTAGATAATATAATTCTTCTTCGCCCACATATTGTGCCAAAAAAAAAGAAAAGTCTTTTCGGCGGCTTAAGCAAAGTCTTATATCGAGATAAGCGAATAGTTATCGAAATGGTCTTTTTAATTTACTTACCACAGAAGCATTTTCAGCAAGACACAAGCAAACAACATCTTCGCGCAAAAGTCTTACTGCCGCATGGAGGGGATATTTGGTTTTGCTTTTGAGCATTTTAAAGAGTAGTGGTCCAGACATGTGCTCAAAGTCCTGCGGGGTCAAATCATCCCAGTGCGTGGATATAATTCCCGAACAGTAATCAAGAAGCATAGCAGCACCCGATTCTTCAGCAACGCAATAGAACCGCACACAAGATCGTACACCCACTGAGGCCACCAAAGCTCTCTCACAGAGCCCCAAAAGAGCGGGTAATGAGAAGCGATGGGCCACTCGCAAAAGTCCCAATGTCAATCGATCGTGTTGTAAATCAACAATATCAGTATAAATCCAACGCAACAGCGCTGTTGCTATATCCTCCTCCAAATCGCTCCAATCTAACTCTTTTGCGTTGGCCAATGCCTCATTTCTCCATTTCTCCGAGCGTGCATGAAGGACAAATTTATGTGCCGGCATAATTGTACCGTTGCTGTTGGTTTTAATCTGAATGTCGGAATATATGGAGCGTCCATATAGCGAAGAGGCCGTTAGTGCGAGTCGTGACACAAAACTGCTGAATTCACCATTGGTCTCCGCATCGGCTGTTGAGGCAACAACTTCGTTGTATTTGCGTTCTAATTCTACATAACTGAGTTGTAGTTTTGTGTATTCATCCCTTAACAGGGACAGGTGCTTTTGCAGTTTGGTTATTGAGACAACGTCGTTACAACCTAAGACAATGAGTTTAAAGCTTCTTAATTCTCGTTATTGTATAAATACATTTGTACGAAACGCTTATTCATACGTTAGTGCATTGCATATTTATGATTGTAGTTATTGGTTCAATAACAATTCTTGTATTCTCTATTTAGGTGGAATGCAACAGCGCATAATGTTAAATACATACCCATTCTTATTGTCTAGATTTCTATGCAAACAGCAAAATCAAAATATATGCTTATGAACATTTGCCTCTTGATAAATAAATCGGTATTAATCCTCCTCTAATGTTGCACAGCTGTATCAAAATACTAACAAAAGCATCGAAGCAGCTATATATCGATTTTTGCACAACAATTTTCAATCGATGAATTCTCTTGGTTGGCGAAAAATGGTACACATACGGAGCATCCTTATCATAATATAAATATATTTATTAAACAGTTCATCAACAATATTGTTAATCAATTAAATCTCTTTTTAAATTATAATATTTAATTTTTAAATCTAATTATATTTATCGAAAATTTAATTTATTTATAATACATTAAACTTTTGTTTTATGAGTTAAACTTTATAATAATAAATAAAATATGTTAATATTTTGGAATAAAATAAAAATAAAATCGCATTTAGGTTTTTAAATGTTAATAAAATCGAAAGAACTACTTGCCAGTAGCCATATCACTTAGCCACTATTACGATTATCAAGAACAGACAACCAGTGTGTAATTATACAAGGTGGTCTCATTGCGACTGTGCTTATCATTTTCGTGGTACCAGTTGTTAAACATCTGTTGTGGAGGCCGGTCGATAAGTTCCTATCTTTGCACAGTGTATATTAGCGCTCAATGCGTTTTTCGCTCTCATTTTTTTGGTCAGTGTCTGAGAATTAGTTGGTTGTCTTTGAGTAACTGTTTGATGATCTTGAAGCACCGCCGCATGTTTTGTTAATACTACTTCATAACAATTTAAGCTTTTGAATTTTCCGAAATTGTAATCCAAGGATTTTGATCGATATTAAAAGGGGTTAATGCTATATGGAATATTCCGTTAAAATTTGCTGATGATCAGTGGTGCTATTTAAGGTGTTGGACAAAAATTGACGATCATTAAGAATGACATAGAATATGAGACTTATTAAAAATCCCCACTTACAAGGAATCTAACCACTTTGGTACCGTAGCATCACACATCATTATTAACAACGTGAACTTTGAAAAATCATGAATCACGATCAAAAATCCCCCTATGCCTATGGATCGCGGATACCTTTTCCAAAAGTTGGCATGTCGTTTTTAAAGGTACCGTTCGGATACTACCACTTTCGCAACACACATATGCATAAGAAAGTTGAGTGCTTTATTTTCTGGTAATTTATACACTGTCTCACTTAGTCTTTTACTTGGCTAGCCATGCCAATCAGCATCAGCATCTTCTATAAAAGTGCTGTTGGACAATAGGGTACTCGCATTAATTTTCGTGATGAGCTAACGTCCTCAATCTTAATATATGGAACTTTATTTTAATGACGTATTTAATTCCCCAATAACATATCGCATACTATGTTTTCGCTGCTCTTGCGATACTCTATATTAGCTTGTAGCTGCAATGACCAGAGTGACAGCTTCCCGATTAGTTTTTTCATTAATGCAGATAATGGTCTTGGCAGCTACAAAGCCCTCCTTCTCCTCAATGGAAGGGAAAGAATGGATAAGCACGCACAAACGAATATAGGGGCAGTGGTTATCGTGAGCTTCTCCATTGCTTGTATGGCTTCCTCACTCAGTAAAATCTTGCCATTCCACTTCTTTAGCGATGCCTTTTCCAACCGGCTGTCTTAGACTGATCGATCTGCAAATTTTTGTAGTAGCACCCGGTAAAGCTATTAATTTGGTTAAATTACCATTTGATTCTGCTGATACATTAACATTGGAATGTTCATTTGCATCAAAAGTGCTAATAATCCCAGAATCAGGAAATTGGGAGCGAATATTGTGGATGTATTTGTAGGCATGGGAGTTCGCTGGATCCATTAGATAGATACATACAAAAGTTTAATAATTTGAACTCATTCTCCATAGCCGAGAAACCATTGAAACTGTCTTATAACGATGCAAACAAGGAATTACGAGCCGCAAGAAAAAAATACGTCCGTTGCAAATGCAAAGTAAATGTTAATAGCTATCAGAGTCTCTGGGTCGATGTGTAGCATCCCCCTATTAATAACGAACTTGATGGCACCCAGGTGTCCATAATGCCACTATTGGAAATAAGCCGTGACCATAAATTAAGGTACTTTTTTACATAACCCGACCTAGCAGGTGGGGAAACCCCAGTTTATGGAGGTCATATAGTCATTATGGTGGTTAATATATGTACCTGCCATAGGTCTTTGGAATTTTTGAAAAATATTGTATTATTAGTTTATGGCAGGCAATTAAAATTTTTGCTAGACACTGCCGAAATAAGCTGTGAGACACTGTATGTATATTATTGCCTTGGATTTGTTCAATCCGATTACGAGAGTTGCATCTTTTGAACTCTGTCTCACATTTCGCAAGCACTTTCACTGGGTTTGCATTTCCGGACACGTCAACTTGATGGCCAAAAATGTTACACCGCAATTTTGCCTGTATTACTTTGCCCATCAAACGACTGCACTCTGTTGGAAAAACAAAAACTCCTCTTTACTCCCCAGGTAATGAATTGCATGAATTCGACAATCTGCAAGCAACTTATCGTCTTGGCTTTTGGTCATTTTGGACTTAAAATGTGGCTAGATTAAACGCTCCAAAATAAGATCTCTGCTGTTAGTCGCGGCAGAAGTAAAGGTTATTATTTTACTCTGTCCTCCGAAAGACACTGTCAGTTAGACTCGTCCGATAATCGATTTGGTACCATCAATTTATCGCATTTATTTACAACGCTGGATACTATTTCTTTGAGTATGAGGGATCACGCTGCAATTTATGTTATAATAAGAAATTTGAGCTCCGTAATAATTTATTGTGTTATTTGACTGGACTATTGCTAGAATCTAATTCAGTCTATTCTTTACAACTGTAGTTCAAAGAGTGTATATTTTCGGTTTCAGAATATACATATGTCTGTCAGACTCCCAATCTAACGGTCATCACAACTGGGTAACTGCTCGCCTCAGTACTAACTATCACAATCGTAAACTGAAGTAGTTTTACAATTGGTATATTTTCTCTAAGGGAACGTAGTCCGTCGTGCCGGCCGATGGTAGTAGTAGAGTCTTCCCACTTTCGTTCAGCAATCATACTAATGTCACACGCAAATATAGAAGGTGGTTGCTCTCCTTATACATGTTCATATTTTATTATTATTTTCGCGTACATTTATAATCCTTTGGAACCTAACGGAAAAAGCCCTGATGTTCGTCCACATCCCTACAGCAACAAGATGCTGGTAAGCGGTCGATGCCTGTAGTAGAGTCATCTTCGCAAGCACAAACTTGACTTAGAGCCTGCAATACATCGCATTCCATCATCATCGACGAGAATTGTGGAGTTAGCACCACACGAGAGGTCGGAGACGGAACTAAAATCTTTTGCCCTGATTAGTACTCAAGACACTCAGGCCGAAGTGTGGTAGTTCCACTGATACGACTCTGGTTGTCCAGCCTTTAGTAGGCTCCGGTCATACGCAAATGGTCGCTCATCTTCGAGCAAGTATTTTATCAGAATGTCCAAAATCAAGACAAATAAAAAATTTAATTTATTTCGGTCAAGCGTCCAATCGATTTAGATTTTCTAGTGCAATTACTTTATTGCCTTTTTGAGGGCTGTATGCCATTTTCATCTGGTAATATTTTAAATGTAATTTGATGTCACGGAAATGATGTAAAAAATTATGTAAGGAATTATTTTTGTTGAATACTCACTTCACATCTCCGTCCACACTTTCTGTCATTTTAAATGGATTTGTATGTGTTAGTGATGAAAACCTTTCCTGCCCATAGTGTAACGCGCAACGTAAAATGTGGGCAAATAAAATATTATTTTTTTTTTAAATTTAAATAATAAATTTGTCAATCCCGGAGGTCCAACATTTTATTCGCCAAAGATTCACATATTACCATCGACTAGACGCTCGTGTGACTCGAAATATTGTGTTTTAGTCCTGTATGTTTTCTTGCCGTTAAAGGTCAACGGAGTTCTTATAGATGAATGCTTTCAGTTTTTTAAAACCTGTTTCGAATCATCGATAGTAAAAGACAAAAACAAATACATATAGAAATTAAATTTTGCTGAGGTCCATTTTATTTTGCATAAATATCACATAAGCATATAAGTTAAACATCGAAACAATACATGACATAACTGCAATAGGAAAAATCATAAGCTAATTTCTTGGTCATGTGAAAAGACTAAGTTCCATTACTAACAACTATTAAAATGATTAGACTTTTATTTGAAATAAAATAAAGTATATTTTTGTATAAAAACTGAATTGAAGCTTAAACAATAAAATGAGCAGTTTCTCAGAAAAATTTAATGCGCAAGTTAAGAAATTGGTCAAACTTTGTATAGAATAAGATAAATTCAGAAATTTATAAAAACAATAAATTACAGAAAATATTGAGTTTGTGATGCTCAACAATCTTAGCTAAGATCCAAAACATTTTATTCCCATTTTTTATTTTTTGTTATTTTTAGTAAGTAATAATATTTTTATATTTATTAATAATATCAGCATAACAAACTGTTTAAGTTGCCATCAGGCTTTGCTTACAGCTACTTATCGTTTCCTGCAGGAATAGCTATTTTATTTATATATATATACTTATGAAATTAAAGAAAGCTTATTTATTGAACAAATTAATAATTTATTGATTAAAAGATTTATTCTTTTTCTGGTCAATATAAAGACCCCTTATCAATGTCTAACCTGTTCTGAATTTTTCTTTTTTGGGGATAAATCATTTCAGAAAAAGATGCAAACTGACTTGATTTTCATTAAGTTCAGTAAGGCCTTTAATTTTGTTTATCACTGTCTTTTACTCCATAAGCAATAACTTATTGTTCAGAGTATATAAATTGTATTTCCGAGAGAATGGCACTTGAGAGATTAATTTAAGTAAATTATTTATGTTTAAATCATAAATTGAAATTTGATCATCATATCACAAAATCTGTCAAAATCAACTTTAAGCTAACCACTTTACTGAGAATTAGATTTGAAATATACGGAGAAGTCCCTAGAGCTTCTTTCGCGCATAAGAACCTATCTGAAATATAGAGCCTAGCTAAGGTGTCCGTGAACTCTCTGAGAGCTTAGCTGTCTTAGGCATTGCAAGATTTGGCTCTTTGCTGGCGTTCCAAGAAGGACCCGAAAGGACAGATTTTAAACAACTGTCTTATCAATAAATGTCTGACCCAACTGTTGGTTATGTGAAACCCATCTAAGAATCCTGATTTTATATGAAAGAATTTGTGGCTTGTGAGCTCCCGGATAAAATAATCTCTTCCTACATGTCTGTATAAGCTCGACACCCTTCAAAATTCTTCTTAAAAGTAACGGAAATTATGAGTATATCATTTCTCTAATGCTGTCAGATCAACTGTCTCACAAGGCCCAAGTGCAATTCGGACAAATTTAAGGGGACACACATAGGCTTACAACGAGGCCAACATTCAAAACAGATAAGCAAATTGGGAAGCTATGCCAATTTAATCAGGTCTGCAATGACAATAAAGTAGGTCATGAGAAGCACATTGCAATGAAATGTCACATCCCCTTACCTGGTTCTAAATGATCTACTTCTTTAATTCAACAACACTATCATTAAACTCTTAAAGCGTGCAACTCGTCCGACCTACATTGGGAAATCAGACCCGTCTGGAAGTCAACATAGCTAGAAAACCATCTTCGCCGATGATTGAATTAAAAAAGAACGGATGCTGCCGAATTCTCGGAGAAGCACACTTAGCATGGTTGGTGTAGTATGTTTCTAGCTTTATTTTGTCCGACTCTTTTGGGTACTTGACCAATCAGGCATAGTAGGTAACTAAACGACGGATGACGAATATTCAAAAATTACTCCAATAACTTTTTTTTTCGATTAACATCAGAAAGTCACCTTATGCTTACTCAGAGACTTATAAATTGATCATCTGTCCTTAATCCTTATTTCAGGCCAATAGCAGACACCACAATTGAGAAATAGGCCCTTAAGCGAACTCCACATCCTCATCGAGTAACCTGACTAACCTTACTTAACCTATTGGTCAATAAAGCTATTTAAGGTGTTGGATTTATCATGCGGTGGATCAATAAAGTGTAACGATACATTAAAAACTAAGATACTATAAACATTATTTAACTTTCTAATTTTAAATTACGGATATTGTGTTACTCACTACAACAACCATTTCATCAAAACAAAATTGAACCAGTGTAATGATTGTTTGTACTATATACTCTTCGTGGTACCAACTAGATTTCTTTAGCATTAATGTGGGAACTTTACTAAGTTAAGCTTGCATCTCTACATTTTCGTCGAAATATGCTTGCAATTATAGATTCAGTTATTTAATTCTTAACTTGTTCGTTATAGCTTACTAACCTTTTGAATTAATATTTTTGGTCTGATTGAATGCTTTGGGGGGTTTCCCCAGTCTTTGCAAAAAATGCTGTTGGCCTATTCACAGCTTAATAGTTGAGTTATAAGTTTCACATTTTTTCTTGGTTCCTTAATTTGAACAGATACATTTTTAAATATACTTTTTAATTTTCGTGTGTTGACTTAAAAGTCTTCATTAAATAAATAAAATTCTCTATGACCAATGTAATTTTTATTAATATGATCTTTACCGCAACTTAACTCAAAAAAATCAGTCTTGGCTGTGGTTTTTTAAATTATTTTTGTGATATCAATAAAGCATTAGTTTTCAACAACCCGCCTAAGGCAATCTTCTGTGGCACCAAGGAAGTTAACTAGTGCCAATAATCTTAAAATAATGTGATTAAATATTATTATTATTATTCAATAGTAATATTCTGAGTATATTATATATTCAATTTAAACTTTCAATTATGAAACACTAAAAGTTCACACCAGACCTCCCAGTGTAAATAGGACAAGGGAATATTTATCATAGGCACGGCTTGGCCGGTAATCGGTTTAAAGTAAATACATTAGTATACGTTCAGACAAAAATTATTTGTTTACTATGAGACTAAAGGTGGAAGAGTATATTGGTTTTGTGCAATGTCCGTCTGGCTCTACGTTCTACCGTATAATTTTCGCCAATGAAGAAGTTTTACTGAGAAGAAATACTTCATGACTGGCAGAGAAAAAGTGCTTCATTTGAGGTCCGACGTCGACTTGTTAGCGTAAATCGATAACACTTTCGATTTGATCCACATATGTATTCCCACAGTCTTAAGGATACTCCAAACTCAAACCCTAGATAGCCGTTGACTATTTCAAGAATCGGCTTCTTAATTGGTTGACCCCACACCCTCACAAGTCGTGAAAGTCTAAATCTGTCATTGTTTTACAGCTAGTTACATAATTAAGAAAAATTAGTGGTAAGAACTTTTCTAGAACATTGTGGGAACCTATATGCTACACAGTTTTAGAGCTTTGTTTATAAAACTTGCATGGTATTACCAATAATATTCTCCCAATGAATCTAAATCTTCACGGTAGCACCCACCTCCGCCGGAGTTCGACTTCATGAATTTGCAAGGTAGATTACTTTGCGTTATACCCGAAGATTCACTAAAAAATTCCTTGGTCCCGCCTACTCTTGCCCCAAAAAATCGGGAAAGCCTATAAAAAGAATTTTGTTCATCTATTTTCTGCAGGTATTTCACTGCTGCAAGAGTACTGAGAAATCGTCTATGCTAATAAATTATAATTTCTGTTCTTAATTAAAAAAAATAAAAATGAATTTGATTTTACTCTAAGAATACATATTTAGTATGCCTCAGATAAACAAAAATGATTTATAGTTATTTACTTTTTTCTTGTTGTCATGAATTAATTATGTTTAAGATTATTTCATACATTAAAAGTAATAACGGGGACATCAAAAACCAATCTTAATGTAAGGTTTAACATTAAGATGAAAAAATCTGAAATCTGTTTTAGTCCGTCATTCATATAAACTGAGTCATTGTATTAAAATTAAGTAACTCCAACCTTATGGACATACAAACAAACGGAAACTGCACTAGCCCAGTATACTAAGTTCCTGTAAAAAAATAAACAACAGAAAATCTGTAATATACAATATAGGATTATTTAACTTTTATAATATAAATTGAAAACATGTATTGCTTATAAATAGTGATGAATGCTGTTTTTTTTAGCTATTCATTTATATTTATAGATTAGAATTGATTTCATTATCGGTTTTTCGGTCCCTTGTATACTTATATACTTATATCATGTATTCGCTATTTATTGTGTGCTTTTTGTTTAATTCATTACATTTCTTCATTTTGTTTGCTAGAGCAATGTTCAGACAGCGCTGGAAGTACACTGTCCATAGATGGCTCTCTAGAAAGAAATGTGTTTATATATACTATTCCACAAAACAAACGGTGTTATATTCGTACCTTTCTAATGCCATATGATAAGAGCCTGGTGCGGAATTCGATCTACCTGATTGTGCGAATTTTTCCAACCTGGAACCGCCCGGTTGAGATGCCCTTCCGGATATATTCTTCATGAAAGGATTCCCAAAGGAATGATTTTTTAGCATCGTTTTAATCAATATAAGAGTATCAAGCTTTGGAATGCTGCGGACAACCGAGTTTATATCTTCGTCGTCTACTTGTACCAAGCAACAGTTTTCATCTTCAGTTGGCAAGGGATAAGCGCCGTTTTTGGTAACCCACGGGTTTACCTAAGTTAAAATATTAAAAAATTAATAAAGTATGGATATTCATTTAAATTTACATCGATTTTATATGTACCTTTAATTGTGGCAAATTTATTCTATATGTTGGATCCTTTTCAAGCATTCGAAGAATGCAGTGTTTTATTTCTCCACTTATTATTGGTGTATCTGGAAGCACCACTGCATCGTTTTTTATTTTCTCATACAGTATGGGTATCGATGTAGCTAAGAACGGTACATTTCCATATACCAAAGAGTACAAGGTTGCTCCCAGAGCCCAAACATCTGCTGCACGGCCACAGTACACATTCTAAGTAAAAGAAAAGTTATCAAATGATGACCAAATATTTTTCATATTGTGTACCTTTCCCAAAACAAGTGTCTCAGGTGCTCGAAAAGCTGGTGTACCTCCTGTTGAGCCATTGCTCATTATAGCATCTTCTCCAAGAAACTCATTGCAAACTCCCAGATCAGCAATTTTGACATGCCCACACTCTGTCAGTAGCAAATTTCCAGGTTTTAAGTCCGCATGGATAATCTTTTGATAGTGCACTGTGATGAAAGAAAAACGACCGAGCACAGTTAAAAATACCTTATTTGGCATGCGTATTTTCGTTCACAATAACATTTATTTATTCATTAGTAATTTTATAGGGGACAGCATTTCGGGATGGCCAAATCAATTAATGTCCATGCAAACATCTGACAAATAATCTTAGCCAACACCCTTTTTTCACTCTAGTGATTGAAAATAGAGCACTTTATTCTTGGTCTTAAATAAAATTGTACTTACAATATTCTAATCCTAAAAGGCAGTCTCTGAACACACTCCACGCACGATCCTCTGGTAATGGTTTATCGGTGGGTATAGAGAGAACTTCTCCTTTTTTAACCCACTCAAAAACCATATACAGCGAGTCTTCCAATGGATCGTCTAGTACTTCCACTAATTTCACAACATTAGGATGATCAAGTTTTTTTAAAACTGCAATTTCTCTGTAGACACGATCCAGTGGAGATGTGGTTTGTTTTGGACCCCGACGCATGAAAGCAGCTTGTCGTAGTAAACGCTTCTTAGACAGAATCTTCATAGCATAATGTGTAGAATCTTCTTCAGAATAAGCTAATTTTACAAGTCCATATGAACCCTGCCAACGGAATCTTTTATTAATTGAATGACTAACAACTACTAATAATTACCTGTCCAATTTGATCCATAAGTTTATATTGATTTAGCTGAAGAAAACTCCCTGACTTCTCAATAGATATTCGACGTGATTCACGTAAGGGAGGCCGACGTCGAACTGACCGAGGACTACCATATGGACTGCCATATGGGCTATATGGGACGTTCGGATAAATTGGACGTGTTTCTGTTGATTGTTGTTGGCATATTGATGCTGCAATATTTGGCCGGTGTATTGGACGCTGACGTGTCTCTCCTGTAGATTTGTCCAAATTATCGACTTGACATTGTTGCGTTTCCTCGGTGCTAGGTGTGCTTGATGATTGAATTTCGCTCTCAAATGGCCGGCATTCCTCAATATTTGGAAGAAGACGATTACGGAATTGTTGATCAACAGTAAATGAACCACAATCATCATTGTATAAGTCCAGCGACTGCGATTTTAGTAGGATAGGTAGATTTTTCTGTAAGCAACCCATCCTAACAGGTATTGTATCAATACTCTTTTGTGGACTGTCACGAACTGAATATGGCGAATCATTTCCGGACGTAGAACTTTGCGCCATTACAGTTTGCACAATTCTACTTTCCTTGCTTTTGTTAAGGTTTTTACATTCCAAAATTTCAACGTTTTTATCATTATCAGCTTTAATGTTTTGGTTCGCCTTGGCCCCACCACTGTGAATTTTTGGTTTGGTTCCAACAGACTTAAGATATTGACGTTTAGACTGATCGCCAATCCCTGTGTTAAGTCCCTTGATTGAATCTTTCGAGTTAATGTGCATTTTATCTAATTGGCGATCCAAACACGAACTTGATTCTTTATTGGTCGGCTCGATTGTTTTGTACTCACAACCTTTCTGTATTTTGGCAACAATAACATCCTTATCATCGTCATCATCATCACAGTTATAATTAATAGCACTTTCTGCTTTGGATGCAAAATCATCAACATTTTCTTGTGTTTTTCCAGCAGACTTTAAAATATTCCCCTGGTCTGGAGCACTGCTGCTTCCTGTTTCTGGTACATTCAGATCCGACATTATGTGACTTTTTACATGTACCCATATCTGCATTTGAGGTCCATTATTTCAGTTCCTGAATAATTCAAATTGTAATTCAATGTATGCAAATTTTAGCAATAAGAATACTAATACAACAAAAATGATCGAATAGATGATACTTGGCAAAAGATCCAAGACCTCTTACATACATTTTCTCCCGAGTAGAAAATAGCATAATACATAATTCAATAATAGACACTAAGATCTTTTAAGTGTAGATAACGGTCATACAGTTGCAATAATACTAAAATGTTGCCGTCATTTGTATCCCAAAATCAAGATGTCAAACCGGCTGTGGGTGAACTTACAACAGTAGGAGACTAAAATAACGCTTCTTAAATTGGGTAACTTAATTTTTGCTATTTTCCTAGCTACACTGCATTCATACGAACATTAACTGTTTACTGCATAGTCGGCACTCACGGCAATATACTCAAAGTCCCCTAAAATTACTTCTGCAGAAGCTACAAAGTGGATGAAGAAGCAGAATCTCTAAAACACTTATTATGCTCCTGCTCGGCACTTATCAGTAACAGATTAAGCACCCTGGGAATTCGCTTTCTAGCCGACCTGGTCTCCGTATAATTCCGCAGTTGCTTACAACCGATAGCAACATATTTTTTTTTTTTAAAAAAGTAGTGCGAATATGTCAGTTTTAATGGCTTGATTTATAATCGGGAGTTAGTTAAACTCTACTGACTCAAAGATTTTTGGACCAACTCAGGTCTGGGTAAAAAGTATTTTCAAGTCAAAAGGTTTCATCTACTATCGAGATTTATATATGTTTTCTTTACCATTTAAAATATCTGCTCATTCTCTAAAAAAACTTTGTGCTATTTTTGGTCACAACTAAATAGAAAGTGAATGTAAACAATCAGGGAACAGCAGATGCCAGCCCTACAAAAGAACCCACGTAGCCATTAAGAAATATCAAAACACAGAAGGGCGCACAGTAGGGCTCGTTCATGTCTCATGTTCATGTTCATGTATGTTTACGGCAAAGTCTATCCCAAATATTCGAGCTTATATCTTCCACATTTTTTGAGCCAGTTATCAAACGTATAGCTTGGGAAAGCCGAGACGAAATATCCGTTTATATCAAAGCAAAAGATATAGCTAGCTATTCAGTTTCTCTTTTTTTTGCAAACAAAAAATAATAAAATTCAATATTTAAACGGCTCTGAAAATGAAGACGGAAAATATATGCACTTCTGGCCAATACTTACTGAACATGATTATATGGCCACCACTGTACACACTTACTTATGTAAACAAGTATACTTATATTTATTTAAATATATCTAAATAACTGATCTTGCCTTAAATATCATGGAGTATTTATTTATTAATTGTAACCATTTATTATCGAATTCAACAGTACGATTATTATACCAAACATTTGGCATTAAAATATAAATAAAATAAAAAACAAAAACTACACGCAATATTTAAATAACAACTATTTTTAGATTTTGTGATCTTTAATACTTGTGCATTCTTTCTCTATCTAGTATGTGTGTAGAATGTACATGTGAATTTTGTCATTCGCTCTTGATCTTTTCAACAGAAGACTTCAAATAAATTTGTAAGTAATAATAATTTGTAAATAAAAGATATTTTTTAATACACCTTATAGCAAACATATTTTAATATACATATGTGCATGACATGTTCTTCAATTTAGAAAATGATTTGCCGCTGGAGTTATACGCTTTTATGGCTGACATGTGTGGTAGCGATTTTACCAATCTTAAAAGGAGAAGCTGTGGCCAATAGACTTGACAAGCGGACGCAATCAAATGGAGGAGAGTATATACCAATAACATTTTTTAATGCAATCAGGTTAGCAGAGGACTCTAAGCAATCACTTCAAAATCAGCTGAGGAATTTTCGTGAAAATCTACAGAAAAATTTAACAACTTCCACAATGCTAAGTATCTTAGACGATAACTATCAAAATACCGAACATCAGATAATAAAATTACATGATTTGTCGGCATTCTTCGATACAGCAGCCGATATCGCTAGAATTTTTGCACATGATTCCGAAATGTTCTATGAAGTTGCCAAAAATTCAAGTTATACCCTTTTGTTGCAGCTTCGCCAAATGCCTACAACGCAACTTACGCTGGTAAAACTTCTCCTAACAAATTATTTTGAGGAAATGGAATTCTTTCACATAATGTTTTCTGAGATTATTGACGAAGCACTCGAATACACGCAGAACACACTACTCGCGATCCAGAAAACCTTTACATACTATGCCGATGTACAGCAATTTGTTTTGCAGAACTGGAATTTTAAGAGTGATATAGGCTGCTGTAAGGGGTATATGGAATTTTTGCAACTTTATTCGGCACAAATCTTCAAGTGTGCAGCAGGACATGATCTCACCGTTGCATTGGATGTGTTTGCCATGACTGAGATCACTAGCAAATACATTATGCGACAGCTTGAGTTTCGCATACAAAGACTTTGCAATTGTTTTTTGTTCGGAAATTATGAAATTCGATGTAAATTTCTTAAAAATGCTGAGCGTGACTTCGAATTATTATTCAGTAAACTTGAGGAACTAGAAACATATTTTGACTTAAAAATGAAAAAGGGTCTGGTTTCCTCACGTAGATTCCGTCGTCGAAGTCAAGTTGAAAATCGTGATTTTGAAAGCAACAGAGTTCACAATCATTGCATACCTGTAGATTTTCCACAGGGTCAAATGAATAAAAGCTTGAAGCAATGTTTTTATACCATAAAAATATATTAATCCTATTATATGATTCTCAAAAAAAGTTGCAATTTAATGAATCAATATAAAGATGACATTGTGAATTAATTAAAAAAAAAAAAATTTTTTTTTTTTATATGAACAGAAGGGAAAATATCAACACAATTCAAATTTTTTAAACTTTTTTGTTTTAAATACATTTTACGTAAAGGGGAATCATACATTAACTAATTTGAATAAAATCTGTATAAGTTTCGTACCCATTCATTCGGTTGGTATTGCAGGTATTAAAAAATAAAAAAGCGTTTTCTTTAAATTTATATATAACATATTGAAACAAAGTTCACTTTTCTTATTAATAAAAGATAGAAAGGATATAATAAAATTGTACCATTGTATGCATCAGGCAGAAATGTTTCATTCTTCGATTCCATAAAGCATATATATTTTTGATTCCTGATAAGCATAAAAAGCCGATTCGATAGTCTGCGCTTTAGTCAGTATGAACTTGAAAACTTTTTCAATTTTCCTAATAACGATAGTAATAGGTGACAGAAGGATTTAAAGAAAACGTAGCAACAACAACCAAGAAAGGGATAGAAAGATTAGACAATTGGGTTTTCCATTGGCATGCTGGAACTTTTAGGCCTGATTTACAGAGCCTCTTCCACAACATACCGAAACAAATATCCATCGGAGTTAAGGTTCAATAAGGTTAAAGTTCAATAAGGAACAGAACCATTCTTGTTTTTTCGCTTAATTGTAACTAATTTTTTACCAACTATTAATTAATAAATTCCTAAAATGTCTCCTTTGACATCTGTTTGCATTTCTGTACATTATTTGTATACCCTGGACACATTTAAAATGGGTAAAAAGGATATAATGGCTTTGTGCAAATGTTTGTATAGAAAGAAGCATGTCCGACACCATAAAGTATATACATATATTCCTGCTCAGGATCAACAGCCTAGTCGATATAGATATTTCCGTCTCTCCGTCCGTCCGTCTGTCTGTCTGTATGGACACGCGGATCACAAAGGCTATAAGAGCTACAGACTTCAATTTTGAATATAGGGTCTTTACCCGGCGCAGATCAAGTTTGCTTTAATTTATCGATACCTGTCTCCGCTTCTCGAATAACGATATATTTTGATTTATGATAAACACTACAATAAAGGCAGAATCTTGTAGTTAATTCATAATATGCATATGCATATTATTGGTCAACTACCAAAATTTCCACAAAATCGCATGAGAAACACTTAAGTTATAGTCGAAAATATATCCTCATACTGATCTCACTTCTATCAGCAGCCGCAAGCATTTTCGGTATGCATCAATATGCGAGCGCATGTGTGAGAAAGAGATGGCATTATAATCGACGCGAGCGTCAATATGTCTTCGTGTGTATTTTGGAGAGCCCCATTACCCCGTTACGATTGCGTGTATGTATATATGTAAGTATTTATATATATGCACGTGTTTGTAGCCAGTCAGTTCGGGATTGTGAATAAAAATATTCGCTGCCCTACTTTTTTTAGTACCTGCCATATGAAAGGAATGCACTTGCAGATCTGCTCACAATGGGTGCAAAACTTTTTAGTGGCAAATTTTCCAATAAAACTAATATATTTAACAGCTGGGTTCAAGGTACATCGTGTATATCGTAGTCAAGCTCACTCGACTACAGCACTCTTACTTGTTAACATAGAAACAGTATTTTGCCTTTATAAATTAAGTGTTAGCCAAATACTGTTGGACACAAAAAGGGTAAGTTCAGTTTCTTTCTGGGCTATTAAAACTAAATGAATCTTTCACCAAATGGTTTTATTAATCAAAAAAACACAACAAAAACTATGTGAGTTATTCGAACCATAGTCTGTTAGCTCCTTCTTTTGATCCAAGAAAAATAATTATCAAGGTAACCTTAACATCAATACGATACTTTTTCACTAGGAAATAGTTCGGCTAATACATGTTTGGACACGGCCAACCCGCAGCTTCTAACAAGCAAGGCTCTAAAAATTAAGAAGATTTACATTTGCACAGTTTTCTACATACTCAAAAATATATCGATATCCTGACAAGCGATATACCTGCTGGTGTAAGTCGATATAATTTGAAATTTTAAAAACATTTTACTGACTACGTTTTCTGACAACCAACGCGTAACCCTTTAAAACAAACCCGAAAAAATCGAAGCTCTAGTTTGTCTGCAACAGCACACAGCTGAAATTCGTGCAACTCAAGCAGCAGAAATCTAAAGATTTTGCAATGATACCAAGGCATACCCATCCAATCAAAATAAAAATGCAATCAACAGGTAATACAATTTTTTATTAAAAGGGTGAATTACAAAGAGAACACAACGTTGGATCACCGAATAATCAAAATATTTACAGAAAATATTATTTTAAAAATCCATGCGGTAATCAAGTAAGCCCACGATTTTTTGGTATGGTGAATCAGAAATGATTCTAGATTGTACACCACAGCTTGAACTTGAAAAAAAGATTACAAATTATGAAAAGCGTGCTCAAAAGATTGGGATATTTGATTTGAGCATTATTAACTAGGATATTAGTAATAGTTTTTTATGTGAATAAAAGAGACAATTATTTTACACAATAATAACATTTTTATTTTTCTCAATTTTTTCGACTACTGCTAATGAAATACAACACTTTGAGTATACAATTCTCAAACGCAATAGAGTTAAAAATTTACGAAATATATTATCTAAGCCTTGAATAAGATTGGCAATCTCGTTGTAAGCAAAATGAACGCATGTCGTTTTATATTCTAGGTTAAAGGATTTATTACCCAAGCAAAAATTTATGCGATTAATCATGTGAGCTATATCAGAAATATAACCGGAGCCTGTGAGCAGTAATATCCGTAAGCCCTGACATAACGAAATTATTGGTTTCATGGTGACATTGCAGCAAGTATGTAGTTCTGTAAAACTCATTTTAACCAAGTCATCCACAATATAACAAGCGCTACTAAAAACACGACTCTTATATGTAACATTTTGGTTTTTCTTTCCATTTATTTCCTTTTGATTTGCATGTACTTTGTAATTGATTACTGTATTATTAACAAACTGGGATGCGTTTTCAATCAATTGAGCAATTCCAGCAAGTTCTTCTTTCGCGAACTCAATATGATTTAAGGCCAACGCGCGAAATGATAGCGCTGCATAAATTTTGGCCTCTTGGGCCATCTTCGAAATGAAATCTCCAAGCAAATTGAAGACTCGAATTGCAATATCATTATTTGCAACCTTATACATATCAGTGATAACCTCAATCAATATTGCTATTGAATTGAAAATCATATTGTCACTTGGATGCGACGTTTTGTATTTAGTCGGTATTTTTTGTACGGCGTCTTCATTGTGCTCAGTATTTTTTACTGATGACAAGCATAGACTAAGTAATATTAAAGGCAGCACAGCTTTTGATATGCATCCCATCGCAATAGATTAAACCCAAGTACTGTCAGAAATGTCGATTTAAGATTATTTACTGACAACCAGATTAGGGTGAACCAAAAGATCTATTTTCTCTAAAATATTGGTAATAAGCATATTCACCAATAAATTCACAATTATATAAATTTTTAGATATGTCATATAATGCTGTCTGTAATATTGTTTTATAATGCTGTATAAATGTCCTGAGACTTAAAAAATATTTTTTGAGATGATAAATTACGAGCATTTAAGGTTCACTTTAATTAATTTTCCCTCCGTTATTCTATTGTATTTTATGTATATGTATGTATGTATACGAGCCTTATCAGAAAAAGTCAACACTACATACAATTAGTATAGAAATTTGATATATGTACATACACGTACTCCTCAATATATTCATATTAATATATATATATATATGTATATATATATATATATATATACGCATGTATATTCGTATATATGTACACATATATAAGCTGAGAATCCACAACGATTATATCGCTATCAATAAGAGCTGGAAAGATGGCATTTTGAAATTCGTTTTTTTATACCCTTGAACACATTTAAAATTTGTTAAAAGGGCACAACGGGCAAAAGTATGTAACGGAGAAGAAGACACCTTCGAGCACATAAAGTGTAAACATTCTTAGTTAGAATTAATAGCCGAGTCGACAAAAAATGTCCGTTTGTTCTAATCGCACTCTCTCGACTGGAGCAAATGCCCGAGTTATGTGTTGTCCCCCTTCGAGATTTACGAAGATAGTTGAAGTTGAAGATAATACATGAAGTGCCCTGTTATTTCCCCGTTTTTAATGGAGATAACTCATAACTTTCTACTACAAAAGCTGGAAATAACTGTTATCTTAGGCACTCCGAAGATTACACTCCCTTATAGATCAGAGTTAATCTGCTGACATTTAAATTTCTTGCTCGAAATATTATGATTTTGTACTTTTTAAACAAATGTTATTTATAGAATTAAACTTTTCGTAGTTTTTGAGTTTCAGTAACCAAACCAAACCCCATATTTCAACAAGAAAACATTGTATTTATTGAAGTCAGCTGGTATCAGAGTAATCCGTAGTGGGATATGCTCCATTTAAATAAAAAATATATTAAATATATATGGACTGTTTATCCTGATCAAGAATATATATGCTTTATAGGGTCGGAGATGCTTCATACTGCCTGTTTTATACCTTTGCACAAGTTCATTATAACCTTTTTCTATTTATAAAAAGACACATGCACAGTTGATGAAACATATTCATTTATAACCTATAAATATGTACGTATGTGTATCGATATTTGACTCGGGTTTATTTATATCTGTACATACATATGTGTGTATTTTGAGTATCCTCTTTCCAATTTGAATACTATGCATACAAATTCTTCTATATTAAATGCGCAATGAATAAACATTAACTAACTAATGTACTTTGTCGACTTAGTCACGAAGGTTAAGGGTTATTATTATACACATATATTTAGAATCGAAGCACACACATACACATATGAATGTGTGTACACACACACACACTCACACTCATACAAATGCACTTAAAGCTAAGCAAAGCATGTGAAACAAGCAAAAAAAAACGACAGCAATATTAATCACAATCGCTTCAAAAATGCACGCGGCGGCAACAATGCATTAATATGTGTGTACACATGCACACGAACTTAAATAGTCCATATGAATGTACATACATATGTACATAATGCATCTTTATCAAGGATGTTGGCTGACTGCTCAGTGGCGCCAAGCTTGTAAATTCATATGTACACACTTGTGCACGTACGTATTACGCATTGGTGTATATTTATTGCTGCTCACTCATAAGATTATTCAAATCTCTTATTGTTACTCGCTTATGTACATATATACAGATAGCTATATATGTCTTGATTTATTGATGCTTTTACATAAGCAACCAAGTTTACTTTCTTGCATATGTACATAAGTTCTACACTTGACAGTCCCATAAGGATAAGGTCCCAACACATGTTCATTTGTACATACACATATACATTTGTGTCTTTTGGCCATCTGTACATACGTATATTTATATATGTATAAGCACAAGTTTAAAGCTATTTTATTTGGTTTTAAGACTTACATTACCACACTTTTAATTTCAATGGAATTTTCAGTGAATGACAAACATTTAATAAAAAAAAACAATAAAACACTATGCGCGGTTAAATGTAAAAGTCGACTGAAAGGAATCGCGTGGGCAAAAATAGCTTTGCATTAAAAGTAAATTTAAAGCTGGCGATAGTAGCTTTTAAAGCTTTAATTCCTCGGAAGTGAACTGTGAAAGTGAGCAGCTTCAACCAACACATGGGCGGAACTGAAATTTTTAAAAATTTGTGGGTGTACCTTTGAGATTTATCACCTTTGTACAAAAACACACAAATGCATACACATAAATATATATATTTATAAAACAAATATATATATATATATATACATATTGTATATAAACATATGCATACGCAGATTGCTAGGCTCGACTACAAAAGTACATACGAATGTATGAATGTAAATAAAGCATGCTAATGTATTACGTACACAAATATGTATATATATACTCCAAAATAGATTTAAGCGTTAAGTGTACAGCCGTGTTAAACACACTTATATGTAGTTTGGTAGAGGCCTTTGCATCCGCTAACGTAAACACCTATAATACATACATACAACTGAGTTAACAGAATCTGTTAGAGTTGAAGTTGGAGTGAAAGCTGTTCACACCGGCTACAGTGTCAGCTGTAATGATCAGCTGATTTATTCTGACGCTGTGTCTCCAGCAAATAATTATTGATACTATAGGTCAGGAGCTCATCAAAGAGAGCACGAGAAGGAGATGTCGGCTATGAAACATCTGGTTAAGCATTGTCGAATCTTTGTACATATAAATTAATTTACTAATATAGAAGTATAACAATATGTTATTAATAGATGGAAAATATAATTGAATGTGAAGACCTGATGAACTTAGGTCTGGTTCAATGTGACATTTTCAAATTTGTATACAACGAAAATCAAATATTAACTGTTGGTTGATCAAATGCATACCTGATAAAAAAAAAAATCGGAACTACTAACATATAACAAATGCTCTCCCAAATCGACATACAACTTGCCGATATTTTTACAGGGGCCGTCCCTCGCTGTCTATTTCCCAATGGGACAACTGCGTCTGGTGAAATACCATTCCGGTGTAAATAGTCTATAAGGTTGTCGATAAATGCTTAATTGATTTTATATGCACATATTGTGTATGCTTAAGTCTCTGTACATTTCAAATCAGCTAAACCATGGCGAAATTATACAAGGTCGTCTCAGTGTGAATACCAATATTTACAATCGTAAAACTGACGATGTGGAGGTGGAATCAGCTCAATGCTTCTATTAATTAAATATCTGAAAAATTCTGGCAAAACAAAACAAACCTTCATCTTCCATCCCTTGTACACTCATTAAATTGTACTATGATTAATTTATTAATCAATTATCATACTATCTCTTTCACACTTTATTATGGATGGTACCATACAAAGATGCTGCCACAAATCTGTGTATTGCTCTATGGTCAAAATATGTGCCTAGTGGGAGTTAAGTGCTATGATCGCAAGCTGAGCACTTGGGTCTCACCGGGGTCAGTGGAGGCAAAGATCTTTGCATTCTTTAGTGAATGTCTGAAAAGCAATGTGAAAAGAAATATGATTAAATTATGTGCTACCGGAAACATTTCCTACTATGATTTACATGTTAGCATAGACAACGCCCATTGAAGTCCTAATGGAGCTCATACCACTCCATTTTACTTTTTTAATTATTGTATTTAATTGTGTAATTCTTATAATGCTTATAAAATTCAAAGTTCACGTTTGTGTGTCCTTTTTAACTTCATTATTAGTTCAGACTGTTATATATACAATATATTAATTTTTAGTGGTGTGGGACTTTGGGAATTTTTTTATAAAGGGATATAAAATCTTAATGTGGGCGCTTACTCATTTAAGGGGCTAAGTAATATTGTCTCCGAAGAAGACTTTTGTCTGATAAAACCTCTAAATATGTCACTTCATTTTCTCAACGGAATTGTACTATTTGACTTCAGCAAGAAGCAACTATGCAAAAAATATTGTGGGAGCGGATTAAACATATGCTATCCCATAGAGATGAACTTTTATCGGGTTAACTCGCCCTATTGGTACAAACTAGGGACGAAGTGTAAATTTCGAGTATTTCAAGTTGAGGAATGCGGAAAGGGGAGTTGTGCCATTTATTAGTATATAAACTGTACTATCGGAACTGGTATATGTAAGTAGACGAAAATAAAGTCGAGAGACAATACGGCAGCAACTAAGAAACATATTAAGATATATGTATGCTCAGAAAATATCTGTATACACTGTACTGTATCGACCTTTGATATAACATCGATGTGTGGAATATAATAATACATTAAAAATTAAACATTTTAATTAAACTATTGCTTGGAACATGAAATATTGTTCTCCTTTAATTATTCGTACAGCAACAATATTGCTATTCATTAGAGCTGAGTAATACCTTCCTTAATAGAAAAATTTTTCCGTTTCTCCATAATATTAATAAAATCAACAGTTTTGTAGAGTTAGTTGTCTAAAATGTTCTGACTTCTTAACGGTTATGCCGACAAAGTAATCTGTCAGTCATATCGCAGTTTGCTTTTCATTATTGTCCAAACCCTGTTTGTAAGCTATCAGCACCGTTCTTTTGAAGTTACATTTTAGTTGATTGAGTAAGGGGATCTACCTCATCGTGTTCAAGGACATACTCCCCACTGTCGGCAAGTATTGATATTTGTAGAAACAAAAATATAAAACTCTCGCTTATTTTGTAAAGTTCCACTCGAAGAGAGACACCAATGCTGGATACGAAGTAGCTCTAAGATCGGCATAAATATATTTTCGGTCACGAAATTTATCGCCACTCCGTGTCCAAAAATGGGAAATATCTTCTCCTATCGATTCCGATCAGCAGGTATTAGACTAGTATTAGCAGTCGGCGAGGATAAATAAATATATTGCATTTACTATTTACAAAAAGCATTTAGAAGACCTATCCATTACATATAATATAGCTTTCTTAAGCCGTGTTACCAAAAGGTAGACCCGTGTATTGATTGTGGGCATTGCCTGCCAGTCCGTGTCTGTATAAGCGCAATTGTTTCAAAACCCTTCTAGCTAGATATTTAAAATTGTTAACTATATTAACATTAGCATATGTGCACGTCAGAGAAACTGTTCAGTTTGATTCCCGTCCAATGCAGTATGGGTAAAAACACCCAAACAACACAAAAAAAAATCTAATTTCGAATTTCTTATAATAACATTAGCATTATTAATTAAATCGTTTTGTAGCGACAATTTTGTAGTGCTACAATAGAAAAGTAGGTCTAGGTATTCAGATAAGTATATGTGTTTGAGAAACTGCTAAATGTTTCAAATGTAATAAAGATCCAATTTACTTAATATCGAGCAGGCTAATGATTTTATTAATTATATTAAAACAAATATTTGTCTAGCTACAACCAAAACAAGGAACGATTCATCGGAAATATTATCTTTCAATTAATATCTTTAACCACCTTTTTCCACTTGGAGTATTAACCACTTTTTAATTTAACGAAATTTAAGTTATTTGTCCAGATCGGTAATATGGAAGATATAGAGAGCGTGGTATTTTCGATCGTACGCATGGAAAGTACACTTTATATTATACAAGATATCGATGCTGGAGTGTGGCATTCGGTCGATCGATAGTCAGTCAGTGCGCGGCGAAGTAGATACGTATATAGTTTTATTGAAAAACATGCAATGAAGTAAAAATAAGACACTAAGCATTTGGATTAAATATTATGTCATATTTTAGTTTCAAACACTTGCATATCTTATCGTAGATATCATTTTATATCCCCATTTTTATCAGTTATATATTTCTCCTACATAATACGTACGATTAATAAGGACTGACACTTGCGACAAGTCTCGCTTAGTATACAGAAAGTACTAACACATGTTGTCGCTTATTTTATTAATTGCCGTAGAAAATATTGTATTTTTTTTCGAAATTCAGATTGATTGTTATTTATTGTTTCGAAATTCATTGTCTTCTAAGAATATATTAAATTTAATCAACATTAAATTTTCAAAAACTTGAAAGAAATTATAAATTAAAATTACTACAATTATATAGTCATCAATGTTTGCTTTTGGGATAAGGATATGTTGGCTTTTTTCTACTTGTCAGGGTAGGCTTTGCCAATCCAGTGCTAATAATATTGTATTCAAGAAATGAATTCACGTCGCATTTGATTTTAATTTACAAGTACTTATAAAGTATTTGTTTTGCGTAGGGTAATTTAAGGTTGAGTGTACTAACATCGATTTCCCCATTAAGACTAATGTCTTGCCACTTAATGAAACAAAGAAAAAAAGACAACACGTTGCTTTCCTAATTTTTTATTTGAAATGTGGCGACTATTAATGCTTGACTACAGAGATTCCCGTTCGCAGTCAACTGGAGGTAGAAAGTAAATGTTGTTATACTTTAGTTAACTAAAGTCAGTATTAAGCTTATCGTAGATAATATTTTTAAAGTCACATAACTGAATTATGGTCAGAACAATACTCATAAAATAAAAATACTAGTTCGTGTATGGAATAAACAGATAGTGACAATTTCAGGTAAATTAAAACTGTATTATGCATATTCGGAAAAAGCGATGTTATAATGTACGTATTGTCTTTATTGTGAATTTAAATAATTTTAAATCAAGTGACAAGTGACTTATTGGGAATTTAAATAATTTTAAATCAAGTGACTCCATAGTTTGTAAGATATGTGTTTCACTAAATATATTACAATTAATATTACCTATTATAGGTTAATGAAAGAGTAGAGATTACAATTATCAGCTCCTAGTATTCAAAATTGATCAAATAATTAAATTTGATTAATTTTTAGATTTGCATATACTTATGAATTCAATTAGACTCTCCACGGGGTTTCCAAATATAATTTTGCCTTTAATTTTTGTAATTCTTATTTTGTTTCGCATCGGTAAGCTCCAATTGTCCTCGAAAACGCAGCTTTTTTGACATTTTATGATACAATAGGATTATTGGGTCAATTGCAGTGGGTGTGCGAAACTGCTGTTTTAAGTATAAAAATGTTCATAATCAGTGATGCACAGTGAGATGAAGTGAAAACACATTGAATGGAAAATGCTTCCTAGTTTTTCCCCTTCAGTGTAGGGAATGTCATGCATATGTAGATCACACATAATGGCAGCCTTGCTGCCATCAAATTACATGTCAATTTAATTAGTTTTAACTCGTTTGGTTCAATGCTTAATAATTATACAACCAAAACCACTATGAATTCCTGCATTAAGCTATTTTCTCATAATACTTTCCAAAGCTTTTATGTATGTTAGGGGATGACAACACTGACACGGAAATGTAATTATCTTTAATATCAAATAAAATGCTTCATTCATTAAAAATGAAAAATTTTAATTAAACTATTTCTTGGAACATGAAATATTGTTCTCCTTTAATTATTCGTACAGCAACAATATTTCTATTCATTAGAGCTGAGTAATACCTTCCTTAATAGAAAAATTTTTCCGTTTCTCCATAATATTAATAAAATCAACAGTTTTGTAGAGTTAGTTGTCTAAAATGTTCTGACTTCTTAACGGTTATGCCGACAAAGTAATCTGTCAGTCATATCGCAGTTTGCTTTTCATTATTGTCCAAACCCTGTTTGTAAGCTATCAGCACCGTTCTTTTGAAGTTACATTTTAGTTGATTGAGTAAGGGGATCTACCTCATCGTGTTCAAGGACATACTCCCCACTGTCGGCAAGTATTGATATTAGTGGAAACAAAAATATAAAACTCTCGCTTATTTTGTAAAGTTCCACTCGAAGACTTAAATGTAACAATTCCCAGGATCATATCTATAATAGATGTTTCATATAAAAAAAAAAATTAAATGAGAATTGCAAAATGTGTTTTCCAAATGGCTCAAAAGACATGATCATAGATCATAATATAAAATGTTAATTTTATATGTCTATTAATTCAGTTATTCATTTTAATGTATCAAACTTTTAATATAAATATACAAATATAGAGCAAATCCGGTTTCTACGAACACTCCTCTTGGCTTTTTCGGACACAGCGTGCCACTTTGCGCTTGAAATCAGTGTAGGATTCTCTCCATTCCTTGGCAGCATCAACATTTGCTGGGGACTCATCGTTGGGATCCGCTAACATTGATATCACGGATATCAAAATAGTTTCCACTGTGTGCACCGGGAGCCAACGCTCTGATGCTTTTTCGTAGCCCCACTTATCATCTCCCGGCTCGTGTAAAATCGAAATACAGACATCACCATTCTTTTCAATATTTGGATGCCAGATTTCCGTAACAAACTTCATTCGAGGTGGGCGCAGGGGGTACTCCTTAGGAAAGTATAAATGCGCTTTGAAGAAACCTCCTTCACTGTTGATAAGAAAGAAAAAAGATATCAATATTAAAATGAAGTTTTTCTCAACGTCGAGCGCAAAGATAGGATTTGAGTATAAGTTCGCGCCTATACTTTTATTAATCAAAAAATAAGTGTTATAGTCGATAGTGTTCTAGCATATTAGAAGATATTCGTAGTATACATCAGACAAAACATCATGCACGAAAAGAGTGCTTCTACGCTATTGGAAATGAATTCTTAAATAATTGTAGCTTGTTCTCCTATGTAACATTATTAACCTTATATGTTAAATAACTTTATATTATTAAGTCTACGCAAACTATGCGAGACCATTTATACAATTGGTACGATTGTACCAAAAGTGTTAAGCTTTTTATCAAGTACTTTATTTCTTAACGGGGCTGTAGAGTTTTGTTAAGAGGTGATATCAGTACTTAGAATTTCAAATATATATGCTCGAAACTGTTTATAAAACGATACTTTCGACAGGGAAGACGCACCAGTCAAATTAAATAAAATTGATGTAGATCAAATTGGCTATTGATACTGATCAAGAGGATCTCGAAGCTGTTTCCTGCGGCATACATTTGCACAAAACTTATTCATTATAATATGCTTTTTACCTCGTTTTGATGGGCACTTCACCTAGTAAAAATGATTATAAACTATAAAATTGGCAATAACAAAAAGAAAAAAATGATCTGCGGGGAATATTTAATATTCTTGCATAAATATAGCAACAGGAAACGGATTTTATTTTTTTCTTAAAAATTTGACTATTTATTCACGGTTTAATTGGCTAAGTACGGATCATTTTAGTTCAAACATTGATATTATAATAGTGGAGGACAAAAAATCATCATCAGCCCCAATAATTTTTTTGTTGCAAAGCTGTTTTAAGCGTCACAGGGGAGACGTTTCGCTTATGGGGAAGACCCATGATAATCATTCAACCCGCCAACCTTACCTTATCTGAATAATACAGTAGTCCGATCCATAATATAATAACAATGAAACAAAACTAATCGAGAACAGAGCACATACGTTAAAAAAACAAAATAAGTTGGAAAAACGAACATCAGATCAATTCGATTGCCTACCAATATATTGCCCCAGGCATCTTGAAACTAATTGAGGGAGCAAAATTAATGCTTAGAAATGAAATGTGTTCATTGCTGTATTGTATTGTAAGAAACATATATATATATATATAATTACTGTAATAAACCTACTACAGTGTATCTGGTGGTCCAATTATTAGGACTTCCCAACGGAATATATCATTTTCATCAATTAATCCAGCTGAGAAACCTTCTACTGGGTTTTTATTTAGTTCTGAAATAAAGGAATGGTAAGAATTTTGTAATGTTAAAATATATGCATTCATCTATGTTGTTTCTAAAACTGATTAAACTTATATATATATTGTATAAATAGGGTTTTCAAACACTCAGTCTGATTTTATAAGATTTATAAACATTTTTCCTTACCCTTACTAATTTAACCTTGACTACTACTTTTAAACACACCTGATCCTTTGGCACCCCGAAAATTACATTCACTTGCGAAGCGTAGGATGCATGCTTACATTTCATGTATAGACTAAACCTTACATTGCGTGAGCTCCCAAATGGTAGAGAGTAATTTCGGCAATTCAGTGGCTCGCACGCAAGTCCTTACGACCAGTTCATGTGAGCAAATGGTTCACCACAATTACATACTACTTTCAGGTCTTGGCACCCACCCCCGAGAACCCCAAAAGCCTATGGATATCTTCCTAGAGTCACCAAACTTATTAATAACGACATTCATCTGTGGTCGGTTTTTTTGGGATGACATCTTGTGATATTTTTCAATTAGGTTCTTCTGAAGAGAGTGGTTGAAATTAATGTAACGTTCATTGGAAGTAGACAAAGAAGTTAAGTATTTTGTTGAAAAGAGAGGGACGACGTTCAGCAGAAGTAGACAAAGACACAAAATAAAAAATCCTAGCGATGCAAACATTTTGTATACATATTGTATATAGTTACATGTTTATTTTTCGATAATCAGTCGAAAAGACGTCTTCAAAAACATATAATTATTAAATTAAATCAATTTGGTATTCATATTTTTCATTCACAAAAATTTTGATACGAGTGGTGAACGATAAATCTATCATGTGCCCATAAAAAATATTGTGCAAAGGGATCCACGGGTTTGACGTGCTTACGCAAAAAATTCTAGATATACTTAGATCGACTTTATCCACGTGAAAAAGTCTTTCATATAACTCATCTTTCGACAGATAGTTTCTAAACGCAGCTAAATGAAAAAGTAGTCTGTGAGAAATACATTAACTATAAGAAAATAAATAAATAGAAACAGCTTGCAACGGACTGTCAGTCTCTGCTATTGACGATGATCAGAAAAATATATAATTATATATACCTTATAGGAATGTCCCTGGTACGATACAAAACTTCACGACAAAATTATAATACTCCTTGTGCAAGGGTATTCAATGCAAACAGATAATCCTCTTTCGACAGATAGCTGCTATGGAAACTACATGATTTATATGTCCGATGCTGATGCGTTTTATTCCCCAAATATTATGAAGCATTACAGCACGCATCAGGATTTCTTCATAAACAAAACAGATGCTTATAAAGTCATCATCTTTCGATGTCCTATATCAGCTATTTGATATACAAGTGCGACTCGGCCAATTCCAATGCGTGTATATATACTGGCTGCATCAAAAATCAACATTTAGTCAATATCGATGCAAAGTTGAGAGAACATTGTGAATAGAAGCAGACAGATGGACATAATACGCATAGGTACATATGCTGACTCGTCGGCAAGTCGAGCATACATATATACATACATATACATATATACATACTACATACATATGTACATATGCGCTCCTGCTGTCTCTTTCAGTGTCTTACACATTTCATGACTAACTTATGATATTTTTTTGTTGTACATAATTACATATACATATATGTGTATATATATAAATACATATGTAGAAATACGCACACTTAAACGTAATTAGTTGTCAACGAAATGTGGTCCAACCAAATAAATGTGGTGAGGCAGACTTCTTATGTGCATACATACATATGTACGTACATACATGTATGCATATGTAGATGTAAATGTATATGTATTTATGTACAATACGCTTGTTGTACTAATACCTGCAATTGGCCCTTGTGTTCCTGATATTTTTGTATATGCACATACATATGTATTTGTATGTACCTTTCTTAAATATGTATATACACAAGTATGTATGTATATTCATATGGACATATTAGACATGTGTAACACATACCTGCCAATTGTTTTTTCAACAGCAATGATGATTGAAGCTCGGACATTTTGACTTGGTTTCTGGAATATTTTAATCGAATAAAGCACACATAAGTTACACAATTGAAAAAATTTACTTTAGTACCGCGATCTGCTTCGATGAAAAAAATTTATTTTATCTCATACGAAAGCCGACAATGTACTTTTTTTCATTCTTCACAGACGAAACAAAGTAATTTACTGAAACAAAATGAAATTAAAACTATCGTATGAACTAAAATGATTCAGTTCACGAAACGATTGAAATGAAACAAATTTGTAAACCACCATCGAATTCTGACTTAGCTTCAGCATTGTGAAATTCGGGCTTCTGCTTAGGTAATAAATATTTTCAATTCCAAAGAAAATAAAATATAAGACTTCATATGAATATATAAAAAATGGGTTGGAGGTTAATTGGAAGAACCGTCAACCTAAATATGTCTTATATTTATCAAAATATTTTATTGATGATGCTACGAAAATACTTAAAAAAATTTATGTGTTTTCTCTTTTACTCTTTGAATGTTTAATTAAAGTCTAAGAAACGGAAATTATTTGAACCTAATTATATATCTTATATGCGAATAACTTTTATTACAACTTTTTTGGCATATTCATAATTTATTAATAATTATATTTTTGGTTTGGTCATGCAGTAAAATTATAAAAGTTTTAATAAATTGAAAATATTCAAAGAGGTCTTATGGTGGTGTGAACTTATTCAAGGCATCTTAATATCAATTAAGAGTTCTGATCAATAATCAATTTTAATGACGGTCCATTAGGTTTTGTAGTACCGAAAACTCATTTTATAGCAATCAAAATACTGTTTGAATTTTTCGGTCCACCACTAATAGTAATTGGCATTCACTGCGAAAATGTAAACAAACCCGTTGTTAAGAATTTAAATTACGATCAAAAAATTGCCGACAACGAAGAAATCTAAAAATAAAATATACTTTTAAGATTATTTAATTTAATTACGTGAATTTCGACGAAAGCGGGGAATCTCATTGCCTTGACTCCGGATTTGGAAAAACAAAAAATAATTTCAATTGAAAGCGTTTTGCATTAAGACGTATCGCAATGGTCAATTTGGTTTCCACAAGTCGTCAGGCTCTATGCACATAGTTTACAACAGCTGCCACAGCTGTATTCATGCCACCTATGTGAATAGTGTTTCACATCTTTGGAAAATTCCCATTCGTTCCGCGAGACTTAAATCGGTGGGATTCACCTATGAGACAATTAATCTCGCCAGGCCAACAACTTTTGCGTTTTAATGCACTCAAGATACCTGACTACACTGCGAAACGATAATTATTTGTGGAGCAAATTCAAGTGCTTGTGCCATTTATGGTAATAGGCAATATACTCGTATATCAAAACTATTTTAAACTAATAACTAAATTAAAGAAAAATATTTTAAGTTAATAATTGAACATAAGTGATTTACTGCATTGTCAAACGAATAAAATATTAAAGTATAACTAAATTCGATGTATAAAATAGTTGGCATGATGCTCGCAAGCAAAAAAATGAATTTTTAATAGCGGTTTTTTTTTTTTATGCGACCTGATAGATCTAATGTACTCACTTCCTGCACGAATGCGAATGTCCTCCAAGACATATTTCCCCAATATACTATATCTATTTGTAGCTATGATTGATTATTTCCCATTATCGCAAAGCCGGGAGAGTTCGTTGCTGACTATGACTAGATTAGTTAGCGGGTCTTTTAGTCTACAGTGGCCTGTTAGGATACCGGTATTGTAGGACCGTTCTTTCCTATGGCTATTATTTGCTTAAATTGGCTATATCCATGCTTAGCCAGAGGCTTATGATGGGATATCGGTGGGGCCACAACTTCAAGGTCTGCACCCTGGTTGGTGACTTATCCATCTGTGTTCCCTTTTTATGGTGTGTGTTTTCATAAGGGGGACCTAATCTAATTATGTTCTCTCTTAGTACTTATGTGAGCTACGATATATTGCTCAAATATCTATTCGGTTGTCACCTAGTACTTACTAAATGTACATATTTACCAGACCATATAGGGTACTTCATTTTTCAGGGTATTTACCACTCTGTTCTCCCTAATGTCTCTTTTTCATATAGATAGACTCCTAGAAGAAGCTGCCCTGATTGAGAAATTCAATTTAGCTACAAAAGGCAAGTTCATCCCAGATTTTCGATCCCTAACACCGAGAACACCCTCCGGAACCACAGGAAACATTTGCGTACGTCTGTCAAATTTGCTTTACCGAACAGAGTTAGACAGGTCTAAGATTCTCTGGAAACTCGTGTATAAATGACAATTACATTTAACTTATCGAGTGAGTAAAAATCGAAATAAAAACCTGCTAGAAATATACATTATTCGGCGCATACTTTATACAGCAGTTATATCAAAGTTCCTGTCTGAATTTTGGGTTAGTCATGGGATCATAGCAACTAAACAGAGTGGTAAGTTTAACACTGGAAATATTCCACTCCATGGAATACGCAGTCACAGCGTATTTGGATACACAACCAGCATTTGATTTAGTTTGGTGGATTACCCTCAAAAATTCTCAACTTATAAAAAGAAGTTAAAAAACAATTATCACCGACAGGACTTTTTAAGGTCTTTCAGGATGTTGATCACGACAAAAGGAATAGAGCAGGCATATTTGCAAAGCAGTATGTTAGGTTCAACTTCTCACTTACCCCAATTTTTGTATGTTTGGATTTTTTCTTGGTTCTTTTCATAACTAACTACCTCAGAGTATCATTGAAAGAGACATATCTGCAAACCAATTATTTTGGAAAAGTTCGAGATTTCGAAGCAAGGATATAACAATGAGCTGGCTACGCAGTATCAACATCAATATATGATGGGGTCCCTAGATATTCTTGTAAAACATACACTTTCAAAGGTAGGCTGTCGACGTGATAAATCGATTCAAATTAAGGATTAAGGATCAGCTAAGTGGTCTTTCTTAATATTAATGGGGTTTTCAACAAGCCAGAAAGATAATGTAATATAATGAAAGTTCTCGTAGATATAGCCAAACGGATTAGATCCAATCTAATACAAGGAATCTGTGAAACATTAATCAATTGAAGAAAAGTATTGTAGTGACGACTATGTCCACACTTAGACTGCGCAACAAACATTAAATATTTACAATTATATACATACAGCTACACGAAGTAGAGCCCCACCAACGTGTGATTCTGGGCTAACATGTCCACTCCCATTAATAAAAGCACAGTCGTTTTACTTCGCCAGAAAAGAATGCACATTTCATACATACACGAACAGCAGGCTAGAAGTACCGTCCCACAAAGTTTCCAGATGTTTTTATTGCACCTGGGGTTTTCGATTAATTTACTAGAGTAATCCGAGCTAAGGACCAATAATATCCCAACCATTATCATGTACATGACACACTCAACTGGGAGCACACCAATCTTTCAAAGGGATTACATGCCAAGGGGAAAGTGGGATGGAGGAAACATACAATAGAATGTCGTAAACCAAAACGCGAGTATGGGGCATGCATTAGATGTGGCAGCTTGGAGCATAGCAATTATTGAAAGACAGGCGGACTTTTCGTCACCCACGCGAAGATTGTCAAAATTTATAAAACAATGTACTTCAAAGAGTAAATTTACTAAAGTAAATACGATATTTTATCCGAAAAATAGCATCTTTTACTGTCTGCCAAAAAAAATTAATAACTTCGAGCGATTAAGCTAGTTATCCATTGAAGATTTCTCTAATCAGATGCATTTCTTCATTTCAGAAAACATTTCAATTTAAATATTATTATTTGTAATATTTCCTGGAATTATTTCAGATGCGAAAAGAGAAAACAGCTAAAAAAGTACCTTCGTGCGAAGTTTGCCGTAATCGTTCTACTTTTATCTCGCTTATATAGTACGTTAATTAAAAATCTGATTGATTTTAGAAATATATGCATGTATTTGTTTTTTTATTAAAGTGTAAAATCGCATTGTCTTACTCAACGGACATGTTCATTGGCTCAGCAATAATATTTTAGGCTTTAAGGGATCAAAAATTTGTCAATTAAATTATCAATTTAAAATTTAAATGATTGTGTATGATTTTGTCTTAAATTTCTATCAAATATGTTTAAGGAATAACATTACTTTTAAATGTAAGTCTGAAGTATTGCTATGCAATACTTACTACTATTTACATTTATATATACATAAGGGCCATGTTGTGAAAAATCTTGTAAATTAAGATAGGACAATATTATATTTTAAGTGAGAAGACCATGCTTAAAAACTGTTCGTAGTGGATTGTGATGACACCATCCATGTCGGTATCATGTTGTCTGAAGGCTGTAGTTAACGTCTGCAATTGAAAAAATAAAATGAATGACGTTAAAAAGTGGTTTAGTTTATCTGTAAATGTATAATTATTACTACACTGATTCACAAATTAAACTTAAACTTTGTGGCTCAACTGAGCGGGCAGACAGGTGGCTCTAATCTCTAAAATTGTGCCAAATAAATGGGTTTTACACTCAGGTGTATCGATTCAGAGGGGAAGTCGATATGACCTTCCAAAGTTTAGGACTCTAGCTATACATTTTTTATTGACGGAGGGACCGGGCGTGACTGGTCTTGGAAAATTTATATACCAATCTTTGATTGTCGTCCCAAGCAACTTTAAAATTTGGTTACTACAGCTTTTAGATGGGGGAGCATAGACTATACATTTGCATTTATAGATGTTATGGATTTCGGAGCACCACCCAGGACGGACGGACAGTAAGGCGGAAATTGTAGAAACTCTTCTACTATCGGTGGTAGCCGACAGTAAACAGAGCTGGAATAGACTTATTTTTGCTTTAATTATAATAATGTGACATTCAATCAAATACTCACATAGAGGACAATACAACATTGTATAAAATCATCAAAAAGTATGGTGCCTCGGCCAAAACGATCAAATTTACGGAGCAAGACTTCCACTAGATGGTCAGAGAGCCGATATCCAAAGGAAGTAAGAGCCGTTTTAAGTTCTTGCTTATCAATATTGCCAGAATTATCACGATCAAATGACCGAAAACAACTCTGCCAATCTGTTACATATTTCCAAAGAGCTCCAAAATCCTGAAAAGACACAGTTCCTCTGTTCTCGCGATCAAACATCCCGATCATAAGTCGGACTGTTTCCGGGTTGAAAGCAGACCACGTGCCATTGGAAAGGGCCACCTGGAGTTCGTCTGCAGAAATATGACCGCTTCTGTCCTTATCAACTCTACAATAATACCCATAAAAATAACCATCAATCATTTTGTAGAAATTTATTGTGCTTTGTACTTATTCATTAAAATATTTATATGTTGTGCGTATAGTATTAATGTGAGAATAATTAATGTATGAGTGTGTGCACGTATGTAACACAAAAAAAAGTATAAAATAAATTAAAAATAAAATATATTTAAATTTGGAAATATTTACCAAGTTCTTGGGGTATGGTCTAACATATGTTGCATGCATTTGGGAAAAATTGTTAGTATGAATTAGCAGATGCTTAACCACAAATGCATGCATGTTATTTACAAGACAATACGTTTAAAATTGAATTCCCCATTAAAGAAATAGAGGACTCAGAATTGATACTTGTTAAAGTCTATTGTGTTATTACAGATTACTCGAAAAGGTTCATTCAAGGAATAATTAGTAGTACATAGCGCAATATATTTCATCATTTAGTAATTTAACTATAAACATAACACCGAGCATATCACGACGATTAGTTATGGAGGGAAGGTGGTTAACAAGGAGAAGTCTATCGGAGTATGGGGATATTACCCCCAGACACGTCAATGTAGCCTATATTTTTCATAAAAAGAATCCTGCATTACGTGAAGCGCGACAGATGAAAATAAGACCAATATTTAACTGTCGCTAGCAATGATTGTAGTGAAGATGGAAGAGCTAACTAAACTGAATGTGGAAACAAAGCCTTTTTTGTGAGTTCTAACTCATTAAATAGGTAGTCGCTCGAACTGATTGTGTCGATTATCGAACAGCTCTTTGAAGAAACGGTCAATGTTCAGCAAGGCAACAGAAAATTTGAAATAATCAAAATTGGGGTTTCGTGAATTAAGCTTGTTTTCTCAAATGAATAATAAAACAAAAATTGCAGATAAGATTATTAAGAACAAAAGAAAATGGTATGCAAAGAAAAAAATTTCCATTTTCGTGATAAGCGCTACAAATGTTTACAACTTCTCATTTAATACCATTGCAGGGGATATTATAATTTTCTAGATATGTGTGTAACGCAGTAAAAATTACATATTCGCCCCTATTTTTAATGCTAATAGAGATCAAGAAGTTTTTTTTTTTGATATTGTGAAATAAGTTTTTACGGTCAGTTTCCCACGTCTTGTTTTGAATTTAAGATGTGCCATTGAATGACGCATAAAACCGTTTCCCTAGCTTAAATTATGATTTAATTATCATTATTTGTCATTCTTTCATATCCCATCCTTCGCTCAGACAGAAATAACATATTTTAGGGAATGGCCTCTGAGCGTGTATGACAACATGCGTGTTAAAAAAAAAACAATCATTACACCGATTACAAGAGAGAACACACAGGACACATATTTGTATGTTCGTCAAGTATAATCAGCACATACCTTTGAAATACGTCCCAAAGAAAACGATTGATCAGGCATTCCACTTTGATGGTATGACATATTCGATAAAAACAAATTAATAAAGTCAGAACACTTGATTTTTACCAAAATCCAGATGGTAGTAATTTAATACTAAACTATGAATCACAGACTAAATAAGTGATGGCTCTGTCATTGAATTGACATATCGATAGTTAATAATCGAATTTACTGAATACATATTGAAACTTATACTATATGGTATTTACCGGCTTCGCTCGGGTCCCTTGTTTTTCGAAAGTTGACAATTACACCTTTCTAACTGGTTTTCAATAATTGTAAAAATCATTCTTCAGAAGTGGATTGTCTTATTCTGAAAGAAGTTCGTGCAGAAGACGATCAATTTTTTGATGAGAGTTTGTTGCGTTATACGGAATACAATACATGTAAAACATTTTGAAGTGAAGAGATTGTTTGTCTAATTAAAATTTCAATTGTATTTCTTCTTCGTATTGTAGTTTCTCATACTTCGTGTTTTTTGTCTATGAACAAATTGTTAATGTAAAAATACTGGGTGCAATTTAATGGAAAAGGAACACGCATTGGAATCGAATTGAATTTATGTCTCGGAAACAGCATTTATCGATATCAAATTATTGTCAACGAAAGAGCCTACATCTTTGAAATGATTATACATGTGAATAGCCCATAATAGGCTTACGCTCTGCAGAGAGTATCGATTTTTAAATACCCGATAGTCGTGTGCATCACTATTCAATTAGTATTTAATTACAAGACTGACTTGAATGATGTATTTATGTGTGTGCATTATGGGTTTATTTATCATAACCGGCGGCCATGTGTAGCCGATTGACAATTGATTTGTGTTGGGCGGTGCCAAATTTACAGACTTGTAAATAAATACAAAGATAAATATTTTGGGATCAAAATGGTACACAAAACAAATAGATATTTAAAATGTTATTAATATTACCATATTTCAGCGCCACTTTTATATGTGCTTCCTAAGTTTCACGGCTCTCTCTACGCTTTTCTACATATTACATGAACGTCCTCATTGGGACTACATGGGATCATCCGAAACCAGCACAGGACACAACGAAATGTAAGTATCCGTGAGGTCTTATGAATACTAAAAGTATATACTTTAGTTTTTAAAAATTTTGGGTTGTAAAATTTGTCATAGATGGTCACAAGATAGCCCAATTGCTCTTAACTTAATTTAAATCGTTTAAAATATTGAATTGAGGCACTTTAAATATTATTTAATATGGAATCGTTTTCGTCTTTAAATACAATACAATACAATAACTTCCTTATAGACTCGAGTATTGATGCTGATCAGAAATAAAGTAGTAATAAATACAACGGCCGAAATAGACAAAAAAATTCGAATCTTAGAATCAAAACGTAACAAATGATTACAAAAATAATTATTGTTTCTATGATTTTCTTTCGGTTTGGATATCTTCATAGATAAAAAAGGTGTTCTCATAAGAACTCGTCTTTTGACTGATTGTTCCTAGGACAGAATTGTTGTGCTAGAAACTTAAATCTTACCGAAATACAAACTGTTTGATATTTAGATTTTAAGATTTCCATGTTAAATATTCTGATATTGTTTACTGATTCAAATTGATTAATATTTTCATTTGCTTTATTTTAAATATTTTGAATAGGTATCACAAAAACACCATACACATCGTTGCAGTCGCCTGTGGCCAGCGAGCTCAAGAGACTCTAGTTATGATAAAGTCAGCTATCCTTTTTAATTATTATCAAGAATACCTCAAGTTCATAGTATTTACAGAAGATCCATTAACTGGTATATTAAGGGAGAAACTGACAGACTGGCGTGATTTATACCCGCAACTGTTTGACTTCGAGCTTTTGCCATTAAAATTTCCAAACAAAAGTGAAATGGAGTGGAAAAACCTTTTTAAACCATGTGCAGCACAGCGCCTATTTTTGCCGGTAAGTACCAAATGACAGGACCTCATAATATGGTTCTAGGGCTTTCATAAAATTGTAGTTGAGCTGCACTGCTGCAGATCTCTGCATAGTTTTCGCTTCATTTAATATTAAGTTAGTTGTCTGTTATCGTCGCAGGTAACTGATTGCGCTACATTCTGGCCGAAGTGCTAAAAAGATGTATCTTCACAAAAAAATTAAAATACTTTTCTTCACTTTGTAATGAAGATACATTTTAAGAAAAGAAAATAGAACATAGCGATAATTGTGATTTTTAAAAAATTAAATTAGTGTCATTCCACATATCCCCGTAATAAGTTTCATTGCTAAGATTTTTAATTCAACTCAGAAAAAAAAAATAATATTTGCATTTTAATTCAAGTCTCTATTGACGGATGTCGACTCGCTGCTGTACGTGGATACGGATATTTTATTTTTATCTCCGATTTCTGATATATGGCAGTTCTTTGGAAAATTCAACGAGAGTCAAATTGCTGCATTAACGCCAGAGCACGAAAATGAAAATATTGGATGGTACAACCGCTTTGCACGTCATCCGTTCTATGGCCGACTTGGAGTAAACTCTGGAGTCATGCTGATGAATCTTACACGCATGCGAAAATTCAATTGGGAACCTCATGTATTTCCTATTTATAAGGAGTTTAAGCTACGTATTACCTGGGGCGACCAAGATATTATAAATATTCTGTTTTATTATCATCCCGACAAACTCCATATAATGCCATGCGAATATAACTATCGTCCAGATCACTGCATGTATATGAGTATATGCAATACTTCACATTCTGGAATAAAGTTAATACATGGTAATAGAGGATATTTTCATTCTAACAAGCAACCATTATTTAAAGCAATTTATGATGCAATTGAAAGTTATCAATTTAGTTCTAATGTATACGCCGATTTTCTGTTGCCGCTTCGCTCAGCATTAATTGCGCAACATATTAATGAATCTAGTTGTGGAAAAATCTCAAGTGATATTCTTTTAGTGGCAAACAGTCTCTTCGATAATAAATATTAAGCACTATAAGTTTTCGTCAAATCATGTAAGGGAACATGGTAATTATAAACAAACCGATTGCATTATAAAATATTTTGTAAATAATTAAAAGTTTTGTTTCAACAAAAAATAATCGGTATATATTTCATTATTTAATTTAAAAATATATATGTATATATTTACAAATCCACGGCCAGCCAATAAGATGGATTTAATATTTTAGAACAATATGCCGAAAATAAAGTTGTATACTTCCTGTTAACAAATAACGCTTATGAAGCCAGAGAGAATTGTTAAATACAACGACGACTGAGTGAAAAGCGTGAATTTGTACATATCAATTTAAAGTCTTATGTCTAAAATTGTTTGAGTAGAATGATTCAAAAATCACAAAAATCGATCCTTCAGCAAAAAGACGGATAAAAGTTTCATCCAGATTGCTTTTAAGCTGAGAACTAGTGGTTGTGATCAAGATTATATAGACCTTCAATGTCTTGGTTACTCACATATTTATCGCGTCCTGTAAAAGATTTTGAATACAGAACTTCTTCTTGTACCTGTTTTATTAAGTGGCCACTATTGTATATACACTTGCTCAAAAATCTCAATAGCTGAGTAGTTCTTAACTAGTAAGATTCATTCTTTTTTTGTTTATTAAATTATAACGTCTACAAGACTAAGATTTAAAATATAAGAATGCAATAAGAACAATAAAAATATATTTTCAATATTGTCCTACGCTTAATATTGATTTAAAAAAAAATTTATTTATATACATATACAGTGTCTCACAGCTCATCAGGGACAGTGTCTAGCAAAAAATTTAAAGTGCTATAAGGTTTAAACAAAAAAAACAAACGCAAAATGTTTAAATGCCAATTTGTTTCCTGTTGTATCACGTTTGAAAAGGAAGTTTTTGTTTTTATTAAAATATTAATTAATTAACTGAAATTGGTCAAAAACTGAAAACATATCCAAAATACATCTCAAAGCTTTTTCGGGGCAGTCTTAGAAAAGTAACATATTAGGCGAATAAAAACTTAAATAAGGATGTTAATACTTAGTATGATATCCTTTAGCGTTAATAACTTCCCTTAACCTATTATTCATCGAAGATATCAGCTTCCGGGTAGTTTCAGCAGAGCATTTTTGAGATCGGATCTGTGATTCCGGAGGTTATTTTCCAGCAGAACCCACAAATTTTAAATAGCAATTAAATCTGGAGACTGGGCAGGTGGAATTATCATGTAGGGGCAGTTCCAGATAAGCCAGGACTATACTAATCCGGACTTATGCTTGGCAGTTGTCCTGGTCGTTGTCGTGGTAGAACCGGAAAGTACGCCGGATTCCTAGCTTCTCGGCACTTTGGAGTAAATTTTCCTTTAATTAATTGAGATACACATTCTTGTCCATTGTTGTTTCAATAAACACCAAAGTTCCGACGCCGGCTCCGAGATAGATGGCCATACCATGACACTTCCTCCGCCGTGCTTGACTGTTGCCTTTAGGATATTGGGATTCAGCTCAGTATTGGACTGTCGCCACACATAATTCCGTTCGTCTGAGCCAAAAATGTTGAATTTTGGGCTCATCTTCAAATATGAATGTGTTCCAGAACTCCAACTCCTTGTCCTTGTGGGTTTCGACGAATGTCATCCTAGTCCCTTTATTTTTTGCGCTTATAAATGGCTTCTTTCCGATTTTCGTCGACGAAGCGACGAATGATGTTGAATACAGTTCATTTGCTTAGATTTACCATTTCAGCTATTTGGCGATGTGAATATCCAATCTTGAAGTGTTCCAGGATGAGATTCCGTTCTTCAATGGTGGTCCGTTTGTCCATAGTCCTTGTTGGCTGGTTGCATCCGAGATGCAAAATATAACTAAACTGACTACGAAGGATTGGTCTATCTATACCGAAAATAATCAACCTGACGTAAAAAATCTGGGTTTTATGGCACACAGGTGTTCATAACGCCCATGGTCCAAGGAATATGTGACCATAAATTAAGGTAGTTTTTTACATAACGAGGCCACCGGCTTGGTGGGGAAATCGCAGTTTATTGGGATCATATATTTATTATGGTGCTTAATATATGTACCTGCCATCGGTCTTTCGAATTTTTGAAAAATATTGTATAATTAGTTTATGGCAGGCAATTAAAATTATTGCTAGGCACTGTCCCTGATGAGCTGTGAGACACTATATATATATATATAAATATATATATAATATATATATATATATATATATATATATATATACGTACCCTTGTAGTTTAGAGCCAACCTCGTTTTTTTTTTGCCATAACGCTTCCTAAAGCGACCAGAGCTGTTCTACATATCTAGGTCTCAGTTCCGATTTGCTGTCTTGTCAGACAATCTTTTTCTTTTTAATTCATTCTCTTATTTATTTGCAAGATTTAATTGAGCACACAGAAGGGATCGGGAAGGTTAAGGACGTTGCTGAACTTACTCTGGCCAGCGTTTACGAGTTTGTGACCGGCTTTTTACCTTGTAACTCGTCTTGTAAAAAGTTAAAACAACTAATTTAAAACTTATTGGGCGCAAGAAAAGAACTTCAAGGCCAATGCAGTGCGTGCGAGAAGCGATGCGATAATATTGGTCAACAAAATGGTTTCAGGCTCTTTTTCTTTGCTGGACCTGACCTTTAAATAAATATAAATAATTATACTTGAGAAAAATTGGAAACGCCAAATATGTGTTTAAAAATATATTAATTTTTACCCAAATATTGTAATAGTAGTAGTAATAGTAATAGTTATTTGTGTGTACTTATAAACTCTCTGAATGCATTTCTGCTTTAAAATTAATGAGATTGAACGGCTCAGCTTGGTTATAGTTTTAAATTTTGTTTGAATCTTGAATCTTGAATCAATGATTGTGTTTTGCAAAATGCAAATATAAATCAAACAACCCTATCAACGACATCGGGATCTGTTTCAAGAGACTTCCCAAGTAAACGTCATTTCCCACTTTGAATCCAAAAGCACATTCAAATTTCTAACAATAACTAATAGTAAAAGCAATTTAGCTCGCTAAATATACTTCGTTCAAAGCTTTAACTCCGTCATATCGTACTCTTTTCTCAGTAGCCTAGTAGCACCTATCCCAGTTCAGACATTTAATCAGTGATCCGACTTTTGAATTTCTACCCAATGCGAGGTTCTTTAAATATTCTTAATTACAGATCTCGCAAGCAGGAACGTATTTTATTAGACGAACACGATTGAATCAAATACCTATAGAAGCAGTTTTTTCAAAAAATTCGGTGATAAGATCAAATATGTAAATATTCCGATGGTTACACAATATATATGGAGTATCAGTTTGATGGCTTTACCTGATGACCTGATGTACTGTACCCAGGATAGTACAAGTCACATCATATTTATACCGATGGCAGAGTTAGGCGGCTGAGTAGGAGGCAAAGTATACTCTGATCACCGAAAGTTAAACCATTATTTCAAGCTCCCTAATCTTCGCGATCAAGCAGGAGCTCTCATTACTAGCACTCATGGAATCCAGAGAAAAGTTGATAAGTCGCAGTAAATATCACAGATTTTTTCACGAGCTGGCAAGAGAAGCTCACATCCACCTCATCTGGGTGCCGGGACGCAGGGATACTAAGAGAAACCGTAGTGCAGTGACCCAAGTCATCATTGGACACTGGTAGATAATAAACCATACAACCACAACGCCTGTTGAAGTTGCTGTGACTAAGAAAATGAGAAATCGGTCCAATGTTTATTTAACCATATTCATCCAATCAACGGGATGAATCACGACGCCTGAAACTTGATGTGTTGTTGCGAGACTGTCAATCATGGCTCAACATTTGAGATTTGGCAATATAAATGACATTTGTGTTATAATCAAGGTGTCAAACTAAAAACGGGATCCGAAGCGCATTTAAATTTGTTTTGTGCGAGCTATATTATATACATTTGTCTAACACTGATCGAACGTTCTCTTATTTTTTTAAACTCTGGAATTGGGCCATTATTTAGCATACCGCAAAAAAGATCAACACGTAACCGAAAACCGTTAAAAAGTTTGGAAAAACATCCGAAACTCCACCGGAATTCTAGTGTCTTATATACCAGAATCGAAATCGATACCCAAATTCGTTTCGGTTTGACACCCTGCTTATAATAAGAGGGGATATTTGCACATAAATGTATATACCATATAAGTTACTTACATCCGCGTTTCCATGAATTTGTGTTGAATACTTCTTTACTTTTTTTGAAAATCAAAATGTTAACTTAAATGTTTTAAGTTTTAATACATTTGTTTTTTTTTTGGCATCCATTTCAGGTTCCTTTTCTTGATTTCTCAACTCTTTTTCTGAGCAGGCAGCGATCAGATGGCCTTCCACGCATGTTAAGATTGCACCTGAGTGGCTGAAGGTGGCCTTGTATTAATGCGTCAATTTTTATGAGCTGAGAATGATTGTGTATTTGCAGATTTTGGCAACATTTCGGTGCTGCAGCTGCTATTCCACAAAGAAAGCTGGACAAGAAGATACCTTGACCACGTTTTTTTGAAGTCCAACCAATTAACCAAGTGAAATATGCGCGTACATTAATTGTATGTGCATGTGTTTGTATTTATGAGTGCATATGTGCACAAAAAATGATGGAATCGGAAATGCACAAATACTCTAAACACATTTTCATCACAACACATATTGAAAATCAGCCCAATAATATTAACATTTGGTAACAGTTGCTTTAAAGTTTTGACAAATATATATGTGCTTCGAGGTTTCATATATTCCCCAGTCCCCTTAACTCGCTGTTTAGACGAGTTTATATTCCGAGTTGAAAGCCATGTCTATAAGTTTCTCGATCGCTCTTTGATTATCTTAACTCAGCCTTTGATCACACTTGGATCGCAATTGTCAATGCACAATAAAACATTTTGGTTTGTGTAACTAAATTTTTTTTCACATTTCTTCAGTGATAGTAAAATACATACATATTTGATACAGCAGTCCGTTATTGACTAAATGTCCTCCAAATTTTAGGAATCTATTGAAGAATGTCATTTCCAAGATTGAAAAAAAAAAAACTATGCTTATACAACACAGATATTATTAAATACATATATATATATAAATATATATATATATATGTATTCATTTATCAGTAATACGTACATATTAAAGTTGGTTGGTTAAGTTAAACAAAGATAAATAATATTGGGTCTTCTAAGTAGTTGGATAATGTTCCTGCGCGTCATTTTCTGTAGTACTAGGTATGCCAGTGGCATTTGATAAAATCTGCCCACTGCTTGTCCCTGCGGTGTCTAAATTATTAATGTTTCTGATATTTCTAATTGAAGTTGGACTTGGAGACTTGGAGCTTGATGATGTAGCCGAGTCAGGTGTACTTTTATTTCGTGTAGATGTTGTTTCTTCATCATCGGAACATTCCACACTGGATATCGAGAAATTATCCTTTAAAAAATGAATAAGTTCAGAAAACAACTCGTAACCGGATGCAAGTATCTTTAAGTTACCGTATCTCTTTGTGATTTATAACCCAGCAATTTAAGTTTGCGTTCCTCTCTCATTCGAGTTAGTCTCATTAGCAGGGTATAGTGCTGTTCCACCCGATATAGACATGTTTTGCATATGGTCTTAGGTAAAGGATCAGTTGGTGATATCTATAAAACATTTGAATGCATTTTGGAACATCAAAATATTTGTGGTACTACTTACAGTAATGGGCAAATAGCCGTTAATTTTTTCGACAAGGCATAAGCGCTGACCATGGTCTCCATAAATGTGTATAACTGTCCTATGCATTTCTGAGCAAAGACGGCAAAGAAATCCGGAAATACAGGCCTTCTCAATACTCCCCATGTCGACCGTCGGTATGCCAATATCTTTGTTGTAGTGGGATTCAAAACATATCAGTTACGTATAAGTGTATCCAAGCACGTAAATTAATTACATACATTAATATTTATCAATAATTTCTCTTACTAGCTAGCACATAAACAATTCCTTAAATCAGACACAAAAATATTGCATTTGCTATTGTTCTCACACACAGATGTTTGGATTCACAATAACAAGGTTGCATGTTCGATAGGCCTCACTTTATAAATCTTTAAGTATCGATAGTCAGCTCCTTATGTCGAATTGAACATTGCTGTTAAGGCATTTTAATATCAAACTATCCACAATTTTAGCCTTTTTCTGGCTAGATCTGTTCTGTTTTCATTTGAGTTATGTGAAAAAATTAGCAAACGCAACCTGCCCGGAAGTCAATTCTTTATTTTTTTTTAATAATATACATTTTTTATTTTGGCAATTAATGTAATAATAAAATTATTTTGTATTAAATTTGTGTTTGTGCATATAGCTTATAATTTTTTTATACAATTAGCATGACAATGAATATGGATTGTAATTCTGTACATAAATTAACATAATTATTTATTTAAATAAATAATATTTCTCAAAGTTTTTTTTGTTGTGAAAAATCGTCAATAATAATGTCTCATATTGTAAATCCATATAATCATTTCTCACGGAATTCACGTTAAAAACAGATCCTTTTTCCTATTAATTTAAGGATTTTCGTTATTAGTTCTTTTCTGTTCAATCTGCCCTGTTTTTGCAAACGATATTTGACAGCAGAAGAGACTTGAAGCTCAAAAGTTGGATTTAATTAGAGCGACATTTAGGATCGTGTCCAATACTTTGCATAATTCTGGCATCTTCAGATGATGTCCCTAAACAATAACACATACTAACATTTTTACGCACATTAAAAAAATGTAAAAAGATTTTGAGAGCGATGGGGTAGTGATGATGGTTTTAAAGCAAACATGCTTAAATTGTTGCGTGAGTGGGAAACGTAGACTTCAATATCGTGTGCATTTTGACAAAACTAACAGGCATTGAATTGTTTTATTATTCTTCTTTGTCAGTGGCATTAGAATACAAACTAGTAGTCTACAAGGAGTTGGCTCACTCAATAATTAGACAAGGACTGCGATGACTTGTCCTTTTTGTATTACTGTACGAGTTAACAATAGTTGTCGCTTCTACCACTTGCTGTTTGTTTAAAATTAAGAATGAAGAATTTGCCCAATTAAGAAGATTAGAAAATCATATTCATTCTAAGTGTAATATTCATTATCGTTATCGAAATTCAAAATTATTTTCATGGCTCTTCATGTAGGCAGTTCAATGAATTCAAAATTCTTTTAAGTTTTAAGAACAATTTGCTTATTCTACCTATAAATTCCAACTATCCGAAGAAGTACAATCGACCGAACGTCACGCAAGGATTTGTATATCTAATCAGGTGAGAGGCGTGCTAACATAAGCATTTGTACGTACGATGAGTTGCAAGCACTGAAATTAAATATAACTAACAAGTAATACATTTAAATTTTACACTTCCGTTGTAGGGATGGAGCGGTCCGACTGGTCAATCACTGCCGTTGCAGGGTCCGACTGCTCAATCAATCAATCGATAAAGAAGAAAGAGCGTAAGCCATTAAAATTACATGTGGCTGCAATTCGATTGCAGTTGGCGTTGCCATCCACACCTACTTAATACCAGTCTGGTTAATTCAGATTAGCTGTTCTCTATTCGTCGCAGAGTTGTCAGTTGGGTTTAAACCGACATTTCAATTTGAATTTTTACCTCAACTAGATTTATTAATATAGTAAGTAAAATAAGACTTTCAAGGCATGTCCTCAAAAAATCTAAAAGAGCCCCAGTCAACTTTACTTTTACTTTGTAAATCTCTTTGACCCTCAGAATCTCTTTGGATCCGAATTATATTTTCAATTCGACAATCAGATCTTGAGATACATTGCAAAAACCCCCCAATTGACTCCCTAGGGTGTCGACTGCTAATTGTATAACATTGGTTCCGCAATGTACCGATGATGGTTACGACAACCTACACCTACCGTACGTGCGCATTAATCGGATACAACGACCGGAGGAGACTCTGCTGACAACCCAGAGTGTAGTATATGTCGGATACATTCCTGCTGCCACGGTATCTAGTTATGTGTAGGAAAGTTGAACAGGGAAGATTTGCTGCCATTCGAGGGGAAGAACAGTAATGCACCTGCAGATAAACCTCAACCACTGGACTAGTCCAACAACCTTCGTTTGTGGGAGACAAAGGCTGTATGCTAGGATGTACCAGTTATTAGCTATTAGGTGAAAGCAGATCGTACATGTTAACATAATAACAACAAAATTTTAACGATAGCTGGATGTGAATTTGAATAATAGATGTATCGAATTAGAAGTTTTACAAAGCTCATTAAGACCAGAATAACTGCGAAATCTTCAAGAAAAGCTCTGTTTCATTTTTGTAACCTCAAGAAAAAGCACCCTTGTTGAGCGACACAACCAAGTACTATGCGTTACAGATGTGGGTTTGTTTTTAATAAAGCGAAAGCGCAAAATAATAACCTTAACTGGTTTATTGGTCTAGCTTGGAAGTCTTCAAAAAAGCAACAAGGCAGGCCTAAAGGATATAAGAGTCAGAAGCTTGCTCGCGTATTGAGTCTATTTCAGACGCTGCTGGAAACTCCCTAAAGAATTTAACCTTTTAACCACGTTATGCCAGAAGCGATAACTGGAGCCCTGATGGACCTGAAAGCTGACTCCCGATTTGTGGTATTGCTCGTATGCAGGATTCTGGATTCTCCAGGATCAGGCCAGCAGGGGCACGCCTCAGGCGTTCTATCGCCTTTCCTTTGGAATTTAGCAGTAAATAGACTGATACACGACATGGGCGGGATGTCTAGGAAAGTTCCCTCAAAACTGTGTAACCTGATGACAAGTAACCTTACAATATTGTCAACCTGGCCAACTAAATGCGGGTTAATAATAAATACCACATAACAAGAAAACACAAAACAGCAGTTGGTTGCAGAAAAGCCATTGAGCTCAAGTGGGCCCTAGCACTTTGGCTGTATACAACAATTATCAGACCAATACTCTTTAGTTTTGTGGTTTTCGTTAGATAAGCAATTCACAGAAAAACAGGTTAATAATCAGCCACTTGCCAGGGAAAGGCTAAAATCTCACTATTCGTCCGTTTGAGCCATATGTTATAAAAGTTAAGGGCCCTGTCTCAAAGCAGGGTTCTGAGACTCTTTCGTGTGATTAGCTGATCTGGGCTGTTCAGCTATCATAGTTCCAATAAGCATAGCTATATTTTATATATTTATTTCAGTTGATGCATCTTTGAGTTGCATGCTTATCTAATTATTCCGATTTTTGTTTAATCAATCAATTACGATGTATAATAATGCAGAATATATTTTTACTATGCGTAATTAGAACGTAATTTGAAAGTTATGGTACAATATTTGTTTGTTAAAGACTATATAATAATGATTTCGGTACATTTTTGATTAATGGTTGCTTTCTTGAAAGGAATTAATCATTACCAACAGGCTATGTAAAAAAAAACCAAGATACACAAAACTACGAAGGTTGCTGCTGTCCTTAATAAACACTTTATGGCATTCAATATTATTATATTTTATGATTTGACTTTTGAGTTTTTCCGACTCCTTTCTAAATTGTTCAAAATTCAATTCAATTTCACACACATGAAACCTAAATATGCAGGAGTGCTCGACTCGAAAGAGCTCGCTGGCTTGCACACACATATGCAAACTCAAGCGGCTACCCGACCAGAGCAAAATTTACTGCTGAGCCGTTTTCGCTCCTTAGAAAAAATGCAACTAAAACAACAATATATTTTATAAAACTGGACACCCATGGTGGTTTGGTTTGGTTGAATGCAGGTACGCAAAAAGTGACTATATATTTTCCAAAAAAAACGACATCTTATAAATTTAATCATACGCAGTTTTCCCAACCTAAACGCAAAATGAATATAAAAAAAGATGACATTCATCGCTTATTTTTTTGGATGCCTCTCCACAAATGTGTCATCTAATTTTTGTAGTCGCTCATCGGGTCGTCGATGTCTTCTGTCCACTGTTACTTATGACAAATGATATACAAGGTCGCTGTTGAGCTGTATCTAATATTTGACACATATTTTCATTTTATAAATATCTTTTAATGCATCGCGATGATATTATTCTACCTCTTAAATGAGACTCATTTGGATCAATTAGAAACTGTAAGCAGCAGCCCTCGTAATTACAGCTAAAGAAAGCGACTTTAGTTTGTATGAGATTCACAAAGCTTGTAATAAAACTTGTCTGATAAATGTTTATAATAATAAATTTAACCGGTTTTATTGACGACGACGTGTATTACGTTGTTTGTCGAATCGCATTTCCATTTCCTCAAGAACTTTGGGGGTATAACGTACGACAAGCTTTACTGAGCCAACCGCTTGCTTCAATAGTTCAACTGCTCTCTCATGATTTTCACCTTCAACAGACTGCAATGAAATAGAAAACAAATACACAATAAGAACCAAAAATTACTAGACTAGTCGAGAGAATTCGACTAGGAGATACGCTGTAAAAAGATTCAAATAACTCTACAAGGTATAGTAGTAGCTATAAGTGATTGACTATAAGCACCAGTCAAGACTCCATTGATGTTGACCTCGCAACGGAAAAGTTTTCGAGGTTGGAGAGAAATGTTTAGATTCCTTGCATTAGTCCATCACTTGTCACATCATATTAAATATCGCTTAAGTTTACGAAATAAATCATAAAGGATCTATACACTCTCAACAATTGTTGTAGTTTAAATAAAAATATATTGAGAATTGTTTTGTTTATAAATGTTTGACTTATATGACCTTATATGCTACTTGATTTGAACAATGACCTTATCAGCATAACCCTGTTTCGGAAGAAGCTTTCAATTTTTGTAAACCTTCAAAGAAGTGTACTTACCACACCATTAACTGAGAGTAATTGATCTCCCCTTTTAAGTCCTCCATGTCTATCTGCAACTCCACCAGGTATTATTCGAGATATATAGATTGGAGAATTCTGCTCCTTGCCACCCATAACATTGAAACCCAGTCCTGCAGACAGAAAGATAGGAGAAAAATGTAATAGGAAAATAATATTAATGTGCTTCCAACTGATTTTATGTTGTATAAAATAAAAGGCAGAATAAATCATCTCTGACAACATAAAGTATATATATTCCTGATCAGAGTATACAGAAGAGTCGATCTAGGCATGACCATCTATACATCTGTTGGTCCTTATGAGCAAAAGTTGTCGTATACCGCGCGCAGATCATGTTTATTTCATTTGATCGATAACTGCCCTTTTCCGAGAATACTGATGCATACCGATTCCAGATCGCAATAAAAGATATAGTCTTCTAGTGTGTTCTTAATATTTCACATTGCCATATTCCGAAACACCCAAGTTATAAACGAATTCGCATATTCATATCTATCAGAAGGCGCATCTATTATATTTATGAATAAAAATGGGTGAAGATGCGGTTGTCGCAAGCAATTTAAGTTCGATTGTAGTCAAAAAATCCGCTTCCTTAGTTCATTTTACCCTTCAGAAATGGTGCAGTCTGTAAGAAATGCTCACCTTCGAGTTTGAAGGGAATATTTGTATCCGTTAAGTTCAGGGTATCTCGTAGTCGATTTTATTCGGCTACAACATTTTTACCTTATTTTTTTAATTATTTGGATTACACTCTGCAAAATTCAAGTAAGCGCACTTTTATTAAATTGCAAGAACAATTTTTAAAATTATACCATTACGTAGCTGGCAGCGATGTTTGATGAGAAAGGTTTCCCCATACCCTCTACAAAATTTAAGTCGTCGTGCTGGTCACTCTTTAAAGTTGAAAATCTTTTCCCCGGATCCATTCAAGACTGCCCCGGGACACCGGAATGCAGAAAATATAAGGATTTTGCGACTCACCAACCAAGCAACAATAAAATCGAATTTCTGAGATGTGTGTCACTTATGACCTGTGTTCAGGGTATCTACTATTCGAGATTTCTCGGTAACAATGCGTAATAAAAATCTGTTGAAAATATCCGTTATATGTAGGAACACGCACGATATTGTAGAGAAGTTCACTACAAATAAACTGTATTTAAACATATGTATGTACACATCCATATTTGTACGTATGTACATGTACGAAGATTCTCTTTTCAGGTTACACAAATATTTGTATGCATAGCATTCAAATCCTGGCTCCTCGTTTAGTACACTAATTGCTTACCTTCCTCTGTTTTTGGCAGCTCTACAACCCGTGGGTGGGCGTGTCCTTCACTAGCAGCAAAAGCAGCCACGGTAGCTTTGGCTGTTGCAGAGGCACGAACATCGTGTGATCCTTGGATATCAACAGTTTCGAAAACATGTTCATAGACTTCACGTACAGAATTCAAGAAGTCGGAGCTTAACACTTTTTGCAATGCGGCCAATTTTGTAGTTGGAAAATCTCCGCTAGACTGAAGCTTTTCTAATAGCTCGATTGACCTCTTAACATCTGTAAAAAATATGTTTTATTATTAGACTAAATACACACCTCAAATAAACATGTGTGCCCTACCTCTGGCCAAGGTCAGTGGTTCCGAAATTTCGGTCATTTTACTGCACTATATTAATATATATTAATATCCAAGGTGTTGGATTTACTTCTTCCTACCTAAAGTTTAGTAGTTTTTTACATTGATATTATCAATAATAATATCGATATCAAATTTGTGGAAATATCTATACTGTCATCGATAGCGTTAGGCCATACAAATTATCAGAATCGTATGCGCTTGTTGGCAGCGGTGCAGTCAATTTAGCCTTTTTTAAAAATATTTTTATTTATTTATTTAATGTCAACTAAGTCAGTCGACATGAAAACAAATTTTCAAAAAGCAACACATTTAATGAAATTACATCAAAAATTAAATTGAAAATTATATTTATATTAAAAGATCAATATTTATACTATTTCTGGGGGTAATTCATACAAAATGTTCCAACCCGAGAAAAAAACCAAATCAGGCAAAAAAAGTGCATGCGAAAAAGCTAGTCACGAGTACGACGTTTAAAATTGAGTTATTAATTATAGAAATAGACGCTGGATTGATTACATGATATAGTCTATTGTAATCATTACAGAGTTCGACGATAAAGAGAAAGTGGGAAGAATCACCGAGTCGCCTAGCATAACTCGCCGATTAGTTAAGCAGACCATATAATTTCAGGAATATTAAAGTCACCACATACAATCAAATAGTCTCTGTCACAAAGCATAGAGGACAGATATTGGATAGCGGATAGATGATTTAAACAGGTAGAGACATCTGATTGAGGTGGAATGTGGGAACACGTGATAAATAATGACAAGCATTACGCAAGTATTATCAATGTCTAGAATGAATGGAAGTAAGAAAAAATCTGACGCAAGCTTAGAATCAACAGCAATCCACCATCCATGCGTGATCACATCTATAAGGGGTGTATCTATTAGAAAATAATAGAAGATCGGAAAAATCAGCCATTAATCAACTTTCAGTAAATACTAGAATATTAAATTCAAAAGAAAGATTGTCAACTTATAGTTTAGAAAGTTTAGTCTTAAGACTTCTAACATTCTGATAAGCTAGAGAAACAGGGTTTTAGTTTTTTGAAGCAACATTAGAAGGAGGAGCACCAGAAGGACTTACAGGTAGTGTAATAGGAGGCCGAATACGTTTTTTTTTTATTTGTATACTCGTTTATTACTAAGACTTTCGAAAAGACAAATTGTGTTCCTCGTTCCTCTACTTTAATTTATTTAAATTTTACTTCCGCTATACCAGTAGATGCCAGTTTAGCCTATACGAGTATATATATGACGGGCTAGTTTGCCTCAAACAATTTTCGACTACGCTTCGCGGCATCGCTCCCGACACCACTTTAAGCTCGACTTATTGCTGATTACAACCTTTACCCGTTGTGTGAAACCAGCACATGTACATGTACTACGTTCGACCACAGCCAACAACAGCTTAAATCAGCCTGGCACCAAGTAACACACAGACATAAAAAATAGCAAAAATACAACCGATCTGGGTAAAGGCTAAGAACGAATGCTTCCGTCTTCATCTTACTTCAGGTCTGTATAGAGTCACAAATCGTATCGTAATTGAATCTATCCATTTTTTTGTTTACGATCTCAAACATCTGTTTTTAAGGTAGTCAATGCAATTTTGTAAATCGCTAACACAATCGTCCGTCAATCGGCGTCAAACCGATTTAGGTTAATACCTCTCACTAACAAAATAAAAAAATCATGGAATGGTAATTGTAATTATATTTTATTTCTGTATTTATATTGATGTAATAAGGAAATATTTTAATAAAACAATGGAACTAAAATTCTGTTTAGAAACCGCATACGAGAATGACAGACACAAACACAGTGAATCAAAATAATATGGAATTTTTCGGCCGCTAATGAGCAGGCGAATTGATTAAATACACCTCGTTTTACTAAACCAGATAGTCTTAAAGCAAAGATTCCGGGAGTTCATTGGAATTGTTACTTTAAGCACTTTATTGCAATTGGCTGTCACAATTGGGAACAGTTTTGCTTAGTTTAAGTAAAAAAAATGTATGCATTAAGCGAAGAAGATTAAAATCTCAATCTGACGAAAATCATTGTAAATGTAAGTACATTTTGAGTGTGTCGATTTTATTGTTTTATTGCGTCGACAGACATTGTCCATAATTTTAATCGCATGACAACCTCGCGGCATTTATAATTAAATAATCTAATGCCGCCATAGACTGCAAACAACATTATTTTTTATGATTTATTTTGCCTTCCAATAATTTCACATCGCACATCGGCATAACTAGGAATTGTCCGTAAATAATTTGAATCATATCCGTAAAAATGTTAACAAGGTTTCAAAGGCGGTTGATGTGACATTAAAACAGGACAACAAAATTTGAGTTGTTGAAGTTGAAGAGGAACCAGCCTAGTTATAAGCATAATATTTTAAAGTTCTATATAAGAGGAAAACTTAGACCATAAGTACAATTACAAAGTGCTCTTCTTCGCTTGGCGGAATATAAATTAGAATATTATATAGTTTAGACATGCCACATTAATACGTGCTCTATAGCTTTTGTGTTTACTTTCTCAACCAACTCAAGCTAAATGCTAAAATGGCATCGCTGTTGGTGACACAGAAATTTGGTTTTTGTGTTTTATTTCACAGTTCCAGAACGACGCTATAAGTAATCGATAAGTCATCGACGCACGATGATATCACTTTTAAACTCACACTATTGTTTTTAGCGGCAACATCTCGCGTGTGGTGAAATAGTTTGCTTCATACTGCAAAGCAAAATCAAAAGCCTCCAAAATGGACGTTGAATTGCCTTACGCGGCAGAATATGCAAAAAGTGGCCGTGCTTCTTGTAAAGGATGTAAGACTCCAATTCCAAAAGATTCTTTACGCCTTGCTACTATGGTCCAAGTAAGTCCATCGTGCATATGGAAATTTATAATGGTATTATTATTATTATAAGCGTTCAGATGTAAATGTATTATTCCAAACGAGATTGGCTGCAAAAACTGATTGATGTTTTCCTGCACGTTTACAATAATGTGTACATAGAGTACATATATACAAACATAACTATTTATGTGCCACATTCATGAATGCGTCTGCTGTTTTCATTAATACAAGTAGCGACTGCTGTTCCTGCTATTGCAGCCGCTCTTAAGCCAATTTTCGGACTGAAGCTTTTGCTTCAATATTATTTAAGACACAAGTATAAACTTATACGTATATAATATAAATTTGATATATGGTCATATATTACAGCAGTCAGTGCTTTTCAGTTTGAGCTGTATTTGGCTCGTTATCTGGCCAAGACCAAAAATCGTCCTCTAACACCAACACTACAGCACTTGGAAGCCAGTAGACATGGATATGTTATGGAATCAATCAATGTCAGTTTGCCAAGACCATTGTCTGTCATTGAATATTGAACTATTATTCCACCTTTAACTTGTTGAACTGTTGTTATCAGTTTTCTTAAGACATATAGTGAAAACCTAAATGCCTTAACACACAAAATTGGCAACTTATCTGCTGCGTATAATAAATAAAAAGGGGTAGCCTTCGATACAACAAATTTCATACACTTGAGCATTGCACTGCGCGAAAGTGCTTATTAGTTGCGACGATTTATCCTCATTACCCAAAATTTAAAGTTGTTCGAAATGTCACCGTTTGTAATGACGCTTAATAATATTAGTGTAAGTGGCTGATTTTAAATAAATGTAATCATAAAAAAAATGAGGCAAACTTCACACTCATTCAGTACGAAAAATACGGGGAGATCTTGCTTGTACGAAAGCTGACTCGCTCCTAAAGATATTTTTTCTGTGCCAAAACACGATTTCCTTGCTATGGTGGACATGAGCTGACAGTCCCTGAGAGCCATCCAACTAACTTGCTCTCGTAAAACATAGTCAATCAACCATAGTTCGCCAGTGCATCGAAATACTTGAGTGTACACTGACACAATTACTAATATTTTTGATTAGTCTCCCTTTCATGATGGAAAAGTTCCAAACTGGTTTCATAAGGACTGTTTTTTAAAGAAACAGCGTCCAGCCACTGTGGGGGATATAAAGAACTTTGAAAATTTGAGATTTGATGACCAAACTGAGCTGACAAAACTTATTGGTATGTATAATTAATACAAAGAATGAAAGGCTTTACAAAGAATTGTTGTTTTTAGGTAACGCACAAGTAGCCGTTGCTGGCAAAGCGGGTAAGCGTTCAAAGGCCGAACAGCAAGCAATTAAAGATTTCGGGATCGAGTACTCTAAATCGGGACGGGCAGCATGCCGTGGATGCGAACTAAAAATAAACAAAGATGAAGTTCGAGTATGTAAAACCCTTTTCGATACTGAAGTTGGAATGAAATACGGTGGTCAAAAAGTTTGGCATCATTTGGAGTGCTTTGCTAAGATGCGATCGGATCTTGGTTGGTTTGATACAGGTGAAACTCTTCCTGGATATAAAGGCTTAAAAGCTGACGACAAAGCGGAAGTCTTAAAATTGTTGCCGTGAGTACATTTCATTGTCGTTCATTCATGTTGTTCAACTAATTCGCCGCTATACACTTGTTATATTTAATTACAAATTGATAAATGTTAATTTTTTGATCGCAGTTTAATAAAGTCTGATGATTTACCAGACGCCAAGAAACCGAAGCTAGAGCCAAAAGATGAGGCCGAAGAAAATGATAAGAAGAAAAGGCTAAAAAAACAGAATGATAATTTATTCAAATTCCGTGATGTATTAAAAAACGAAATGAAAAAAACGGATATTGAGAAGCTTTTGGAGTACAACGGACAGACACCTATAGCTGGTGATTCTGAAAAACTTTTAGATCAAGCAGCAGATTTACTGACATTTGGCGCAATTGAATCTTGTCCAGAATGCAAGAGTACGCAGTTTATTTTTAATAAATCGGGTTACCTTTGTAATGGCAACATCTCAGAATGGACTAAGTGCACAAAGTTATTCACAGAACCCAAGCGAAGTGCATGTAAGGTTCCGAAAGACTTGAAAACTACTTATAATTTTTGGAGCGATGTTAAAAAAAAACCCGAAACGCGAATTATTCAGTACGTGGCTCCAAGCGCATCAACTATTGCCAAGGACATTGCTATAAAGAAAAATCCAGATGAAATTGATGGGTTAGTAAACAAAAAATTTGTATTACAAAAATTCAATTCATTCTGGACAATTACCTTTTTTTCAGTCCCAAAATTAAACGAGAACGACCACCATTATACAATTTTAAACTATCACTAATCGGTATGAAAGACAGTGAGGCTGAAATAAAAAAACGCATCGGAAAGTTAGGCGGAAAATTCGATACTAAAATACTTGTTGATACCATAGCTATTATATCTACAGAAAAAGAAGTGGAAAAGATGAGCTCTCGTATGAAAAAAGCAAAAGAGCTTGGTATACACATTATTCCTGAGAAGTATCTTGATTCTGTTGAATCTGATGGCACTGGAGCCCTTAATTTCATAAGTAGCATGACTCTTTGCGATTGGGGTACAGACCCATCAGCCCGTCTGCCTCAAGAAGAATTAAAGAGTTCAAAGTCGAAAAGTATCTACACAAAATCTGTACCAAAGTCGGTGACTCTTAAGGTAAAGAATGGATTTGCTGTGGATCCTGATAGTGGTCTGGAGGATATAGCGCATGTGTATGTCAAAGGCGATGATAAGTATAATATTGTCCTGGGCTTAACAGACATACAGCGTAATAAAAATTCATATTATAAATTGCAACTTTTGGAAGCCGATACTAAGAATAAGTACGTCTATTATTTGCGTCATAGAGTTATACTCGGCACATAGTATATTTGTCTTTTTAATTCCACAGGTATTGGATTTTCCGCTCTTGGGGTCGTATTGGCACGACTATTGGAGGTTCAAAGGTAGAAGATTTTAGAACGGTAATAGAGGCTGTAAATTGTTTTTGTAACGTATATTCTGAAAAAACAGGAAATGATTTCAAAAACAGAAATAATTTTGTAAAAATTCCGGGTCGCATGTATCCAATCGACATTCAATATGAAGATGATAATGTAGTGAAAGACACCGGCAATGAAAATATTGATTCTAAACTTGAACCATCGCTTCAAAGTCTAATTAAGCTTATATTTGATGTCGAATCTATGAAGAAAACTATGATGGAATTTCACATAGATATGGAAAAAATGCCATTGGGAAAACTGAGCTTGAAGCAAATTCAGTCAGCGTACTCGGTTGTTACAGAAATATATGATTTAATACAAAAACATGGCACTAACTCTGGATTTATTGATGCCAGTAATCGATTCTACACATTAATTCCTCACTGTTTTGGAGTCCATGCGCCGCCTTTGATTGAAACAATAGAACAGGTCGAAAGTTTACGTCAAATGCTGGATTCGTTGGCGGAGATTGAAGTTGCCTACAATTTAATTAAGAGCGAGGATATTATGGAGGACATCAATCCGTTGGATAAACATTACGAACAGTTAAAAACACAACTACAACCACTAGACAAAAATAGTAAAGAATTTGCAACTTTGAACACGTATGTGCAAAATACACATGCATCTACACATAGTTCATATGAGCTTCAAGTTATAGATATTTTTACGGTTGCCCGTCAAGGAGAAGCTCGGCGCTTTAAGCCATTCAAGAAACTGCACAATCGTAAATTGCTATGGCACGGTTCTCGACTAACAAACTTTGTTGGAATATTGTCGCATGGCCTGAAAATTGCTCCGCCCGAAGCTCCGCCAACTGGCTACATGTTCGGCAAGGGTATTTATTTTGCAGATATGGTGTCCAAATCAGCAAATTATTGTTGTACCAGTCAGCACAACTCTACGGGCCTTATGTTATTGTCTGAAGTGGCCTTGGGTGACATGATGGAATGTACGGCCTCTAAATATGTGGAAAAATTACCAAAAGGTAAACATAGCTGCTTTGGCCATGGTCGCACGATGCCAGATCCAAAAGGCTCACTTGTACGGGATGATGGTGTAGAAATTCCACTTGGAAATCCTGTGACTGATGAAAAATTGAAGTCATCGTTGCTGTATAATGAGTATATCGTATATGATATTGCACAGGTTAATGTTCAATATTTGTTCCGCATGGAGTTTAAGTACAAATATTAACTAATTGCTTATGAAAATCAGCCAAAATAAATAATTTTTTTCAACTTACTTATGTGTTATTTTACTTACCTGCGATAGAACACATCGAATTATTCAATATAAATTAAAAAATGAGCAATGGTTAATGGCTATCTCTCCGCAGCCCGGAATCCACCTGCTCACAGGTAATTTGTATTAAAAGTTTAAAAACCTGGTATTTGCCTGCTGGCCGTCTATAGAAATCAAACGCGGCTTTCTGTATCAGACAGAAAGACTTTACTGAGACGGTGATTTAAAATACATTCTAAAATATTGTAAATCTTAGTTTCGTGTTTGGAATTTAATGCAGTATCGGTATACACTATATTTATCTTTTTGACAACTCGTCAACTTAGTTCAGCGGATTTTGCATACTTCGATCAACCCAGTATACATAAACTACATTTTTATTTAAAGAAATATTTATTTTTTCAAAAATTATTCAATTTTATAATAAATAAATAAATAATACTTTTGCAGATAGTAAAAACATATGTAAATTGTCACGATTTATGACATTTACATTTTAGGTACTTTCTTCATCGAGGTATTGGATGGAGTTCATTATAAACTCATAAACCTCATTTATTTGTTTTTGTAATTGATCTGAAAATCGAATATAAGAAAATTAAATTTTCACCATAAATGTGTAATTCAGCAGTCGTACCTTGATCAGTCTGCACAATTTTGCTGCTCATTACGTCCTCCTCCATGGGCATGCTATCGTGAAACATATTCTTTAGCTTCGGTAACACCAGAAGCAAACAAATTATTCCGATAAATTTAACTATTTTTTTAAATATTAATAGCTTTAAAATTAATTTTCCAATTGTTAGGAGACTTATTTTGGATTTCAGCTTATCCAAAAACGAATCGTGCGTATGATATGGTGTTGGATAAGATGGTCTATAAAAAACTGGTGGTTGTGAGTTATATGGCAATGGTGGAGGACCGTATACAGGAGCCGGTGGCGACGTAGCTGGCGGTAAATAGCTATTATCTGGTGGTAAATAGCTATTATCTGGTGGTGGGTTGTATTGATAGCCTCCTCCATTAGCATCTAATTGAATATAAAAGCAATATAGATTAGAAATACGAATCAGACAAATCGCAGAAGCAGCCCTACGACGATAATATACACTTTCTATAGCAAAACAACCGATTTTCCCAAGTGACAACTAAAACATGTAATAGAAAGTACCACAATTTTGACCTATTGAAATTTATAAATATTCTTGCCGCAGTGAGTGGGCGTGGCTCGACTCATGAGAAATGTCACCAATCTACTTTTTAAATTTGATGAGTCTTAAATTAAATTAGGCCACTGTATTATGGGAGATAATGGCTTTCGCTAAATATGGAACAAAAAATAACGTAGCTGGTAAATTTACGAATTGCACATAATCAATATACTTTTCAACCTTCTAACTCCACATAAGCAAGGTCATCATCAACAAAACACACTTATTCTACACACATATGTAAGTACATTACTTATACTTATGTATATATAAAGTCAAATTACTTGAAACTGGCAACCTCAAATTATTCCTTCAAAAAAGGACTCGCCCATTTTCACATAAGTTTTACTCCAATCATGACAAACAAAACCCTTCCCCAACTTCAAAAATTGTATATTTTATCCAATTCCTTAATATACTAAAAATACATAATTATAAAATATACATTTAAAATAAGCTAATAATCAGATTTATAATAATTTTTAAAATTCAGGGATCTTAGCGATCCAGAAGACGCAAAATTAATGACAGTGTTTCTCTTTCTGCACGGAAAACACAATGATATTAATTATTTTTATTATTATCATAAGTATGGAAACTAAACACCTCTTGATAAAGTATCACTGTTTCCAGCCTTTAATCTGCTTCAATCATTTCTAATATCAATTGAAGGTATCCATTTAGTGATGAATGCATTTTCGAGCCAGAACTTTTCTGGCATTAAACGTTTGTGAAGAAAACAATAATCCACAGTGTATTAAAGTAATTTAACAATTTCAGATATTGGAGTTCCTATATGAAATAAAATATCGTTTGTCACAAAATATATTTTAAATTGTTTTTTAATGAGTTTTTTTTAAGAACACTTTTTAAAGTATATCAATACTTTTGACAACTGCACTTTTTATTTTTGTAAACTATTTTGAAATTCTTAAGACTTTAAGCCAGAATATCCACATTCAGATTCACGCACCATAATCAATACTATTATGTGAATTTTGCAATGCGTTCACATATGTATCCGTCGGTAAAGATAGGTCCGGTGAACAGGTGCACACTGCAATGTACCCATACACGAAAACGGTTAACAAATGTATTTTCATTTTTCTACGGAGCTCTATCATTTGTTTGAGACTGTTACCGAAACTGAAATGAACGGTGTGTATGCCAAGTGGTATGTTTTAAGCCTCGAATGTAAGAGATAAGGGTCGACCATGCATACATTAGTAATTATAACCGATTTTTCTCGTTTTCTTTTACAAATCCATACATTGTTGCCCGTTTTCGAATTCACTTACGTATGCATAAGAGTGTTGCAGACTTGCGACGTGATTTTCTGTTTCTTTCGTACGTGCAACAGGCGATTCAAGCTCTTTTTGGATTTGCTGCAAATAACTTAACTTTCACTATCCAATTTGTAGAATTTTTATTTTATTTATTTTATAGTCAAATTAATTAACCTTAATGAGTGTCGGAAATGCTTTCATATACATACAGTGCCAAATTTAAGTTGGTATAAATTAACGGATTTTGCTAATATCTTCTATACCAATATGGCTTACTTATTAATATACTATTAATACATATGAATATCAATATTAACATTTACTTTCTATATATTTTGCATTTCTGATGAAATTTCCTTGAGTTTTTAGATTATGTTTTAACCCCGCTTGTTAGCCTCAGAACTGATATTTATATTTGAATTATTAGTTTAGGTTTTGACCTCATTTGTTATTCTCAGAACTAATATTTATATGCACGAAAGCCACTTTCATGGATTACATTTAAAAAATAAGTAGCATTACAATCAACTAATCACTTTATTGGCATCTTCGCATTAGTAAATGTAACTTTTCAAAACTATATACGTATGTGTATATGTTTTAAACAGAACAGGTGACAAAAAAACTTTCTTGCCGGTTGGTGGATTGAAAGGATTTAAGAAATTTAAGCTCAGTTTGGTATCAAAGAGAACTTCAAGATCTTGAATTCTAAGTATTCTTTGCGAAGCAACATTATCAACAAACAATTATGATGCAACTGGTTGGCCAATCATCAGTGTTGAACAGAATTTATCTACAAAATGAGACTAGTATAGAAAAGAGGATTGCTGTACTATAAAATAAGTTTCACATCATTATAAATGAATAGAGTAAATAGTAAAGGTACAAGGTGCAGAAGTAACGTGAACAGTTTTCAAGGTTATAAAACTAAGTAACACTTATTAAATCCGGTATTGTAAATTAAAAGATATTAAAGACAAAAACGAGAAAGGAACTCCTTGGAAATTTGTGCTAACTAATTCGTACACTTTACTGAATTCTGTGCACTCAGTCTGCATTTTCATGAAAAATTAATTTATTAAAATATGTCGATGTTCCCAAAAAATAAAAAGGTAGGAACGGTTACCTTAGGCACACCAAAATTTATATTCATTGTAGATTAGAGCTTCTCTGATACCGAAGGTATCATAGTATATTGGTTTTATCCGTCCGTCCGTCTGTGTCCGAAATCCTAAGAGACTCTTTGCCCGAGTCAGACAAACTGCTACGTACACTAGGTGGCTATGAAATGATAAGATCACCAATTCCCAAATTTGGTAGGAATATTACAGAACAGATAACCAATAAGCCGATTTTATGGCCACGCCCACCCCAGCGCCCAAGGTTGCCACGTCGATAAGTCTGCGTATCTCACAATTTTAAAAATAAAGAAAGTCTCCAAACTGGTAACCTTCTTCAAAGATCGGCATATACATATAACTTCCAAGATTTATAAGCTAGAGTCACCAAATCTTAAAAGTATCTTACTTGTAAAATTTGAAATGGCGCAGTTCGGCTCCCCGAATCGATACACCTGTTAGTGTAAATCGATAAAACCATACATCTCACAGAATTTTGAAACTAGTCACCAAATTTAAAAAGTATATTGCTAGTAACACCCTCCAAAAATTCTCAAATGCCTATATCTTCCCCAATTTTAAAGGTACATATACCAAACTTGGAAGGAAGACTACAAGGAAGCTTTCCTAATAGTTTTCAGCCACGCCCATTCCCCTCAAATGCACTAAAGCCTATATCTACCGTAATTTTAAAGGCACTCTTGGATGGTAGATTACTAAGAATCTCCTTCAAAGATCAGTATTTCTTGGCTACACCAACCCTGTTGTGTGGCACCATTTATGAGATGATATTCCTTATGGTATCAGATTATTTCGACGTGGGTTACTCACGACTGCAAAGTTCTCATTTGTTGTAATTATTATTATTATATTTTTGTACGTTTTTAACAAATTTCACTTATAGTTTTTCAATTTCACAGCATCGAACTAATTTTATACAATGAAAATTTTTGTTTGCAACAAATAATTTATGTGATACTCCCTACTCAACACTGATGGACCCAAATAAATTGGAAAATTTTAGACTTATTTAATGGGTCAAAGGTATCTGCATCAATTCAGTTAATTACAAAATTAAAATTTTCATTCTATGACACAAAGTGTATCGAATGAATTATAATTGTAATATGCCTTTCCGTATCTTATTTAACCATATACAATGGAAAGAATATCTAAATGTCGAAACTATAATAACAAATATTCGTAAGGAAAAGGTCATCGGTATATTTGAATATACCCACAAGTGCTTTTATAGCCGTTGTGATGTCTTCTACATAGAAAACTTGTCGAAATATATCGACATTGAAAGTTAGGTACAACTGAATCAATCTCAAATGAAAGACAAATGTTATTCAGTTTTCTAACATACCTGAATACTATTTAAACTCCGCTCCAATACCAAAATTATTTGGCCTCTTTATTAAAAGTACGCAAATTCTAAGTGGCTTGGTAGGCGATGAATATCTTTATGAAAATTTCCTGCAGTTGACATAAAATGTTTTTGATTCATTACCTCAAAAACTTCAATCTTGTGCAACATTCAGCACAATCAAATGATCTGTAAAATCGACAACATCCTATATTTAATCGGATTTAGTCGTGTAATATTTCACGGAACCAGAGTTTCAAGCTTAAATCGTAGCAGATCATCATTACAGTCGATCCTTATGTATGTGAATGTGAATATGTTCAAGCAGGGAACTTATGTTTTAAATTTCTATACATACAGATGGAGGAACAGACTAGTTCGACTCGGATGAATTGGCGATGCTTCCTTCTGCCTTTTACATACATTTGAACAATTTCATTCTACCCGTTTTAATAATTTTTAATGGGTTTAGGGTATAACATCGGCTATTTTAGGCATACTGAAGATACCATACCCTTGGAGACATCTGACACCCCAATTTTATTATGACTTTCAAATACCGACGGAAATAAAATAAATGTTTCCGATATTCATCATTTAGTTGTTCAACTGCAAATGCTCAATGATCTAGTATTTCCATAAAAAGCATACCATAAAAAGCAAGGTACCTACACAAAACTGAATACCGAACCTCTACCGGAGTCTGTACCAGAATTTTTATACTTTTTGTACTAGAATCGGAATTGGAATCTCAATTCGTTTCGGTTTGACACCCTGCCCGTAATAATGATTGTACGTAATCGTTCTGGGCATTTTGCTAAAATAACCATTTCCTGTCGATTTGATGACCATTTTTCGCTGTAAAAAGTGTTTTGTTTGAAGAGAGAATACGTTCACATTTGTATGAAATTTAAATTTTCCAAACTTATGGGTAATACACAGACAATCGCACAGTCGACTTTTTATCTCCATTTGTGAACAACAAAAAATACAATATTTGAATACTTTTCGAACGAGCCATAAGATTATAATTATCGATTTACTAGTCGTCTTATTTTAGGCACAAATTTAATCTGCATTGGAATATGTTCTCAAAATGGTCCACTGGCGCCGATCACCATACATTTTGTCACAGGCTCTGACACCACTCTATCTCGTAAATAATTCGAATTAAAAATGTCTTGGTATGTACATTATAGAGCGCTCTGCGGATAGTGTTATCATTCGCCACAAAATAAGGTATGCTAAATTATGCGACATGAATCAGGCCGTACCCACCTTTTTGTAGAGGAGACCAAACTTTGTAAATTGATAGCCGCATGGACCCCTATCTCCTGCTTACGCCCTTACATAATATAGTTGTCAATATCCGGCTTGTCCGATATCGTACATTAAATTTTGAATTAACATCTGAAATGTTTTTTCAGAAACTAAGCATGCGAATCACTTGAAACGATTAAGCATCGAGTGCGTGTTTAGCAATCGACTGTAGATGATGGTGGCAGAATTCTAGCATCGCCAATCATATTTATCGCTTGAGGATTGCCACTGGACAGATTGAGGGGACAACCGAGTGCTTTAATGAAGCACCCAAAGTCAACGACGCGTCCCTTGTACTGAAAGGGTAATTTGGGGCAGAGCTCAAATGCGTAATTGATGGGAGGCATATCACAGCCCTTCGTACAAGAGACATCAATGAAATTCATCAGATCGCAGACCTCTATATCATCACAATCATTGCGATTCAGCACGGACAATATATTATCGATTAGCTCCAGAGTAAAGGGCATGCGGAATCCGCGCAAAGTTGACCGCACTTGGTTCTCCGGCAGGAACGGTTTGTTGGTGGGATTGATGTGGTGGAAATGCTCCATCAGCTCATCTCTACCATTCCATAGCGAACGCTTGATCTCCAAATGAGCGCAGGCACGCACCTTATCTCTGGCGCAAGCATTTGGAGGAGCCTGCTCCCCAGAGAAATGACGGCAAAGTGATATTATCTCATGATCACTGATCGTATTGCCCATGATGGCAATCAAAGCACTCTTAAGGCTCTCGAAGGAAACAAACACGGTGCACTTCTCCATCTTTCGCTCCAGATCAGTGCAGTCAGGGACACAGGAAGCGACAAATTGTGACATGTGTGTCTCTAGAGATTTACGCACCTTTTCCAAAATCTTTTCAATATCACAGTGCGGAAACTGTTCCGGATGATGCTCCATATACATCAAAGTGAACTCATCAGCCGAAGCCAAATAAAAGATAAAGTCTCTGATGACCATGGTACCACCAATGAAGAAATTGCAGGGCTTATAATATTGTGGCTGCTTGCAGGTGAACGTCTCCTGGCCGGGAATAAGGACGCGACCCCGCTTCATGAAGACACCGCCAAGGAATCCTGAATTGCGCACCGCTATCTCCTGCACCTGCATCGTATCATCGCTGAGGTAATAGCTAATCACAAAGATCCGCTCGCAGTTTTCCCGTATTGTGGACAACATTTTGGCCCCAAAACGCAGCACATAGCGATCGAGTTTTATGAATTTCCTGAAATCGGTTTTAGGACGTTTGGCCACAATGGACACACAATTACCGGCGGAGTCCTCGAAACTGCCCCAGCCATTGAACGGTGGCAGCACTCGGCTCGACTTGTCATACGGCTTGCAAACATCCGATCTCGTTGGCACCGCAATCGGCGTAAAGTCTTCTATCCCATAGTGATCGCGATAGTATTGCTTTGTAAATGGATCCATGTCGGTGATGACCACAGCACGGCCATACACATTGATCACGGTGCCGATCTGCAAATCCCGTTGGCCGTAATACAATATCTCCTTGTTACCCATATTCAAAGGATCGACGCAGTAGCGCACATTCCGCGCTGTTCCCAACACATTAAGCAAGGTTTTCGGAGTTTGTTGACCGGGCATCAACATTCCATCAAATTCCTGTAGAACAGGCAAATGGTCAACGGGTGATCAGAAATCAAAATCGATAAATATATATGGTGAAATATACGGCCAGGGTCAGGCGAAGTCATTCAAGTAACCGTTTAAGATTTTTTATACCCTGATAATGGTTTTTTGCGAAAGTATGTAACAAGCAGAAGGAAGCATCTCCGACCCCATAAAGTATATATATTCTTGATCAGGCTCAACAACCGAGTCGATAGAGCCATATCCGTCTGTCCGTCCACCCGTCTGTTTGAACACGCAGATCTCAGAGACTATAAGAGCTAGATACTTCTAATTTGGAATATATGTAGGTTCTCGTATACCAGGCGCAGATCAATTTTGCTTTATTTTTATCGATAACTCCTTCTCTATTATCGATATATTTAAATTTCCGATTGCAATAAATGCTACAATTTTAAAGGCAGAATATTTTAATTTATACAGAATACACATATGCATATTATTGATCAACTTCCTAATTTTCATAAAGATCGGTTAAGAAACACCCTAGTTATATTCCAAAATATATCCTCATACTGATCAAAATGCCTTTGTGTATATTCTGCAGAGCCCCATTACCCTGCTACGATTGCGTATACGTATATATGTATATGTATGTATGTATTTATGTATATGCACGTGTTTGTTGCCAGTCATCTAGAATCAGTTCGGGCTTGTGAATCAAAACATGCGCTTCTCGTTTTTTTTACTTCAGTGGATGAGCTTGCTTTAAGAAATGAGTGCAATAGCAGCCCTGCCCACATTTGAGCGCAAAACTTATTATAGGGAAATTTTCCAATAGTTTTAGAATATATTTACCAGCTGGGTTCAGGGTAAATCGTTGTCGAGCTCACTCGACTACAGCACTTTTAATTGTTTTACTTACGCGTTGCAAGCGTCCCCGTTTGAGGAAAACAGTGGGGCCATCGCGTCCTGAGTTCGTTATGTGAGCCTCCTTCACCTCGATAGTATCATCGGCCAGATAATAGCACACCTCAAGTTTGCGCACATCGCCCATGTCGGTGCGATCATCCCAATATGCCTGAAACTTCAGTATCTGTCGATCATACTTGAGGAACTGGGCAAATGGATGTCGTTTCTCGGGTGGATTGCTGGGTCGGGATTGACCACGTTTGCTCACCCCCGCGGCAGGATCACTGAGGGAATTACAAAGTGAATTATGAGGAAATGTACTTCGCTCCCTCTCTCTCTTTTCCTCTCTTTCCCTCTCTTTTTTATCGCTTACATGGCAGCCATCACAGGATCTGGGACCACAATGCCGCGCTTGTTGAGAAAATCGCGTGTGAAGCGATCACAGTCGACAAAGTGATAGTTGCGATCGTAAATCTGCACAGTGCGATCAACATTGAGGTCAATGATCGATATGAATTCGTTCTCGCATGGCGGTGGCTTGGGGACACGCTGACGATGTAGAATACACCCCTGTACAATGCCAGAGTTCTCAACCTTGGGCTCGTATATCTCAAGAGTGCCATCCTCCATATAGTAGTAAACCTTAAAATGTCGAACCATATACGGTGCATGATAGTTCTCCTGCAGCGTCTGCTTTAAATAGGCGCGAAAAAACAGCACCTTCTTGTCGTAGGCTAGCCAGGGCGGTAGACGTGGGCCCGTTCGAGGTGGATATAATGCGTGTGCATTCGCCGGCGGACAGGCAATGTCGATGACAACGCCGGCTGGATCCTCGGGCATCGCCACATGGCGATCACTTAACATCGGTATGCCACGAAAATTGAGCAACGTTTGCGATTTCGGGTAGTAGGCTTTATTGACCTATTAAGAGGTGTACAGCATATATGCAACCACATATTTTATATCAGACCAATCAGTACTCACTTCGCGAAAGAGCGTCCCCGGGAGGAGGGGCATACCTGGTATGCGCAACATCTTGATTAAATTATTCTTTTCTCGGCTCCAATAACTTTTTAAGATATGTGTACAAAAATTATTGATTGTGTAATAAGTATTGAGTCTTTTAACAGATTGCTTCCAAAATATTTGAATTCACACGCCTACTATATACCCAAGGGTATTCTCAGCTTTTTGTAAGTTGGGACCCGACTTTCATAAAGCGTATCTATGACTTTCATACTAGCTCAAGAGAAAGGTACCGGACACAAGTATTAAAATAAATATGAAATAATTGTTGTGAACGAAATTGGGAATTAGTTTTTGTGTCTCGAATGGAACAAACAAAATAAGCCGAATTAATGGAATATATATATATTTCAGTATATAATAAGAATGCATATGCAATATCTAAAGCATGCACAACAAAACATTTTACTTTGAAGTGTCTTGCATGTGGTTGTCTAAATTACATATCGTAAGTCGAAAACCTTTCGAATCAGCTGATTCGGGTCTTTTTTTAGGAGTTAGTTGAGTTTTTAGTTTTATTATTGCGAAATTTTTTAAAGAGCAACAGACTTATAATTTACATTCAAGTTTAAAACAAATTGCAATTCAACGTTTCTTAAATATTTTTAATGTTATTTTCTTTGTTTGGACGAGGTTTAATTTATCACAAAACAATTTTTTCCTATTATTTACCGCAGATTTTTTATTTACCTTGACGAATGTTAATGTTTTTTCTTAGTAATTATTTACCGCAGACAACGAGTGTTTTGCTTGGTGTTTGTTGGCAGCAATATCCTCCAAATTTTAAATTATATTTTAGTGTTTCACTTTTGAATTTGGCAACCATTTCGTTTCGCTCTTGCTCTAAGAATGTTCCTCTTGCAGTTTTAAATGTAGGTCGCCTTCGCTAAACATAACATAAAGAGACTGCAACGTTGCGAGTCATAATTTTTTTTTTTACTTAACGAATCTAAAGGTACCAATAGCTGGAAGCGCAACTGTGTGCACTGGAAATAAAAATGTATTGCCTTTTGAATCAAAAGCATTCAGCCTTATTAAGAAAGAAATTATATATTATACTGAAAATACAACGTATCAGTCAAATACAAAATAAATAAATACAACTGCACTTCGGATGCAATTTATGCAGCCTAAATAGAAAAGAACGTGTTTTTTTTTTTAGATGGACTTCTATTTTCTTTAATATTTGAGCAATCAAACAAATGCACTAAATACATCTTGTTCGTGCATCATTTGTATTAAGTTTCTTCCCTTATAAATGCAATAAAATTGTGCAAATAAGAAAATGAAATTCAAGAGTGTGTCAAATCCTGTTGTTTTGAATTTACAATCATCCGCCTTCGGTTCCCACCTTATGGCAAGGTCGTCATCGATCAACGACATTCGCCGGAATATGCTTTTGCTTATCGTACCTTTACACATATTCTTGGCTGTCAAATCATGATAAAACCAAAGTTAGCTTTTATAACTATAAAACAAATACAACTATCCAATCTTAAAATCCAGAGTTTGTATACAACAAAGACCATGATGAAAAAATTCTGCATTAAATGCGCCGTGCGTATGTGACCCTATTCAAATTATTATAGTCATACCTTTTTATTTTATGCTTTTGCGATTACCAATATAGTTTTATTCCCTGGTTAATATACATATTTATATATTGTAGTTTATTACATGTCCTACATTTAAATAAATTTAATAATAAACGCAAACTTGCCCTAACGCAACGCCTACATCTTAATCTTTGTTTCTTTCGACACATCCTTAGTGTTTTTCATCCAGTCGAATTATTTAAAAAAGTGAATGAACATTTGATTTCATTTTCAATAGAATATCTTTAAACAGGACTATTTCAATAGTTATAAAGTCAAATCCAAAAACAAGGAATGGATATACATACAAATGTTGCTGGTTACAAATGTGGAAGTCATATTTCAAAATTTCACATTTTAAAAAAATTCGTAATAAGCAAATATACGGCAATATCAAACCAGAAATTGTTAGTTATTTGCTTAAACGAATCCAAAGTTTTTGGATTTAATGGCCATCAGCATTTTACTACGTAAAATTGATTTGCTGGAATAAAGAGGGATATACAGCCGAGATATACAAGTATTTGCAGTAGGAAGATGAGAGTCATCAGCAGGTCGTATGGTAACAGACGGTAGGGGCTGAAATCCTTCCTCCGAAGCTGGCAAGGCTGGCGACCCTGTCCAAAAATATACCTAAAATAGGAACGTAATGATACATCAATAAAAAAAAACATATAGAAATAATACTTACTAAATCCTGGCGCTCCAGCGTATTCATTTTTTCGACAATACTCCAAAACCATCTTTTAAATTTGAGAAGTTTGTCAGGTCCCTCACTTGATTCGTCATTAAAAGTCGTATAGGAAATCAGTGTGGAAACATTGATATCACCGACACCATTCAAGAGCAAACGTAAATCTTCAGCGGTCAGGCTGTTCATGCAGTTGTCTGGCAATACGTCAAAAATACCGTCTTTCAAAGCCTGTAAATATATATACATGTGTGAGCCAGAGCCAGAATTTAATAGCATTTATAATCATTACCTCCAGAGCCTTTTCTTGTGATTTTATAAGTCTATATTCAGTATAACGCCTTATGTATTCGAATATGTTAGCTGATGTTACGGGAACGTCGCGTCCGCCTGGGATCAATTCGCGGTTGCCACATCCTTCCTCTTTCATCAAATCAATCCTTTAGTGGGAAAAAATATATATTTATTTACTTCTATTGTAAACATCTAATTGAATGTGCACACTTACACAAAGCTCAGCTCCATTCGGTTGATGATTTCTTCACCTTCTTTTGTTTGAGCATTTTGTATGATTTGTCTAAACGATTCATACAACGCAGGATCAAAAAAGGCTAAATCATGAAATTTGATTTTTCTACCAAGCATGTACTTCAATACGTGTCTTTGGAGGAACAGCGGTAGCAATTCGTTTTGCAAGAGGCAGAGTCCAATTAGTCTAACGAAAAAAATCAAGAAGCATTAAGAATCTGTGTTTTGTTAATCTTTCGCAAATAAATCTGGCCTTACCTGCCAATGTTTCTAAATGCGTTGATACGTTCAAAAGACGCAAGCCCTTGTCGTGGAGTATAAAAGCCACGTTTACCCGGAGAGTAAAATAATGGCTCATTATCATCATCAATAGGTTCAGCAAGTGCCGCTGATGGCAATTTTTTTTGTTGATTTTGCACGTTTATCTCAGACTTTTGCTTAAAATTAATTATTTCAACTGCCTCATTAACTTTTTGTCTCAGCGTTTCATCCGAGGACAATACAGACAGAAGTTGAGGAGTGGGTATTTCCAGAAGCATGCCGGTTATCTTCGAAGCGTGCGATGAGTTAATTGAGTGAATCTGGGAGAAATATAAATTTATTTATTTCTAGCTTGGAATATATACGATATAAAGTTTTACTCACTTTGGGGTAGAGGCGCTCTCCAAGCTGTTGAAGGTGGACAGACAAATGGTCGTTTGACGTTTCTGTAGCAGAAATATCTATATTGACGTTAAATTCAAATGTTAATTATATTTCAGATGCAAATCTGTATTCGTTTATTCCATACCTGCATTGGTAGTTGGGGTGTACGGTCTTGCGTCGGCATTTAATGCTTTTCGCTCCCGAGCCGTACGCCATAATATTTTGCTGCCTGTTCCACGTCTCTGTAATGTGGGCGGATCGCGACTTGAGCCGGACACGGTTCTACTGCGCAGTATACTCGAGAATGGTACACCGTACTTACTATGAGTACCGCCCGCCTGCACTGAATCCAAATTAGGCATTTTTGCACTTGCCAACAACGCTTCCGAAATGGAAGTATAAAAACTGCGCGCCACGCCCGACCCTTCCCCTGGTTCGTCTTTAAATGTCACCTTTACTCTGTTGAATGTAATGGGCGGCTGAGCTCGACGATTTTGTGTGCCGAATTGAGCATTTAATTCCTTAAAGGTTTGGATTATTAAACTCTCTCGGTTCCGCTCAAGCTTGCAAAGAACCAAGTCCCGCTGTTGTCCGTTTCGAAGCTTTTCCATATGCCGTCTAAAGCGCATTTCCTTAACAGGAAAGCCTCTCAGTTCTGGCAATACAGATCCATGTTCCATACCAACGTCATCCATAAAAACACGTCCAAAAAGATCAAGAGCCAGTTTCCAACGACTCAGCAAAAAATTCCACGACGGCAGTTCTGAAGAACTACTTTTGTAGAACAAAGAGCCACGAACCGGAAATACTACTGACTGGGATGATGTCTTTTCGCGACTATAATCGCACGTATGGTGCGATGCATGTGATGTGCTGGCAGATGCATTTTTGCATTCGGGCAAGCTACTGTCGTTTGATTCTAATTTAAAACTGGATGCGCCAGCTCGTACAATAACGCTACGAACTGCAGATAAAGAACTCTGTAAAGATTCTGATAGGGAGTTCTCTAATGTGGTCAAGTCATCCCTAGTACCAATTCGTAGTATGCTTTTGTTTGGTGCAATGATCACTTCTGGCCGAGTTGTAATTAAGGTATCCGACTTTCTACTAGTTCCTGGCGTATCATCAATCATTTGTACATCAACTGCATCTGCATGGTCTTCAATGTAGTGATTACCTATTTAAAAAAAATAAACGTAAATTTTTATATTAATGTCTTATTAATATCGCTTTTTTTTTTATTAATTTATCGGAGCAAAGTCTAGCTCAAATATTTAAGATCTATAAATGTGAAGAATATCAGCATAACTTTTTTGTTATAGTCCAATTCCACTATAACAACAGTATGTGGGATTGTTGTTATAGTGTTCATTTATCCAATAATATGAACACATGTTTTTATAGGAAAAACTATGTTCGTATATCATAGATATAGTTATTCGCATTATGTGTAATGCAACCCGAGAATTAGCATAAACAGTCAATTAAAAATTAATGGTTAGTGCAAAAGTCTAGATTGTCAAGAAACTGCTCAATTCTACCAAAATCTTAGATACAAAGCAATCATCTCTTTGTTCATATAACTTTAAAATAAATGTGCCCACATATAATGAAATTTGTGCATTGAGAATAATTAAAGTGGGTTAGTCAATAGTATAAAAGTTCAACAAATGAAATATAAACTATTTACCTTCAACGCCCTTATGTAATTTTGAATCGTCTAAGCACTGTTTCTTCTTTAGTTGAACGTAAATATTGGAATCAGCGGCGTCTTCGTCTTTATATGTGCTGCTGTCTTCTTTCGCTTCGAGTGCATCTGCATTAATTTCCTGCTCCGGCATATGCTGGCTTACACCAATCTCATTTTCAATTTTCATAAAATTGGAGAATCCTAACCTTGTGGGAGGTTGGTCAATAGATCCCTGATGGGACATTTTTCTTTTGGCGGTGTTGTTTTTCACAGTAGGAACAACATGCAACGGAAGATTCGCAAAGAGGTCCTGTCGCTTTGAATTTGGCTGCAGTAGGTGCGGTTTGTCCGCCAGTGGCATGGCCATATCAAGGGGTAAATCAAACCCTTCCGGTGCCGAGCAACCCAAACTCAAAGTTGAATCAGACCGAGCAAAGAATGTATACTTTCGCATGTTAACATTGGGCGAAGAGTTGGCAGAATATTGCCTATCGATATTAGACTCCTCAATGTTGCTTAACTCGTCGTCTGTATCATCGTTTTCGATGCAGTTCGATAAATTGTTAACACGTCCAGCAATAGAATCGTTCCTATCGTAGAAGCTAGAGTCGTTGCGCATGTAGTAAACGAATGCATCCAGCACGTATGCCATGTGGCGCAACGCAGTTATATCTAATACTGGCAGCGCATCCCTATGCTCCGATGTGTGAGCGCGCATTAAAGAAAGACAATATGTGAAGAAATCCCTTCTAGAACTTGAACCTAATAATTAAACAAGATCAATATAATGCACCACACATATGTTAAATTTGGTTTTACCGATAACATTAACTCCCACACTTGAAGAAGTCGAAGTTGACGTTTGGCTTGTTGTAGCCTGTGCACTCAGGTTTAGAGGATGCAACGGGTGATTAGGGTCAGTGTAGTTCGTCAAATAGGCACCAAATTTCAGCTGCGCCTCTGTTCCGTCCATTACAGTAAACATCCAGTCCCATGTTGGTTTCAAGCGTTTCTCAACAAATGCCTTTTACAATATCCAAACAATAAAAGTGATTAAGAAATAATCGTGGGCAGTCAATCATTTTAGATACTTACTTGAACTGCAACGGCTTCCTCAATGGGTATTTTCAATGAAGTTTCAATATCATTGGTCACATTGTATGACATAATAGCTAAGAGCTCGGATATTTGGCGAATCGTAATGCCAAAAGCTCGGCCTAAATTGCTAGCGGTGGTTGCCATTGTGTGAGACTCGGCGGATGTTGTATTTACTGCAGTGTTGGCTGGAACAGCAGATCGACGCAATGCCATTGGGTCAATGAAAACTAAATTGGAACCAGTTGGAACACGAACAGACGATCGAGCATTATCGCGGCTTCTGATTGCCCATTGCATTGTTTGTGGAGTGAGATCATTGCGTGAGTTAGGGTTGATATTGCGGCGCTCGAGTTGCTGATCGTTGAAACTAAATTCATCAGACTGATCATCTGATTCGCCATCTTCGGACCCATCTTCCTCCTGAGCGGAAGAATCTCCAGATTCATCCTCCAGAAAGAGAACTCCAATATCTAAAAAATATAATTTGTTGATTTGTATAATTTAATTGTACGCAACACAAAGCTGATTTGTAGATTTCATTTATATTAACATAAATTTCCCCCATATGGTTGGGAGCATTTGTGTTTGTAAATGCAACTTTTAATTGCAAACAAATATATAAATGTATATATGTTTATTGAAAGAATCCACGAATAGAGGTTTCTCTCTTGCGATAAAAAATTCGTGATTCAGAAAACAAATTCTAAAAACTAAAGTATGAAGAATGTTGTGGCAGAGATGATTTAAAGTATAATTCATTGTCACCTGGACAAAATCAATCAAACGTATAGCAAGGAACCTTTTGTAAATGACCGTAAATAAATAAAATATATTATTAAAAAATGTAAATGTTGGCCAACACGTCAACCGCCTAAAATTGTGATAGTTTACGGATATTATTGCTCTCGGCTTCAAAACTTCAACATTGGTTAAAATCAGATAATTATACCGAATAAGTATCAAAGATATTTTCAAGTAATAAAACCATCACCTTGACGAATAAAGTTATTCTCGCATGTGTATTAAAGCAAATAATTAGAAAATTGTGATTTACCTGTTTCTGAACCGACAGTTGCACCTGTTTGAACGTTTCTTTGTGCATCTTGATTGCTCTGGTTATCGTCCGAGTCCGACTCGGTTTCAGCGTCGTTAAAAGTGAAATCGTTGTCACTTTCGTCATCCTGCATGCCCTCTTCATTTCGCTGGCTCTCAATCATGTCTTCGTCATGACTACTTAAGTTTGATTCTCGATTGGGAATCTCTTCCGATTCGGAAGGATCTCTAAGAGCTAAAATTACATGGAGAATTAAAGACATATTGTTTTGTTAATAAGAATATACTTACTGTCCATTGCAACAACATCATAGTTTTGTTGTACATTGAAGCTAGTGCTTTGAACATTAATAGCATCATGCACTACAATCTGCTCGGCTGCTGACTCAACATTGGAAGGTGTCAGCGGCTCAACGCTGAACAAGTCATCAGAATTCTACAAAATTCAAGGAGTTATATTATAGCTAGGTAGTACGAGTTCAATGTAAAAGCAACTTACATCCAAATTAGATGAAGACATTGTAAACGGAGCTGTTGGTCGCACTACGCCGAGCCTAACTGGTGCAATGAGGGCCTCAGAGACCTCGCACAGCTCTTCAATCGAAATTTTGTGCAACGTTTGAAAAACCTTAACACAACTTTGCACGTATTTGTTGCATGATGTGTGACTTTTGCGCTTATCGGGATTTGGTTGTTTCTCCAAATTGAAAATAACAAACACACGAGCTACAGACCGCACGAAACGTCGCGCAACCTCCTCGGCCTCTTTGCATCGATCAACAACAAGAAAGTTTTGCAACTCGCGCACCAGTGTCAGCAATAGAGTATCCAAATGATCGCTTGTACATTTCACTATCAAGCTATGTGTAAACTTGTCGATCAGTGTCGAGCCATGCTGGGATTGCATAAAAACGTTAAAGCTTTCAGAGTTTCCTCCGTCCCCAGGATTTCCATGTACGTTTGCATTAGCTTCATTTCTTTCTGCACCGCTCATTATCATTGAACGCACCGCTTGCCAATCAATTAAAAGGCGCTCAAGCGCTTTTCTAGCAAATTTGGGTGGCTCAAGATCGTGGTCGGGCATATCGCTATCGATGTCTAAAGATGACGGTTTTCGATTGGTAATAACTGTATTGCTTCCATTGGCGCTTCCCGTATTATTACTCACATTCCGAACCCTTACACTAAAGCGGTATTGCCTTTGCTCCACTATCTGACGGCCCACAGTCTGTATGAGGAATAGCAATATGGATTCACCTTTTGAGTTGAATTTTGTAACCAGATCAGTGCTCGAAACAAGTTTACAGAGTAACGCAAAACGCTTGGTAAGATTTCCGGCAATCAGAGCCTTACATTTACATTTCTCCCAGCAGTCGCAGTAAGCTGTTGGTGCAGTCCGTTTCAGTTTGCAGTCGTGCCCCTTGTGGCAAACTCGTGCACATTCGGTGCAGCAGCAGAGTGAGCCAGTTAAGCCGCAAGTTTTACACTCAAAAATATTTTGGTTTATATGATCGGCGCCTGTCCAAGTGAACGAGCAAGTGTCGTTGAAGCAGATAACATGCAAAGGCGATTGGTCAGCTGGCGAGCCACTCGGGAATATCATTGCTTCTTTAAGGTGTGTGTCTTGATCAGAAACACTGAGTATAGTGCTCAGTAGTATAATACCAGCCTCATAAGCGCGGCACGAAACGGCCAGCATGAATGCGGTCTGACCCTGAGCATCCTTGGCGCTAAGCATCTGGAAAAGATAAGGGCGCATCGCAGCGCTGGCACACATATGTTGAAGAATGAGGATGGCGTGTTCACGTCGTTGTGTTAGGTCGAATGTATAATTTGGTGTTCCCATTTTGCTATTTGAAACACCTATGTTTTGGGACGACGATGGTAGTACTTTAGAAACATCTTCATCGGTTATATCCGCATTTTGAGCTCCGCTAGCACTAAGATTGCTAGCCGCCGCTCCCGATTCCAATGACCATGGCAATGGCATATATGCGTGATCTTCGCCTGCACTCGTCGTCGGTGGCTGACTATTTTGCTCTGTTGATTGCTCAGTGTTAATGAGTCGATGCATCATGTCCCGAAGACTAATTCGATTTTCCCTGGTCAATGTTGCAGACGTTGACGATGATGAACTGACGCCGGCCGTTACTGTCGAAAAACTAGAGTTCTCGCTGAAGCTGCTCCCATTGCCAGCAAATGCGCTGCCGCCATATGACAAACCCGGTCCAGTTCGTGGCAATGAAACCCCTGACGCAACTGGTTTTTTCTCCGCGGTACTGCTGCTCAACTCCGGTGAGTGCTGTGAATCCTTGTTGGATGTTGGGGCACACATTATAACACAGGCATGGAATATGTTTCGGTTACCATCGCAGCGCTCTTCAACAACGGAAACAGTGTCTTTGCGGTCTTCTTTTTCAAGACGCATCAGCAGAGCAATGCAGTTTTTCACATCACAACGCAGAATATGTGGCATTAGCTTCTGGGTTTCAAAAAGCAGGGCAGTCATGCATACCTTTGACTTAAGATTGATGCAAGATGCTGCGGGCGGCAGCGATATTGTGGCCATTGTAACTGATTTAACCGGAGGCAAATCGAACCACTGCGGGTCTTTTATGGAGCCAATACAGTCCTTAGCCAGTGGATAAAGAGCTCCATTGCCATCCCGAAGCACAATTGTACTGCTATTCCCACTGCAATCATTGTTGCAGGCCATTGTTATGTTGTTAGAGGATGCACCAATAAATGACGCACAGTCTGTGGGAAATTGACAGTTTTGTTCCTGCTTGCTGTTGTACAAGTTGTAAAGGCTGTAATGTATTTTCCCAAACACTTTTTTAATCACATGAATGCCACGCGTATCTACCGCTATTGTTAAAAGCTGAGCGTTTGCGTTTGCCGGATCAGCGCCAATATTTATTTTCTTGGGCTGCTTTTGTAGCCAATCTGGTCCACGCGACGAGACGGCTGTGCGAAAGACTTGGACATCTTCGCGTCGCAATAGACGGCATTGTTGCCAGTCATCCTCTTTTCCTTCATCTTTAGTGCCCAATCCGGTGACGCCGCTGACACAACTTAATGGCGGAAATCGGACTGCAACATAGTCTCCGTCGACTTTAAGAACTTTTCCGATCGGTCCCACTTTGTCCTCTACGAAGACAACATCCTTAAGCTGCCACAGTTCCTCATCTTTTCTACCCTCCTGACAATTGTTACTATCATCTTTAGTTGTCATTCTTTTAGTACGCTTATGAGAAGTAACACTGCCGGTATCACTGCAAGTACTGGACGCAGGAGAAGGTGGTGGTGGCATATCGATGCGATCTGTCGATTCTTTACTGGTCGAACTAATTTGTCCACTCTTGGTTGAACTTGTGGCTTGTACAGGTGTTGTCTTGGAGATATCCTTATCTGTAATATTGGTAAGGGTATTCGAAATTGTTCCCGTAGCTTGGCATTTATCTGAAACTGAAGATGTCCCGATATTTAAGATTTTCATACGACAAACATCCGAGAAATCCCACACTGAGTTTAAAAGCTGTCCAACTTTGGGTACACCATTGGTACAGGTAAACCCGATTGATCCAGTTTGGAAAATCGGACACTTCTTCATTATAACTTGTGATCCAACGTTAATGTCTGCCACAACCATTTTAAAAGGTTTTTTGGTTTTTGTTCGAAACTTATCCCACAAATAGCGGCGTTGATCGAATGGTAGAACACCCCACCAATAGATATTGTTATTATCAGTTCTAACAGCTGTGTATAAAGAGCAAACATGTATTGTTGCGATTGGGTCGATGTTAAACTCATTGAAAGCTGTAGCGGTATGCTCCAATTTAACTCCGAGGTATCCCAGTTGTTCATCCATCCAAGTGGCAACACGATTTGACTCAGTTACAATAGAGCATCTAATAAAATTTGCTGATATTAGCTCTACTTTTTCTGCTATGTTGAGTGCCAAGGTCTTCGGATGATAAACATTGTCCGTCTAAATCGAAAATTATAAATTTAAAGTAAAATTAACATATTTTGATGATATCTTTTATATATAGCAAGTTGGATATAGTGCAAATATATATTCAACTATTGAAGATATAATTGTAGTTTTCAGATGTGTTCGCTCGAACGACAATTACTGAAGTTGAAATAATAACCATTGAAATTAGAAAACATACATATCAATACAAATTTTTAAATATTATATACATAATTAAGCAAAGACAGCATTAAGCTTTTTTATTACCAATTAATAGAAGTAAAAGCTGTATAAGCCACCTTTATTATCACTCGTTGTCGAATTGACATAAACCTAAGTATCTTTTCAACTGATAAACATTTGTCAATCAAATAAAGCGGCTAAGTTTAAATTTGAAATTGAATTTCACGAGAAAACTTGAAAAATAGTTTCATCTTTTTGATGCAGGCATATCCTATGCTTGACTAGGAACCTTACATAAGATATCGGTCGAAAAATGAGTTTGGAATGAAAAACTTGTTTGTTTACAATAAAGTCCGCATCAAACTCACTAGTTAGAAATTAACAAGTTGCTAATATTTGGACAAATGATTAACATGGATTTCAGATTTCGTCTCTCAGACAACAGTTCTTTCTTGTTTTTATACAACTTATAGATCATATGATAGCTAATGCTCTTTAAGTCTTTTCAGTAAATCCTTACATACAAAATAAATATTTAAGTGTAAGTTTAATCAAAATGGATTTTCATTTGGATTTTTTTTTCAAAGAATAAGCCATACTTTAAGCATCTCTGTTCCCCCTATTATTATCGAAGGCAAAACCTACTCACATCGGATTTGAAGGGTTCCAGGTCAGACCAACGCCACTGATGCAATTCCCCATTTTCTGAGAGCGCAATAAATTCGGAATACAATGCTCCAATAGTCTTAAAACGTGTTGAAACTTTGTCAGGCCATGGTTGCAGTTCTTCTGATATCCATATCGGCGATGGCATTGTAGAGGGTTCTTTTTTTTTGGAATCTAAGAAATTGATTTTGGTAATATAAATTTATATCCAAGTCACTTTTGGTTTTTCTTTTTACCAGTATCCTTATCCCACGTATAATCGTCTTTACTAATCCATCGTCGTGGGCCATAATACTGACGATCACGCCATCGACTGAAAGCTTCGCGATCAGCATTAGCAGACGATATTTGAGCAGAAAGGCTGCCACTGCCTGCTATTACACCGCTAGAAGATGTTGATGCCCGATTGGATTGATTACTATCTGCAGTTGAGCCTGCGTTGCTCCGTTCACTACGAATTCGATCGAAAAGAAGACTAAGAGAGAAAAATACTTTTGTTAGTTTTGTTTGTATATTGTTATATAAAAAATTGGCGGTGACACAAAAATCACTTTCGCTCAAATTTCAGTTCAGTTGCAATTACAATTCTATAAGCCAATGAGCCTGTGAATTGAGTATGTTCACCACTCAAACAAATTATTATAAAAATAAAAAAAAACATATTAATGCAGTTTGTGTAATTTCCGATTAATCAAAATCAAAATAATTAAGCTCTTCACATGTTTTAGTTAATAAATTACCATTAGTCGTTAGACAATCTTTATATTTTCACTCAAATTTAGTTTACTCAGTTTTTAAATGAATATTTTTCCACTAAGGTTGCCAAGTGACTTGTTAAATTAAATTAAAATTATAGTGCCTTGCAAATTTAACTATTTATTTTATTTTTTATTATTTTATTTTGAAGCTTTGTGGATACGCATTCAAAGTTAAATAGCTGACATGTTTAAATTTTGTGTGCTTGCCGAAAACGCTAGTGATTCTTGTTTCAGAAAAACATGCAAACAAATATATGGAATGTAAAAATTGTATTATTGAAAAAACTTACTTCCTTATGCTCGAATAATTACTAAATATTTCTTCCGAAAAAAGTCCGTCTGATGGATCAATGATGACACTATTGTTGTCACCCGAAAAACCATTGTCCAATAATGAAATTAGGTCTTCAGGAACATAATTATCGCCTCCCTCTTCTGTATCTTCGGCCTCTTCGTCATCACGTGAAAGCAAATTGTTTACAGCTAAATTCACATCAAGATTTGTGCGCTGTAATTTAAGGTTTTGTAAGTGCGGAAATTAGTCTGCAATAGATAAATGCATTAAATTGTATACCTGAAGCTCCCTAATAATGAGATTTCTGCTCTTTCCTTGTAGTACGACTTCTGCTTGAGATATAAGTTCTTCAGGCACATATGTGGCTGGCACTGTTACTAGGGGTCGGTTCGATGTACTGCCTCCAATTATTACACCTGTACTTCTTGATCCAGATCCTTGTCCACTTGAGCTTGTTCTCCCTGTTGCACGAAGCAGTCGTGCCCGAGAACGAGGCATTGCCCGTGATGATGTTGGTGCCTTCGGAGCATTAGTTGCCGATACTCCACCAGATGGGGCACTTTAAACCAAGCATAATCATTAACACGAACGAAGAAATGTGCAGTTTGCTTATAACCATACCACTTATTGTCCGATTTAGTCAAATCAAGCTTTTCGGAATTGATTGAGAAGGCGACCCGAAACGCTTTCCCGTCTTCCAAAAGAACTCCTATATGATTAGGTCCAATTACCACTTCCCTTACTGGAATTTTCAATTGCTCAAAGATCCTATGAGTACCGGAACCGAAGCGGTTTACTTTATCCGTGACTTCTCGTATTCTAAATTGGAAATTCAGAATATATTTGAAAATCATAGAGAAAAAAAAAAAACATAATAACAAATAGCATTCTCGTCTATTACATGCACATGCACACATGGAATACATTTTTAATCAAAATACAACATTTTAAAATTGTAATACAAAGGAAGTTAAAATATGCGCAATGACAATTATACAATATACATAAATATCAAAATATGTATATGGCTGTCTTGGATGATGTATAGCTACTTAAACTTCTTAAAAGTAGTTGATCTGATTATGGATTTATTTAAAACTTTGGATAATTTCTAATTTGTAAATTCAAGTAATTAAATTATGGGAACTCAGAGCAAGTAAACAAAAACACGTTGCTACATTTGCATATATATCTTTATTTATAAATATATACATAAGCCCATCAGGTATAGGGTGCCCATTGAGTTTTATAACAGTTGAAACTCGCTTAAGGGTGGTTAGATTGAAAATACACAAGTCCTGCATAGGGGCAATTGTCTACCTACAAGCAAAGTGTGTATGTTGAGTGCCGAAATGCTATGAATGTATGCACCATTCACACATGTGCGCATTTACACACACACACACACACACATGCATACGTGTTCAATAAATTTAGAATGTTATATTCACAAATAAGTACGTTATGGCATTCTCCTATATTTATCAGACCATTAAATGCACACATGTATATTCAATCGTTATACATACATATGCTCATTTTTAGATAAAAATTTATTACTGCTACATATGATACGTACATACGTGCACAGCAATGCAAGTTCAGTTCAATCCGAAAATGATGTACCAATGAACACTCACTCACACACATTTAAGTATGTATTATATGCATTTGTTTTATTGCTAGGCATGAATATATTATTGAGTTAAGATTTTGCGTATATATGTATGTAAATAAATGCTTAAGTGTATATCGGTCTGTACCTGTATATATGTATATGCATGTATGAAACATGTGCAGATGATCAATACTACATGTACATAAGTATGTACATATTCAAGAATGCGTATATTTTCATATTTTCTCTGACAATTCTTACCTTTCAATGAATTGTTCATCAGTTCCGGGAAGCGGTTGTAGCACGAATTGCATAGAAACCATTGTTAATTTCTTTGACTATATTAAATATGACTCGCTCTCAATTTTCATTTCAGCACAGAAAATGTAATACAAAATATAGATGACACAAATTCTTGAGATTACATCAAAGTTCGATTATGATTTATCGAAACATTGTAGAATTTCATATTCTCGACATTCATGATATCTGCAAGAAGAAAATTTGTCACAAATATAGAAGTACATAAACCACTTTGGAATTATAGAATGAAACATGACAAATTATTTAAAAAATTTCAACACTATTCGTTTTAGAATCAGTTTCCAAAATCAGTTTTAACTCTTGAGATATTTTTAGAGCCAAAAATAGGCAGAATGTGCCTAAATAACCATACACACTTGATTTGTATAATCAAATTACATTGTACTCATTAAAACAATGCACCCTTTTTCTGTTCATTTATTTGTGACAATCTTACAAATTTTATATAATAATTTATTAATTATTATTTGTTTATTCATATATAAAGGAGAAGCAAAACATCTAGCGTGTGATCGAAAATGATATATGTGTTTTTCCAGTTCCGAACAGTCCGCATCATTTCCGCATCCCCTACAAATGTTCCTTATTCATTTTGTAGCAGCCAATATTTTTCCGATAAATTTGGTACAGAACTAAATATTTGACATTCACTGCTTAAATGTAAATAGGAACCGAATGAGTATATTTATTGTTAGACTTAAAAATAAGTTGCCGGGGGGCGTATGAAAGGATTGTGCTAAGAAATGAATTTTTTTGTAGATAACTTGGTTCTCTTGAGTATCAAATAGTTAAGATTTTGTCCTATAAACTAATATTGGTTTATATACACTTATTATGATAATCTTTGAAAGGAAGGGAAAAGAAAATGGGCTTTACTCAGCCTGGAAATGATCAATTGCAAGACAAATTTTTAACTTGCGAAGGCTCTGAACGGCAACGAAAGAATTGCTATTACTTTTTTCTCTACCGTCGAAGTCACCCGCAATTATAAAATGTCTCCTCCGTAAAAGCCTAGACCAGAAATATACATGTATGTGGTGTGCACGATCTACCACGATCAGCGATCGACTTATGTGTCTAACTATTCTCCTATTGACAGTCATGAGAATTTAGTTAACACTTAATGTTAAATTTAATCTTTTCAATGTTTATTTTCAAAATTATAATTTGTTATCATAACCTTTGGAGTTTTGATACCATTCAATACGCTTGATAAAATAAAAGCTTCACTTCCATTTCTGTCGAGAATACTCCTGCCGCTGTACTGCATTGCATCTCTGACTCGTTGGCTTGGGATACTCACCGGTCTATTCACAGGATATTGAAGACTAAGAAATCACCTATATAAACTGGGTATTTATAGAAGCGAACTGTGCCGGCTTTGTGAAAGCGAGGAAGAGTCAAAGCACATCCTAGCAGCTTGTGTCGCCTTGGCTAGGAAAATATGTAGTATCCTAGGGATGCATGTTTTGACTTCAAAAGACATTGAAGCTATAGGGTCAGAACGGGCACGATAGATGTAGCAGATCACATATCCCAGCAATAATAAAATGAATTGTATACCTAGTTTTTGTTTGCGCTTCCCAAATGATAGTTTTGGCTTCTTTCAAGCTACAATTTTTACTTCTTAGTCACAAACCTTCGTTTCACTCTGAACTCAATTAAAATGGCTTGTATGATATATTGATGCTGTGCAAAAGTATGTTACAGTATGTTATATCTTGAATGCATTTTTATGAGCGTGCCCACCTACAGACTTAAAATTTCGACTAAGTTTTCGTATACCTGACGCATTTCAAGTTTATTTCATTTTATAGATATGCGACAGGTGTAGCACACACTCATCAGAAAAATTTGCAACTAGCGGAACGAATGGGATTCTTTCAATGATGTAAGACACTGAAGAAAATATAAATATAATATAGATAATACATTTTATTACTATCTGATATATTATACATTTTTTAATTTTTAGTGTTTTTTTTTAAATTTTTTTTTATAGTTTTTTGTTAAATAAAAACGGACACTTTGACAGTACGAAACTGTTATATCGATGACTCTTACACGTTACTTCCTGGCAGTTTGTATAAGCTCGCGATTTCGAGACTTGGGAAATTTGACTACAAAACGCGAAGATTTTGAAATATACAGGAATATCTAGTACGGTCAGAAATTAAAGATAAAATTAAAAAAAAACTTGTCAATTTTTTTAAATTCTTGCTTGATAAGTTGTTTGAACTAACTGCACGCAACAGTCGACCGTTCACCTTCAATAGCCAAGCAAGTTGTTGTCTGTATTTTCTGATCATTTATAAAATTGGGTTATAATGAAAGTATCATTACAATGCTTGTGTTGCTTTTGCTTGTGCACTCTTTCAGGGCTGTATTCTGAAACAAACCATTTCATATGCATCAAAGAAAATTCATTAGCTAACACATAAACTTTCTTCGTTATGAAAGATCAGTTATCTGTGTCACGCCGGAGATTACACACCCTTGTAGACTGATGTTAAACTGCCGACATCTAAAGTTTAGTCAGCAATTCAAAATATGTCTCGTACGTTTTAGGAAATTTCTATGCATATGTTACTTATTTCACGACAGTCTTTGCACTGAATATTCAACATTTGTGTGCATAGTCATAAAGCATCTGAAAGGCCCATCTTGATCCCATAACTTAAAGCTTTTGACCAATTGATCCAATTGCACAACTACAAAATCGTAATGAATTAGATTGTGAACTTTAGAACTGCTAACTAGTTCAAATATTCTATAACTAAGCCAATATTTGTGTTTCAAAGCTTTCAATGCTACGAGAGTTATTTGACTGTTTTGTTTATTCAAGCTTTCCCCTTTTTTCCTGGGGATAGATAAAAAAAACTTTATTTAACTTTTCAAATAAATTTAATCCTCTTGCTGCTTAGTAACACTCGTGTCCCTTCAACATAAAATCTCAAAACTCTACTTCTGAGGTGTGATATATATTTGCAGTGATATCAAATACTTATCATTTCAAGCCGGTCTGGCAAACAAAATTTCATCTAAATCGGCTCACCCGCTAAAGTACAGATGAAAGAGCTTGATCGATACCGATTTTAAAGAAATATCGAATCGATAGCGATGAATATTGTCCTCACATTGTCGATATTATCTAAATATATCGATTTATCAATGTGTTTCTTACATCCCTGCTCTTCTCTGCTCGAACGTACCAAAATATAATTAAATTTGGGGAATATTAGATAAAATGGAAACAAATGAAGACCTTACAGATGCTAAACTATTGCTTGTGACAGCTAACGTCGGAAGTTTGTTTGAAGATGTATGTACTTTTTATTTAATTGTATGCATACTTATTGATTCTTATATACATATTTGTGTCCTAATGCAAGTATGTATGCATGTATGTATGTGCATACCAATGTTTGTATTGAAGTAAATAAGTTTGAATGTAAATCGTTCCATAAACCACCTCGCTGCGCAGCCAGAAAGACTTCTTACAATATGGCTCGAGGAGTTCATAGCCAAAGTAACGGAAATCAGTCCAAGATTTTTGGCCTTACATCTTCAAGAGGTGGGCGGAAAGACGTACGAGAATTCAATGGATAACGTAAAAGAGTTTATCCGATGCTTATGTGAGGCCATGTCGAAGACTGAATTTATTTACGTTCGTATTTATATGGACGAAGATTTTAAGTCAGCGGAACATTTTACTGTGAGTAGCTTGGCTTTTGTTCTCTCTAGAATGTATTCTATCTCACGTTGTCCCATAGGCTCTTGGCAACATTTACTTTGGCCACAAGGATTTATGTTCCTTGAGAATTTGGAATTTTCAATCTCATGAATGGGAGGATAAACTGGACGAAGGCAAACACATATATTCTGGCAATATTGAATCAGTTCCAACCAAGGAGAAATCAAAATTTCCTCAACATTTTTTCCCGGAAGTAAGTTTTTTTTATTACTAATAATATAATGAAGATATTCCACAAAACCTAACATGTTTTTTAGTTATACAATATTAATAATAATAATTAGTTGCAGATTAGAGGAAGTTTCCCAAATAATTTATGCGTAATACAAAATGGCAATATACATAAATAATTGGAATATAATTCAACTTAAATGTCGCCGTCGGCCCATTTTTTACACACAGTAATTTTAGTGTGTGTTGAACCAAAACCGCAACAACAATCAATTACCTGAATTTTGTGGGCACCAGCATGACACACTTCATTCCTTTGCTTGCTATCGCAGCTGCATAAATTCTCTGTACTCAGAAATCTTCATATGTGTGTGCGAAACCAGCAGTAACCGCTTTCTAGCAACGTTGTCAATTTTCACTGTTGCTGTTCGGTTTTGGTTTTGAATGCTTTGCGGTTTGATTTTCGTTTTTCAGATTTGCAATGCTTTGCAAATATGTGTGTGTGTATATGTGCAGCTGGAAAGTGATACCCTTAAGTAATATGTACATACTTTATTGGGTCGGAGAAATCACAAAACTCTCTGTATGTATATATATGTAATCAAAGTAAAGGATTTTATTTCACTCATAATCGTATTTTTTTCTATTTTATATTTTAATTTAGATTTTTGAGTTTATTTCGACTGTCAATAATTTATATTCATTCAAGTTCCGAGTTAAGGCTGTTAGAGGCAGCCCTACACAATGTGCAATTCTTTGCACATCTATAAAAATTAAAATTAAAGCACTAAGCATTCAAAACTTAAAGACAGGCAACTTTCACCTCGCTCTCGTCCACGGAGCACAGAGAAAGTAGAGATATTTCAGACTGGGATCGCAATGATTTCTTATGCATTCACTTTTTAGAAAATGTGACGACTGCATGTGTTTTATGCTTAGTGACTCGAGCAACTATATGACAAGTTATTCATATATATAATTTTAGTCTAAAAGCCTATATGCAGGAGATTATATTTTAACCCATTCATGCGTACCCCAATTATCTGAATTTTCCCATCTTACCTGAAATTTAACTTAATTTCACGAAGTTGGTCTGCAAAACCCATTTATCGTATAAGATTTCCGAATTGTTTTGTGAAATGATAATATAAACTGCTAAATGCAGTAATATGCACAGTGTATAACCTAGGTATTAATATTTTGTTTATAATTAAACGAACGATGCTAATCCAAATGCGTATGTAGCTTATTGCACATAAAAATATATTATATACTTCATCCTAGTGTAAATGGTCTCGGAAAGGGTTTATGCGATCACGATGGGAAATTAATGGAACTGCCATTGATTTAGTGAATATACACCTTTTTCATGATGCATCCAATTTGGCAGCATGTGAGGATTTTCCTTCTGTATACTGCAAAACAAGGAGAAGAGCTCTAGTACATACGATTGAAAGGTAATTCATACATGTTTTTACTCTTTATACTGACAAAAACTACTCGATATTGAACACACCACTTCAAACTATTTATTTTTTAATTGGTCAAAAAATATATTTGCCTATGATTGAGGTTGTTTACTAGCAATATACCTTCAAACTTAGGTACTCTAGTCTTAAAATGGAGTAAGTATCAGGTGTATATATTTTAAGAGGTTGGTTGGATAGGTCTTCGAATTTTTTCTATCGATCTTTGAAGGAGATTAGTAGTAATATACCTTAAATAATTGGTTAGCGGGGTGGCTGGGGCAACCAATCATTAACATAAACGTCAACAACGCCTCTCGCTATAACTCATAATGTTTTTCTAATTCACATTGTTCACAAATAAATTATATCATTGGAAATTCAAAGTAAACGAAGACAACAACACTTTTCATCTACATTACATGAAAATTATCCCTGCGAGATAGCTGAATTTGTAAATAATCAATTAGCGTAGGGCCCCAGAATTACATTCTAAATGTAAGTTGTAAAATATTTGACAGTGGTTGCTCGCAAAAAAATTAAAGATAAACTTAAGTAAAAATCTTATATATTCTTGTTGGTTTTCCTATTTGTATTTTAATCACTAATAATTAGGTTCCATCTGGATGAAGAAAATAGATCCGTCCCATTTTTTTTATTTGGAGATTTTAACTTCAGATGTGACACTGCAGGTGTTGTAAAGGTATTAATTCATATATATTACTTTATTTGTATATGGAAATAATATTTATTTCTGTAAATAGGAATTAACTACAAATTTAACTGCTCATCGCGTCCAAAGTATTAAGAATGAGAGCACTAAAATGAATTATCGCAACTCGGATGGCAACAATATACTTACTGTAGGCAAAAAAGAATTTAGTCACGCCGATCATCAACTTAAATTTAAAGAGCATTGGGTAATATTTTATTATACGTAAGCAAATCTTTTTCAATTACTTTATTGCTCTTGTAGTTAAAGGAATTTGACAGAGAATTGGAACCTCTTTCGGGAATTTTGGTTGAATATCCCATAACTTTTATTCCATCATATCCCTTTGAAGAAGATCCAGAAATGCCTACCGATTATATGTCAACAAGATGTCCGTCATGGTGCGATCGAATTTTAATGGATCTGCAAGTCAAAGACATAATCGAAAGGGATGAATGGAAATATGATATGATTGGAGAATCTGTGTGCATGGGTGATCATAAGGTAAGAACTATTTAATAGTTACATTGCAAAATATACAACATATAGTCAGGAAATTTAAAATACGAACTTTAAAGTAGATTACAATTTCGCAATTTGGTGAGTCTACCTTAAAAACAATGGGAATTATTTATTTTATATCTTGAAATCGGAAGTGGACGTGTTCATCAAAACTTTTATTGATGACTAGTAATTGCCTTCTACTTTTGGCGACTATTTCCTACGTTTAGGGGCGAGGTTGGGTGTGTGAATATTATATAGACCGGATTTAACATGCCGACAACTACATTTTAGTCCAGATTATCGGAATTTTTTTTACGTTCCAAACCAATTTTATTAATGTTTTCTGCTTCACGACTGGCATTGAACTGGAATACTGTGCACTTGTATAGTAATTTTGTATTAAAAGATTTTGTTTAGCTCCGAAAGAGGTAAGAATATGAGTGTATTACTAGATTCATACTTTCATAGCTTTATAACTGGATTTCTGCTTATATACATTGACAGCAGAATAAAATGTTGGGTCGGATACATTCCCTTCTATGCGTTGAAAATTTAAAGCAAAATTGAAATAGCCTTTAAAAGGCTAAAAACAGTCTATCGTTTTAATAGAAAGAACGAAAGGTATTATGACATAATAATGACTTTGTTATAGTCGAACTCAAGAAGACTTGAAAATTTAAATCAAATACTATCAGTTTTATCAGTGCCTAATATTTTTTTCTTGCATTAGCATTAAATTTATACTTACCACTAAAATCGAAACGACAGATAAACATAAAGTTTCCATTTGGTAGTAAAATTAGTGGTAGTGGAAATCGGAAATTAGAGTACAGTATCAGAACCGTATTACATTCGACACTGTTCTACTAAAAATCATTTCTAATACAAATAGTAAATAAAAAGTTTAAAATGGGTATAAGCTTTTAGACTTGCCTATATATATATAAACTTATTATGTGTATATATAAATTCAGTTGATCTAATATGTTTTCTTCTCTTCTTGTCATGTAGCCCATTTACTTAACTGTTCGTCTAAAGCCAAACAAAGGTACTTATAGATCATGTGATTGCAGCTGTAAAAATAGACATGCTAAAAAAAGCAACGATTTAACATCACCTGTTCCATACAAATCTTGTCCCTATTTAAACAAAATATATAAAACAATACTTAAAGAAGGTAAAGGTGAAAAGCAAGAAGTAATATCGCAAGACTGTCCCTTAGAATTTGTTAGAGGCAACTTAACTGAATTTGGAAAAACCTCTGCATTAGCCTTTGAAGATGTCGACAATGTAAAACAATTTTCATCAGATTACCCAAGCATTAGCATCAATATAATTGACTCAGATAATGTGTATGTTTGCATGTGTAGCCCGGTATGTAACGTTGAGTCCAGTGAAATTGACTGTGCAACAAAAAGTCCCATTTGTCCAGTGTGCCGTAATATAATGAAAAAGCAACCTGTAGAGCATCCATACAGGATATTACCAAATAGTGTTATACTATCAGAAAATATAATCGTAAACCGAATCGATACACATCATCTTAATACTTATATTGAAAACTCACACGTGGACCCCTATACGCCAGAAAGCAATGAGTCTCATTCACCATATCCTGAGCTTAGAAGCACATCCACAACTACCTCAAGCAATAGTCACAAAATCGAGCTATGTATGGATAATATTAATGACGATCATAAGAAGCAACACTCTGAGCAAAATGGAAGCGACGACTTGCGTTCTTCGCAGTCGGTCCATGCAATCGCAGAGAAACAATCAAAAGCCACGGTTACGCCTCTACAGCTAAAGTCTCGATTAGAAGACCTTCAAAGAATATCAATGCATACCACGAAAAGGGATGTTATTACTGATAGAAAGGGCGATAATAATAGTGTTGATGTTATGTGCTCCCCAAAAACGTTTTCAAACAGTCAAAATCGCAATCCTAGTATTTTTTCTATGTGTTGTAGTATTCAATAATTTAAGTTTATTATGCCTATTGTAAATGAGTATTTTAAAGTCTGTTTATTTTACTAAAATTTTACATACATATTTCTTAAATATTTATAATTTTTAAATATTGTTGCTATAATTTTTGTAATATTTTTTAAGTGAATGTATAATTGTGTTATTTATTTAGTGAACAGAAAAAAATAATAACAAAAATTCCTTTCGACACATTTAAACTCAAAATAACATATACCAACATTAAGTTTATCTATGTATTAGTATTTCATGCTAACAAATAGAACAATGATCCTAAAGTCACTTAAGCAAATTCTACAAACACAAAGCCAAAAATTGTCGTCTCTCTTATGCATCCCACCCATGCACAAGAAGGAACCAACGGAGACTTTATTAGGATTTGCATACAATTAAAATTATTTGAGGAATAATCAAAATTAAGAAAGATCAGATATCTTTGGTATGTTAAAGATTACACAACCCTTGCAACCCGAATTTCTTGCAAAAGTTGAAAGTGCGTTACTTCAAGATCAGTAAAAAAATGTTTGAAAACTTGAAAGTTTTATAAGGCAAGAAATTAATTTTTGACCATTGAACTCAATGGGAGATTAACATGATATTATTTGTTTAGACATTAATTCTGTCGAAGATGTCCCTTTCAATGATTTACGCATTTAATTAAAAAAATATGACAATTCCTGCAAATATAAAAATGTCAACTTAATTTTACACCAAAGATAAATCAAGTAGCAGCCATATTTTACTTAATCTATATGTATAATTATATATGGATATGTACTTGTGAATGTAAAAATGTACATGTATTTGTAAACGTATATTTATATGGATAATATGTTGCAAAACAGTCAAATCTGTTAAGCACAATTTTTGAAAATTATCTACTTGTTGGTTGATATCACAAAATTGAATAACTATAATTACCTATCCAGGAAATACATATTATAATTGGGATGTAGACAAGTGATATTTGGCCCCTGGTTAAACATAAATGTATCTTCCAATTGTCCATGTACATATACACATACATATTTATATTTACAAGATTAGATAAATAGCTTAGAAAATTGTTAAAAACATAATTTCAATTTGTTATATTAGGTGTTTCATGAAAGAGCTAATGTAATTACATTTTTAAAAACACATATTTCGTTAAATTTTTATTTGTATATTTTATTATTTATAATAATAATCATTGTTAATAATAAAAGTTAGTTAATGTTAACTTTTCTATTTTTTTTATTTATTTTCTTAAGACGCTTTGAATAATATTTTTTGTTTCAGATTACTTTTGTTTAACATTTTTATCAATAAGGTATATAGACTGAACATATATTTTATATTGTTATTATAGGACCGGATAACTCACACTTAGAAAAAACACTAAATTCATTAAAGAGTTTAATGAATCAAACCTTGGTGAGTGAAAGTCTCTGGATGGAACAATCGAATGTAGATGCTCCTAGTTCGATTTCCAACTCTCATTATGTTGCGGTAAAATCAATATCTTCGATCAATAATGAGCCTGGCGAAGATAATTGTCTTGGTAAGCTAGAAACAAATGGAACAGTGCTGCTAAAAGAGACAACCGTTTAGAAGGTCCACTCAAAATGTTGTCTGAGAATAATACCAAATGGAATTTACAATCCGTATCCCAAGTATTATACTTATTATATATCGTTGAAATAAATGTTAAATGAATATAAATTACTGTAACTTCAAATGTGCATAAATACAACTATCGTTTTACCAATGTCCAGAGTTTAGGTAGTGGTTAAATTACAAAAAATAAATATATATCTGCTCGGAAAAGAGACAGTAATTCCATCAAAGTTTTTATATGATAAGCGAACTATCAGTTAAAAGTATTTAATTGACTATCACTGCAGTTGGATGTCGGTTTAAGCTGAGAAGCTTAATCGTGTGTATACATACATATATATGTCGTGAGAAAAAACTTAACAAAAATGTTGAAAATCACAATCCCATAACTTATTATGAAAACGTGAAGTTTTATTTATTTTTGATTTGGTACACTTTATTTCTAAAGGAATTGAGATGTACAGCTGTGAAGCTCAGGCTCTTTGAAACATACATAACAGCGTGTCGCCTTTGTACAAAACTATTCAATGAGTTTTTTTGCCTTAAAATATCTGCGAAGATATAGAACTTGCCAAGTTGCCAAGCCAAGCAAGCAGCACATACTGAAAATGCTAAAGAACAGTACTCTACTATTAGTTTTCTCTGCAATAGAACAAAAAATAATATATTTTACGAGGGCAAATTTGATGGTGTCCTTAAGTGATTACCATTAGTATCCCGCATTTCCTCCTCCCGTTTACGCATTACAGCAAAGTCGCGTACAATCGAATCGGAAAGATCTTCTAAGCGCTTAAGGTCCACTTCAAGCGGTTTGAGTTTAGAAGCCTCTCCAATCTATAGTTTTCGTGTAGGTAGATTAAAAATTAATGAGATAAATGTTTGTTTACTTTTGCTGATTAATTGACTTACTCCTTCGTAATTTTTAGTTTCAACACCCTTTTTAGTCACTAAAGAGACTTCTTGACTAATTCCACGTTGGTCTAAAGCAAAACTCATTTGTCACATCACATTGAAAATTGACAATATTTCTACTTACGTGGTGGCACTTTTGAAATGAAACAAATTTCGTACGCGTCGAAAACCTCGGATGTGAAGCTAAACTTTCCTTTAGTAATGTGTTCCTTCTGCGACAGGATGTGTCCTTTGGTATCGCGAGCCTAAAATATTTATTAATTGCAAATATCGAGAGAGGGAGAGGGAATATAATACAAATTATACTCACAATGTAGTCTATTATTTGACCGGGAACGTCGGAGACCTCATATTCGCCCATTACTAATTGATTTGCCTGTATATCTTCCTTAAGACATTTTTGTGTGTTCGGTGTCAAGTGGAACATTACACCGTGAATGCGGCAAAGACATCCAAAGATTAAAAGAATACATAATAGTGATTTGAGCATTTTCTTTTATTTCCTACGCACAAAATAGCAATTTTGACAAACGAGGCAAAGATGAGTTGGCTAAGGGATGGGTTAAATATTGTTTAAGTTTATCGATAGTATTTTTGTACAATCACAAAGCACGCAATGCATAGAGACTTCATATCGACTAAAATCCGACTGCATTAAATATCTGATAAGTTGGGTCATGGTGAGCTATATGAGCATCGAATGCTAAAAGTTAAAAATTAAGTCTTTCAGTTGTTATCAGTAATAGGTAATTAGAAATGCCAATCCTCACAAAACGATATATAGAATTTTGGCTAAACCATATCACACAGAATTTTTTATAATGCCCCTTAAAGTTTCGCCGTGCTAGAATCTTCGTCGTTTGTGCATAGCCAGATGATGTACATAATTCCTTTTGTTGCACAAAGAAATTTTATATTTTCGTCCACTCTTAAAGTTTAACACGTTCGGACGTCTGCTTCACATCGTGTAGGCTTTTGATTTTAATAAGCTATATGGTCCTCCTTAACTGTAAATTCTTTCTTTTCTCCCTCAATTTTAAAATTATTCCAACCTTATAATATCTCTTCAGTTACCAAATTTACAAGCACTTATTTATCCAAAACCACTGAGCCAACCTTCGAATTGTCTATCAACTGTCTGGCAACTCTAATTTCCTCAAATTCGGCGCGCAGAAACTTAACACTAAATTAAATACATAAATATTACATTCATTTCGAATATTGTAAAGCGCTCAGATAGTTATTAAAAATATATTTAAGTATGTATATATATAAATATATATGTATATACATTTCTACATATAAGTTTGTGTGTATACATTTATATCAATTTGGGGTCTGAATACAACCTTATCATTGCCAGGAAATCTCGCCAGGTTAAGGATCAAGAACATTTGTGCCCGTGAATTCAAATTAATGTTATATTATTCATAAAGTCTGTACATTCCGACCACGTGGATCTCTTGTGCCTCTGTTGCATATGCATGCAACTCGAGGGAAGTTTTAAACAATGTGGCGCATTTAAGTGTATAATATTTTTTTTTTAAGGAGTTAAATAGAATTATCAATATGTTTTGGAGAAAGTGTGCAGCAGTTTGTTAATAAATAATGTCAGCTTTTGTGTGCATCATTGGTGCAATAAATGCGCATCACTTTTGCATAAACTGCGCATTTCTTTTACCCCAAATTAAACAACACGCAACAACATAAACATTTTTATGAAACTTTATTGTACTCTCACAACTAGGCCCCTGTATCAGTCATTTTTGGACGCCGCTCATTCCCTGAAATAGTTCCATATTCTTTGGCCAAGGCTAGTCGGGCATTAACTTGATTACTGTACTTCCCATGAAAAAGCCGAGCCTGTTGCTTGTTGTGAATGTGTCTACAACTCGCGCAAGTGGTTTGATTTGTGCAGAACTTGGCATTGATGCGCTTGTTAAAATCACTGAGGACAAAGTTGGGGGTTAAGACCTCTTGATCTGGTAAGTGTTGAGTCTCTTGCATCTTTAAATTATAATTTATTCAAAAAATAATTCTACTCTGCTCTCTCACCAGATGAAAATTCCGACCTTGAAAGATTTCCCACTGAGGAATAACGCTCCCAGTATATGAGTTCGTAATATTTCCTGATCGAAAACTTTTGTGATTTGTGCCGCTCCGAGCTTCACACTGTTATGTCTTCGAAAGTCTGTAAGCTTAATTCCATTAGCAAAATAAACTTGGACATGTGATTAAACAAATGAGCAACGTTTCCACGGCGTGACCTCGAAACATCCAATACAACTTTTGTTCGGGAATTTCCGTTTTCCTTTTCGCAACCATTACTGGGTTGATCGTTTTTTCCGAGTTTATCGTCATCTTACAAGTATCACAACCGGCTATTCATGCTTTTATTTCTATGGCCATCTGCGACAAGCTGCAAAAGTCCGCCTTAAGTTATATGTGCCATTTGGATTACTTGATTGATGATAGTTCGGGTTCCATGGCTTCTTAAATAAACATGCATCCTCAACACATAAATCTGGAAACTTCTGCTCGCTTTCCTGCACTTCCTGTATGCAGTGAACAAACTCGGTATTTGAGAGCATGTCTTCCACAACATCATATGCTTCATTTCTATGATTGATTCAAAATTCATATGGCTGGTGAGTTGAGGAAAATTTTTCCACCGAACCATTCAGTGCTATAAATGACAGAAGTACAGTTAATATGATGAACATTTTGAGTTCAACATGTATTTTAAATGTTCTTACTAATGCAATACTTTATTTCTCTGGAGTGCTGTTGGAATAAAAAGGCTTCACACTGGATAACAAAATATATCTTAATGTCTGGATGGACTGCGAGAGTCGCGCTGGTAAGAGCCTCTTCAATCTACTGAACGCCTCGAGATTCCTCATATATATATATAAATGTATATACACATATGTATGTGTATAATGTGCATATATAAATGCATCTGAAAGATACATTTTCTGGTTTGAATTTTTTTTCCTACACCAAAATACACTTTTTTTTTTAAAGAATACATTATTTGAAGTTTATTATTTTCATATATACATTACATAGTAAAGAACTGTACAAAGCAATCTTATAAGCAAGCCAAAAAAAATGGAAACAGAAGTTACATTCTGGTAAGAGGCGCACTAGGTAATACCCGATTAAGTAAACATAAAAAGCCTGCTTGAGCATTTATTTTAAAGCTTATTACATTTTCTATCACTCCCTATCGCTAATTACATTTTGAAAATATTTTTATTACTTTAGAAGATATGAATTTGGACTGAAAAATGAAAAGGCACCACTGTGCAAGGATACCATTCGGCGAAATCTAAAAAAAAAAAAACAACGGAGCTGACTTACAATATTACGAGTGTTTATTTCAGTGATTGCATGAACTTTTCGAAGCGCAACATAACCCACATCATACCTCAGGTACTTCAAGTATTCATTTTATAATTTAGTTTTTTAACACCATTATTTGTTTTGCAGCATCGACATATGAATTAATCGATTCCTTGTGGTTTTTAATAAAAAAAAACCAGATTGTTTTGTTCAAGTGCTTTATTTGGACTAAGTTTGTAAACTCTAACTTATCATAATTAAACCTCGGACTGCTGATTCCGCTGGCGTGTTATCGTTGGCGCTTTGGTCGTTGCAGCTGTGTCGCATTGGTGGAGGTGTCAGTTGTCTCGTCTGAGTCCCACGATGGTCCTTTAATGGAATGTGCTGTCGGGGCGCGTGTATTTCTGTCTGAGTCCCACGTTGTCTTTTCAAACATGTGACCACGGCCACTATTCAGATGGAGAGTGTGACTGAGACTGATAATTTCCGTGCTATCGTGGTTGTGTTGCTTACTTTATATTTATATATTCCATAACAGTTGTAGCGACAGTATTTCTTTGACTTCTGACTTTTCTGTTATCAGTTTGAAAGGGGTGGTGTGGATCACTGTGGAGTAGAAAAGTATTCGTATTTTTCGATGTCAAAGGTATGATAGGTGCCATTTTCTTCGGCTCCAACTCCCGTTTGTATGTGAATGGTATTAGTCTAATATGGCCGCTACATCAAGACATTAGAAAAATCTATAAATATAATGTTTTTAAATTATTTTTATGGATTATTCGGCCACCTATATGGTTAGTATTTCTATATTTTTTCTCTACTATTTCTTTCTTGTATTTGGTTGTAAAATTTGAGCCCACCCTCTTCTAAATGTTACAGTGGACTGTGCTTTGGTATTATAGATCTTCAACTTGTTTTTTGTCTCTGACTTTGGTTCTTTTCTACTTTAACTTTTGGGGGTAGGTGGTGTCTTCTGTTACTAAAAATATGTCCATTAGTTTTGCGTTTACTGTTGAAGGTATTGATTAGTTGTATATCTAAATTGATTTAAGTATTAGATCTTCAAAATTATATTCTCATTATTTCGTTTAATGTTGAATGAAATATTTCAACTTCAATGTCCTGAAGATCGTATTCAGATGCTTGACGAGTTCGTCTTCGGTTCGGCCAAAAACGATGATATCGTTGACATAGCATGCTCTCTTAGTATTTAGTCTAATGCTCTTCAGAATATTGATAGCGAATTTCTTAGCCTTAGCAACTGGTTTAATTGTTTTTCGACTTCTCCCCTTAGAAAATTAGGCTATTGGTAATACTTGCTATACGATGCCGTTCTTAATTCGCCTAACACTCTGGTGGTGTAGGTCAGTACTTCGTCTGGCTCTGCGAACAAAGTTGTATGACTTGTTTGCTTGTTTATCGTGTGCTCTGTCCGTACTTTTACGAGTATATTGTTTACTACCTGTATTTCTAAGTGTCTTATTTAATTTTTATAATTTCCATCTACAATTAATGCATCCTTCTTGACCGCAATAACAGCGTTCTGCTGTTTTAAGGTATCACTGCCTAGGATGCCGTGAAATGTTTTTAAAGTTGGTACCTGGAAAAACTTAATTGGGCCATTTTTTGACCAAATAAACTAAGAAACGTGTGGTGAGATATCTTGGCTTACCAACGGAAGTTTCATTAAATATTTTTTTGTTCGGTTTTGGATTTTGAACTGAATTCGGTTGTATGAATTAATCGAGTCCTTGTCGTTTTTAGTAAAAAAAAGCGAAATTGTTCTGTTCAAGTGCTTTATTTAGACTAAATTCATAATCTCTAACTTACCATAACTAAACGGACTGCTGATCCTGCAGACGTCTTTGGCTTTGTCGCTTTGATTGCTGGCGCTTTGATTGCAGCAACTTTGTCACTGGTGGTGTCAGTTATCCGTTCTCGGTCCCACGATGGTCTTCAAGTGGAATGTGCTGACGGGGCGTGTCTTATTTTTCCATGCGCCTTAGTTATTTCTGCAGCAAATTTCTGTTTGAGTCCCGCGTTGCCGAAAATATGCTGACTAGGCACGCGATTCTTATGATATTTATTCGAATGCGTTGGATTTAGTTATTTGTAATAATGAATGTTAACTCCTCCCCCTTTAAATGCGGACGTCCTCGGACGCGATGTAGAATCTTAATTGGATGGTTTGACTCTGCTCCGGGGGATTGTCTTCCTGTCTATTTATTTCTCTTGTGCCAGATTTTTGTTTGATCCAACAGGTGACTATGATCGATAGTATGTTCAAGAGCGTGGTTGAGAGTCCAAAATTTACTATTTCTGGTGGTTGTGCTACTGTTTCGGAGTGTTTTTAGTTCCTTTGTATTATTAATGTTTATTTCCTTTAACATTTGCAATGAGAGTACTTCTTCGACTTCTGATTTTCCGTCTGTTATTTGCAGCAATGGTGGTGTTGCTTCCACGGATGTCATTACTTTCGGCAAGTAAAGGTCTTCTATATCCTGACTGTAGAATTTTCGAACTGGATGAGGAATGTTCCCCTTAAGTCTATTGGTTCTTCTTAAGCAGAATCGAACCGGTGAACAATTCTTCGTGGTCGGGTACATGTTGACTATTTATGAATTTACAATCGGCTATTTTGTTTTTGAAGATTCGTGTTATACAAGTGTCGTTACTTAGATCTGTTAACTTAGTTTTTCTACATATGCTTTTTCCGTTGTGAGTTTCACAATTTTCTTTGGTTCCAAAAATTTGTTGGATACACTTAATTATGTTATCGAATTTTCACTTATTGATTTAATTGTATTTTTCTTATTGGTAATAGCAATAAGGTTCTAAAAATTTCTTTTGACAAAATTGGATTATTAATGATATCCATTTTTTTTTTTGTAGTTTGTGGCAGTTTTGATTTTAGCAAATTCTGACAATTCTTCGGGATTAATAAAAAATGTATTTTTTTCTTCTAATAGGTTTGAAATTTTTTCTGTTTCTATTTCTGACAGCATTATTGAGTTTATTGTATTAGATTTTGCCCAATGTATTAAATTATTAAATTCTTCTTTAAAATTTGTATTTTATATTTCAAAAGTGTAGCTATTTCATCTTGAAAATTCTTATTGTCTATGGTTTCTTTTACAATTTTATTTGTTGTTTCGGTTAATTCATTCATTCTTTTGCTTAGATTTGTATTTATATTTAATTGTTTATTATTATTTTCTACTTGTTCGTCTGTTTTTTTAAACTAAAATCTCGTAATCATAGTGGTCCGGAGTGCCGGCCAACCATTTCCAAACTGTGCCTAATGCATTTGCTGCTCTGGCTTTTCTTTGTGCTGGTTTCAATGTTCTCAAGTCTGATTCTAATTTTGCAAATTCGAATGCAAGTAAAGGGAAGAGTGGGTGTGTTTTATTTATCTCGTTAAGTTTGTTTGATAAGTTACCAAACGCCATTTCGTATTCTTCAATGTTGAATACATTAATTATTTTGTAAGTGCCGTTTTCTACTGCTGCGACTCCTGTTTTATGGGTATAATTTTTGAATGCGAGTAGTCCAATATGGTCGCTAGTCCGAGACATGTTGGTAGGAAGAATCTGTAAAATATTATGTTTTTATTTTTATGGATTATCCGTTCACCTTGTATTTGTATGGTGGTATTTCAATTTTCATCGACTATTTTTTTCGGGGTCAGTTTACAGTCTAATCTTTTGTCTATTTTGCCATAAAATATGCGCCCTTTTCGTATTGTTTTATAGTTTTTTTTTCTTGTTATTATGGTATTCTAAAACATTAATTTGTTTGTGTTTTAATTTGTCTCTGATTCGTGTTTCGAAAAATGTATCTATTGGTTTTGCGATTACTTAAATATAAAATCTTCGATATTTGTTACTCCGTCATCCTTTTTCACACATCTCATTATTTCGGTAAGTGTTGAATGAAATCTTTCAGCTTGACCGTTGCCTGTTGAATTATATGGTGGTATCGTGTAGATTTTTGCTTTTAATTGGTTTTCTAGTAAGAATTTGATGGATGCGGAATTTAGAGCTCTTTCGTTGTCCATAACAACTAGCTTGGGCGTACCGAAAGCTATCATAACCTCACGCAGTGAGTGTTTTTTATCTTCAGCTGCTTTTGAATTTAAAATTTTAATTTGTGCGTACTTTGAGAATTTGTTATTATTTTTGTTTGTTCGCTTTCGCATGTGATGTCCTGAACTAGTTTTTGGGTATACCTCACTTTGTAACTCCCGAAATAATAGGGGTATATGTTCTGAATTGTCGCCATAATATTTTCCGTCATGAAATCCATTGACAATTTTTGGATTTTAACCTATTTTTTCAAAATGTCTATTAAGTCGTCTTCTGAGTAGTCTAGTTTTTTAACGATGCGTCTGTGATATGTAGGAAAGGGTATTTTGAATTTGTATGATTATGTTTCTGATGGTAATAAGAAAAATTGAATTTTTTAAGACGTTAATTGGGATTTCCATTACTGGAATGAGATTGTGTGATGAGCTGTCATCACTTTGTACAGTTGATGTTGCTGTGTTGTTTATTTCGGGATTTGGGGGATTTCTGGATAGAGCGTCTGCATCAACGTTAGAAGTTCCTGGCTTAAATCTTAATTCGTGGTTGTACTCTTCGAGGTAACTTTTTCATATTTTTAATTTTCCGTTATGATTCTTGCTACTCAGTGCGAAGGTAAGAGGTTGATGGTCTGTAAAGATTATTACCCTTGAAGTACCGTAGAGGTACATGGGCAGATTCTGAAGTGCCCACACAATAGCTAACATTTCCTTTTCGTTAGTTGCGTAATTTTTTTCTGTTTGCGAGAGTGTGCGCGATATGTAAGTAATGGGTCTACCTTCTTGCTCTAGGACTGGTTCGATGGCGAAATTTGATGCATCTGTTATCAAATGAAACTCTTTGTAAAAATTGGGGTACGCTAGTACCACGCCGTTTGAGCTGAGCGTGCTCTTAATTTTGTCAATTGCTTTAATTGCATTACTGTCAAGTGTTACTCCGCTTTATGGGAGAGATTCTTTGAAAGTCTACCGTTTTCTCCTCTTAGGAGAGTTGTGAGGGGTTTGACCAATTTGGCATAATCCCGAATGAATCTTTTGTAATAGCTTGATAAATCCAAGAAAGAACGTAAGTCTTTGAGGCTTTTGGGTGTTTGAAAACTTTTGATAGCTCTTTTTCGCAATTGG